CCCCCCCCAAAAAAAAAAAAAACCCCCCAAATACACTCCGCACGAGGTATGGCATGATCAATGATCAACTCTCTCGCCCCAAATGACATTCTCGAAAACCCAAGCACGGGGAAAATAAAATATTACCATCTAGACTTGGAAAGCTTCGCGATCATCACTCCAGTGGCCTTTTTTTTTTCGTCTCGATGCCCATGAGCTCTCCAGATAAGCATAATCCGTTTCCTCCGCCATGACGAGAGTCGGTGATGATCGCACTTTCTCTTATCATCGTCCATTGGCATGGGCGATCCCAAGATCTCGAGCCAATTTTCATTAGAAATCTCTTACGACGTCTCTCTCGGACCGAGGTGTAGGATACGGCGCGTGTGGATGAAGCGTGTTGTCGCTGTCGTGGTGCTGGCCATCAGCTCAATGCTATGCGGGATAGTTCCAGGTACTCGTTTCGCAGAGAAGCACAACCGGGAACGTAGCAATGATACAGTGTACATGTACTCCGTATTACTACTAGATGTCGCTCGTAGGTAACTCTGGGATATTGATGCACAAAGGTGTATGAGCTGTCTCACTTATACATACACTCATGCTTCCTCTCATCCTTTCCAAGCTTCTTGCGCCAACAATAGGTCCTAAGAGCACACTTGAACATTAGTTCGTCAATTTCAATCGACAGCTCAGCAATTGAGAATTTGCGTCGGAGATTTTCTCCCAATGGTGGTGTTATCGTCAGCCAAAATATTTTTGACCTGCCACATTCATTCAACAGAGTTACAGCCGGGGTAAGAGAGAGAGAGAGAGAGAGAGAAAGAGGGAGGCTACAAATCACACGCCCCCACTTCTATAAGCTGCCTATTATTATGGAGTGTGATTGGATCCTTTTGCCTTATCTCTTGGCGGGATGCACATGCCACATGGGGAGGGGTGGACACTTAAGAGGGAAACAACCCGCGGATAGATTGCATTTATTATGGAACCCACCCCCAAGAACAATTAAAGTATTACATGTATTATATGTAGGGCACTGCGGAATAGTACGGGCACGTAAGAATGAGCAACTGGGCAATACTCACACACCGTAGGCAAATGAATTTCGAGACTACGACTACGAGTGAGAAACTGGTGGTCTTGTCCCAACGATGCACTTCGTCGGGCGCTGGAACAATAATCGCAAAGCTAGATAGATCCATGCAGATATCGCGAGACCGCAGGAACGGCCACGGCAGTAACCCTCATCAGTTCATAGCTTACTAATGAACAAGATCATCTCCACCGACATATTGAGCTAGAAATGTGCAAAACTCTAAATATGTTCTATATCCTGTCATGTGCATATGATGACAGCCCCGGGCCCTTCTCATCCGCGACGTTGTCCTATAAGGCCCTGTCATCGGTGTTGAGGCAGCGTCGATTACCAATACAATGGAAAGAGACTGTCCGTGCGAGGCTGATTCTGCGACGGCTTTATTTGCTGTAGCCTACACTTGCATATTCTCTTTTTTTTTTCTTATTCGTCAAACAGTTCATGGAATTTCAGCGGGAGATCTGGTTATGTGAGCTCCTGGGGAATGCTTGGCTTGCTGTGCGTTTCCAGACTAAGCTCCCTCTTCAAGAGGTTCGCATACGGCAGGCCCTCAAAAACAATGGCCGGCAGCTCAGTACCGTTCAATGCGACACCGCCATTTCCCCATTGCGTATGTAGCATGATTTCTGGTGGCTTCTTCACCTGAAAGTCTGACTGGATGTTACTTCGCAGCTAGGGAAGTGACAATCCATTGGTGACTGGCCTCGACCAGCCAGTTTTATCCGTCTTTCGCTCAACCAATTAGTTGAATTGAATACCATCGAGGAATTTTAAAGTGCTTCGCAACATCGGTAAAGTGGTGATGGAGGATGTGTCTGGGGATATAGGTGTTGGCCTTGACACTGTAGACCTTCTCTGGCATGGTAAAATCGGGTTACTCATATGCGCCCCTCGTATTGTTGGACTTGAGGCCCGGGTAAAGCCTGTTCTTAGACCACGTTAAACTACATGATTCAGCGGATCCGGGGACGGCGAATCTTTGCCTTTGGCAGGATCTAGGTAATGGCCTCTACGGCCGCCAGACCAAACCAGCGTGCTGGGCTTTAGCATATCTCTAGAAGGTAAAGGTTAGCAAAAGGATTGCAGGTACGACTCACCAACGCTTGCCATTGAGATATGGCAGGTAGCAATTCTATCTCGTGTGCATGCATTCTCTTAGACAGACCCGTATGATTGACGCCACAGCCATTCTTGAATGACATATTTTGAACTTTTTGCTATACGGTGGGGGAGATATCAGCGGATGATACGTCATATACTTCAGTTAAAGTATTTGTTGTTGTTATACAAATATAATACTCTGGTATTTTCCTGCTCCGTTTTCCCTTCATTTCTCCCATTCATCAATATTCATGATTAATCAGCCCATCTATGGTTCCTGCATGAAGACGCCGGTGAAGGACATATCGGCCATATTGTACACTGCCATGGGGTAGCTAGGAAGACCAATGCGGTCGATTAGGAAGCCAACACCATGCTTCCTTAACTTACAATGTGCATAATACTGACTTTACTACTAAGTATTTGATGCTCGCACTGGTTTGCGCGCGGAGGATGCGGCCGAAGGAGGGGAGTAGGCATAAGGTAAATGGTGAATAAAGAACAATCGATATGTAATGCCTATAACTACGAGTATATGCAGTTATCCAATATTTCCCAAAAGTTAATGTCTTAGTCGTGTAGCACTGCACAAGCAAGAGCACCGCTACAGACAGTACTGCAACTTTTCCCATGGGGAGGGACATAACGCACCGCCCAGGTCGAGGGTAGGAGGAGTATAGATAGGCACATGTAACCTAGGTAGATAGTTGCATACCACAGACTGCACTCAAGCCTTTTACGTACTCTTCGAGACATAAAACCTAGCTTTGTAGTCTTGGCTTTATCTAAATGATACCTCTGGGGTACATCCGTCTTGCTCGGCTTAGTCCTCCGGCTAAAGACCTGATCATTACAGCGTATTACTTATTGTTACCCCGTAGAAATACGCGAATAAGTGACTGTCCAAGATGGATATCAAGTATGGAAAGTGCTCCGTATATGACATCAATATCTCATCACAGTGTAAACTCTCCTAAATTGGCTTGGCTTGGGTCTAGGGAGAACTAGTGCTTGCAGGTAGATGTGGAGACGTCTACGTTGGGAGGGTGCAAGCTTGGGGAGATCAGATAGCAAGATATTAAAATAATCATAATATTTTACGGCGGAGGAGATAACAAAACTCACTGACCCCCACGCAACCCCCCTCCCTCCCCCCTTCCCAAGCGAATATGTGCTCTCAATGGAAATCGTCAACGGCCCTTAAATCGACCCCTTGGACTGAACGCCCGCACAGCCCTGTGATGATGACGGTTAGACACGTTGTTGCGGGCGTGAAAACACAAGATGCCTGCTCTTAGGTTACTTCCCCGCGGACAAATATGTTACCACGACATTTAGCAGACAAAGTAAAAATATATAAATCTGCTCTGTTCGCACCTCCCTCTTGCTGCGACTCTCTTCCCTCACTGGTGTTTTTTGATACGCAAGCGCAACCTCCGCCCCAACTGCGAGGCGTGGGCTGCCTTATCAGTTTCTTCTACATCCCAAGCCAACAAGACCACTTGTTGTTTCGGCTCGCCCCCTCTATTTTTCTTGCTGGCCATGACCGGCCAAGGAATTAAAATGAACCGATAAATCCTCCTGGGTAGGTTTCCCCCCTTCCTAGACACCGAGGCCGCCGAAGACGAGTGATTCGACCCTGCCTTATCAGACAACCAGACCCTTTTGCAGACTCTAAGCCTAAAGCAGGGTGTCTCCGCCGCCAATATTACCTTTCATGTCGGTTGGCACACGCCCCCCTTTGCTGGTCATTGACAGAGCTTGTTTTTCGTGCCGAGCACCCGCTATCCGCGGAACGGAAGGATGGGAAGGATGCCGATACCGCCCGACAGTCAGATTGGACAGCGACAGACAAGCTCAGTATCATGTAGAACAAGGGCCCGATCCATCCCGGTCTTTGCAATTCTTTATCCTTTCTGGGGAGTTGAAGTTGAAGATAATATGCGTTTCCCATATCGCACGGCTATGTGTGTCATATTCGTAGTTGTACTCTATGTTAGGCCGTCCAACGGCCGGCCCCGCAACGTGCTTGTTTCGCACGGGCAACACGCCCAGGAGGACGAACCCTCTCCGGCCCGCGTTCGGGTCCATCCACGCCGCGCTGCATGCTATAAGACTTCTGCATTTCAACGCACTCGTCTTTTGGTCCAACGTAAAAAGCCATCGTACCGAGTACGTCGACGCTTCACTTGGATAATTCTGACGCCCACTCATCCTCCAATTCACGCAGCTTGGTGGCGACCTCTCGCGCCACCGAAGTCTGGAGCTCCTGGATCTTTTCGGCCCCTATCGGGGCCAAGACGTATCGTGAAACGGTAGCGGCGTCCCTCTCGTCTGGCCTTCCGATACCGACAGCGATCCTGGCAAGCGGCGACTCAGGGTACTTTGACTGGGTCACGGACGATCTCACACTCTTTATGCCATTATGGCCCCTGTGGCTGCGGTCCCAGGCGACGAGACGGACAATGCCAAAGTCCTTTTCGAGCTCGTCGTGTACCAGAACCAGGCTGAGGGAGGCCGGGTCGTGTTGCCGCGCCATCTCCTGCCATGCGCGGGCCACAAAGCCTCCTGACACGTTCATCAGGGTCGGCGACTGAACCATGGTGTACTTGGGCCCCTGGGACACGAGACAGGTTTGCTTGCCCAGTTTGGTCGGTTGGTAGTCGGGCTGGCCTACGACCTTGGCGAGGCCTTTGAGGACATAGTGACCGGCTGAGTGTAGGCTTGAGTATTTGGGAAGGGGATTGCCCAGACTGACCACCAGGAAATGGGGGTTGAATACGCCCATGCTGCTGCCGCCCCGTCGTCGTCGTGAGAATGAATGTGCTTGTATCTTTGTGTGTCTTGGCCTACAGAACGCGAAAACATGCGAGGGAGATGGGGAACATTTGTTTTTCCGTGCATACATATAATCGAATGCGGCCGATGCAGGCTGTTTCTCGTGGCCCTTGGTGGGGGGGGGGTAGGTATGACGTATAATTTCTAGACATGGCAATGTTAACACATCTATATACTTCATACTTCTAGCGTCCGAATTAGCTTTCAAACCATTCTTTCACTATATAACTGGTCACTAGAGAGAGTTATGTTTGGTTCAGATTGTTCAGCGCGGTGACTTAGACATGCATTCATGCACGGAGAAGCTAGCATGTAATTGATCTGCGAATGTCGCACAACATCCCACAACATCCCTGCTCTGGAAAGAAAAAAGAAAGGAGAAGGAGGTACAACAGAGGACAAAGAGAAATTACAAACGAAGAGACTGTTATTCATAGGAACAACCATGAAAAGAAATGGCAATGAGATGGACTCATGTGGAACCCTCGAGTAGTACACGTGATCCACTTGCGGAATAATAATTGTGCGTTCTTGGCAGCTTGCGCCTCATTCGGCTGACTGACGTCGTGTTGGGCTGAGCACTAGCATCGTGGCTGCGCTTTGCGTGGCGGGCTCGTTGCTTTTTGTCACCACTTTGCAACTCATACAACAACAATATTCGCTCGGCAATATTCCCAAAAAGCCCCCTTGAAAGGATCGATCGATAAACTAACGAACTATATAAACACGCGGTTTTTTCAAAGCTACTATTAAATCCGCTCGGCGCAGATTCGTCAAGATGTCGTGGGCGGGTAGGCCAAACATCACGCACACCCCGCATCCGGGAGGGGCCATGCTGATCAGACTACAGGGTTCAAGAAGAATGTGAATCGCGCGACGACGCAGGTGATGATGAAGACGGGTATGTTTTCTTCAATGGGCGTCGGACATAGGATATCCGGCGTTCATAGGATGCGGACTGGCCGTCTAACATTTGGAATACAGGACATGTTGAGAAGACCAACGATCGCGATTACGCTGTTGAGGAGAGGTACGCAGCAGCAGCTATCATGGAAGTCCTGGGTTAGATCTGACAAGGAGAAATAGGCGATTCAGAACCATGGAGGCTGCCTCACTGAGGTTACAAAAGGAGTCGAAGGGTTACCTGGACTCATTGCGAGGTATGTGAATTTGGTCCATATTACAGAGATCCTGAGTGGGATACTGACCGTCAATATTCTTTAGCCATGACTGCCTCCCAGATGCGCATCGCTGAGACGATAGACGCCTTCTACGGTGATTCCGGAGCCACGGACGGCGTAGGCCGCAGCTACAAGCAGGCCGTGGAGGACCTCGACGCCGAGACGATAAAGGCCCTGGACGGCCCATACCGGACGACGGTGCTGGACCCCATCACCCGCTTCTGCGCCTACTTCCCCGACGTCAATGAATGCATTAAGAAGCGTTCCCATAAGATGCTCGACTACGACGCCCTTCGAGCCAAGGTCAAGCGTCTGGTCGAAAAGCCCGACAAGGACGCCACGAAGCTGCCGCGCACCGAGAAGGAGATGGAGATGGCCCGCCTTGCCTACGAGCAGCTCAACGAGCAGCTGAGCACCGAGATCCCCCAGCTTATCGAGCTTCGAGTTCCATACCTAGACCCCACATTCGAGGCCCTCGTCAAGATCCAGCTGCGCTTCTGCGCAGAGGCTTACTCGCGCATGGCCCAGGTGCAACAATACCTCGATGCCGATTCACGAGATCAGTACGCAGAGGGCCACTTGGATGCACGCGTAGAGCAAGTCTTGCAGGAGATTCGGGAGCTGAGCATCAGCGGCACAGTATGAATGGCGGGCTGTTTCTTCTCTGGTTTCTCTGGGTTATGTGTTCCTTTACAGAGGAAACAGTTGGTGTGAAGTGCCATGACACCGCATTGACAAATATATAACTAGTTTGAACGGCGTAAGGTCTAATAATTACCACTTCGGGTTTCTTCTTTTCCTCCCTGTTTCCTTCTCTTGCCATATTTTCCTTGAAGCGTTGTATACACGGATAACGTGATACACATTCTTTTGGAACAGCGTCCAGTATCTACCCACCATCAAACATGAATTTTTCTTTCGTAAACCGCCAGACAGAAAGGGAGATATTGAAGGGCGGACGTGTTTCATAGACTCGTTATTCGTACGCACTGATATTCTGCCTTGCTTCATCAGTGGCCTGCGTTGGCACTAGCCTGGCTCCTGAAAAGATCGTCGAGGCTGATGACGCCGCCTCCGATGGCCTGCATAGCCGGACCATACTCCCCCGATGGTACTTGTGGCTGCCCGAAGGACCGGACCATTTTCCAAGTTTCCGTTATCGTGGAATTAATCTCCTGCCGGGTACTGGCCTTGTCGTTGTGAACCCACAGGCCGACGACCTTTCCAGGCAGACCCGGGACGTCGGCGTCGACGCGCATGATAAAGAGTTCGCCCATGGTCTCGGTGTGGTCGACAGTGTTGAGTTCGATCATGACATTCCCTAGCCCTCTCCGGTTGAGAACGAAGACGCAGCCGCGGGGATGTCGCTGCGGGTCCTCTAGTAACGGGTTCTGCAGGCAGACAAACATGGTGCCCTCGACACCCGACTTGTCCCAGCGCTGGCCCGTCGCGTCAAACGTATAGAGGACAGCGTTGGCGGCGACTTTGAGGATAGTAGCTACCGACGGAATGTAGCGCTGTAGGACCGACAGGTTCAGCTCTGTATTCGTACGTGTGGGTGGCGGCGGCGCATAGTCGTGTGTTGACTGCATGGCTGCGGCGTCGGATTCGTAGTCGGATACGGCTGGGATGCGGTTCGACGGTTGGCGAGTGTGCCGCGACTTACGCGATACGTTCTTGTTTCCGCTACTCATATTTTAAGACTATTTATTGATTTCTTTGGAGAATTTTGGAAGCGAGATTGAGGAAAACAGTATGCTGGGTGCGACGGTATGTATGTTTAATGTTGTTGGGTAGTGGACAATGGCATAGGTTGGAGCAATTTAGTCCACCCTAGCTAGCATGAGAGAGCGGATCATTCATCGTCGTTTATCGATAAGCCACGGCATGACAGATGACGTTCATGCGCTCAACTGGATATTTAGCTCGCGGGGCTCGGTCACAATCTCTCCTTTATTAACTAAATCAATGCTGGTATTATTGAAGCTTCATCCCCTACTCGAGAGATTTTAACCAAGGTCACCTCCCGAGCTGGTTATGCATTCTGCCATCACACAACTCCTCTCCTATTGCTCTAAGCCCTCGTCCATTCCTACCAGCATGGTATAGCATCCCAAGACTGGCACAAGCAACAGCGACAGTAGCGACGATAGCTACTGGTACTTGGGCCGCCGCCTCCGTGGCAACTCCCGTTTGCCGCGTAAAACCATTTCAAACTTCTGCACCATGGCGACGGCAACAGCAGACCAGGAACCATTATCTGACCCTTCGGCCGAATCCTCCGAGCCCGCCGAGGTCCTTGCGGCCACCCCCTACTCGCTAACACGGGCCGTCCACGCACGCCGCCCCGAATATGTCGGTCGACACAGGACACGAGTGAAGATTGGTACCTGGAACGTCGCCGCATGCCCTGGGACGGATAAGGACTTGGCACGGTGGTTTGTCGAGGGTCAGGGCGTTGAGGACGAGTCAGAGACACTCAACCACCCCCCTAGGCCAGACGCGAGCTCCCAGCAAGAGACTGGTGACATGAATGGAATCGGCCTCTACGTTCTTGGCCTGCAGGAGATTGTTGATCTCAACTTGACAAAGGAGTACATGACTCGAGCCGTCTACGCAGACAACAGTGCCACAGTGAAGTGGCAAGCCGCTCTGGAAGCCGCCATGCCGACCGGCTACGAGCTTGTCGTTGCCGAGCAAATGTTTGGGCTCCTGCTTCTCGTTTACGCCAGCGCGGATATCGCTCCTACAATCAGTAGTGTCAGCACTAAACAGGTTGGTACCGGTGTGGGAGGCTGGTTTGCCAACAAGGGTGCCGTGTCGACAAGGCTCGTTCTGGGGGAAACGACAAGTCTGGTCCTGGTCAACTGCCACCTGACTAGTGGAGCAACAGCTGCCAATCTTGATCGTCGTTGCTTCGATGCCAAGCAGATTATGTCGAGGACAGAGTTCGACCCCATTGTGCAAGCTGGCGTCGAAGAGGACTTCGGCCGGGCCATTGACGACGCCGATTTTGCATTCTGGTTTGGCGACCTCAACTTCCGGCTCGACGGACTTCCTGGAGACGATATTCGTCGACTGCTGATGCTCCATGCGCGCGGTGAATACGGGCCGGGAGACTCGAATCTGTCACATCCTGAAGGAGACGTAGCTATTGTCATGCAGGACGCAAGCGAGAGTGGAGACGATACCACCACGACAGGATCATCCTTACACTCAAAAAAACCCAGTGTCGACTCCGTGTCACTTCCAGATCCCGACGACTTTCCCGAGGACCCAAGTCAGGACCCGACCTCTCTCCAGGCGACACTCGACTCCCTAATACCTCACGACCAGCTGAAGCGCGTCGTCAAGGATCGCAAGGTTTTTCACGATGGGTGGAAAGAAGGAGCCATTACTTTTCTACCAACTTACAAATATGACGTGGGGACTGTCGGGTTGTTTGACTCGAGCGAGAAACAGCGGGCTCCAAGCTGGTGTGACCGTGTTCTGTACCGGACACGCAAGGACAAGGATGAATACGAGAAAAAAGCCCGGGAAGAGGAAGAGACCAAGAGAAAAGACGACGAAATGCGGTCTCGTGGACTCGAAGAAGACGATGATGTTCTCTTCACGTACGATCCGGAAGCGGATAGCGTTTTCCAACAGTCAAAATCAACATCCGATTTCGAGTACACCGAGTACGACGAGTACGACGAGAACGAGGATCCAGAGTCTGAAGATCTCACGGTGCATGGTAGCTCGCTCGATCGCATCAGTGTCGACCTCTACAGATCGCATCAGAACATCACATCGTCAGATCACAAACCCGTTGTGTCCATGTTCACACTCGATTATGACGCCGTGATTCCTGAGCTCAAGTCTAGGGTGTACGCCGAGGTCGCGCGGGAGTTAGATCGCGTTGAGAATGAAGGCAGGCCTGGAGTCACGGTCATTACCGACGATGGCAAGAACTCTGATGAAACCGCCATTGATTTCGGCGATATTCAATTCCTCGAGAAAAAAAATCGAAACCTCACAATTGCCAATACGGGGGGCGTCCCGGCAAAGCTTGCCTTTATAGCCAAACCCAGCCGAGTCGACAGCGATGACGACGATGCCAGCGGCCGCGAATGGCTGTCAGTAGTGTTCTCATCACCTGAGCACTCGGATGGTGAGGGGAATGTCCTGTCGAAAGTAGTAACACTAGAGCCCGGCGAGACGGTATCGGCAAGGGTCACGGCTCGCGTTTCCTCGATCCCACTAGTGCGTGCTTTGAACGACAAAACGGCCAACATTGACGATGTCCTTGTTCTCAGGGTGGAGGATGGCCGTGACTACTTCATCCCAGTGCGCGGCACATGGCAGCCATCATGTTTTGGGCGGTCAATGGACGAGTTGATCCGCATCCCCGATGGCGGTATCCGCAAATTCCTCACCGAAAAAGGAATCGAGGGCTCCATCCCTTACGACATGGACCAAAAGATGTCAGCTCCCCAGGAGCTGTTTAAGATCACAACGGCCATGGAAGACATGGTTGAGCGGAGTATTGCCGACGAGACCATGCTGGGGGATATTGTGATCCCCCAGGCGACGGGATGGCCACTGGATGCCTCCACATGGACGCTCTCACAGGAGGAGCAGGAGGCGCACAGTGCAGCTGTAGCTGTAGCGCTTGACACGGCGAAGCCCCTCCTAGGGTCACTGCCACTTGAGCTGCCAGCACTGCGTAAGCTTGAGATTCTCTCATCTGTACTTGTCCTCTTCCTTTCATCTCTTACGGACGGCATCATCCCCCGCACCCTGTGGTTCAAGCTCAACAACTCTCTACCGCAGAACCTGACAGCTGTGAACGACGGAAGGTTACTGGTACTTGACGTGCTATCAGAAAGCCCGAGCCACAACATCAGTCTCGTCTTCCTCACTACGGCCCTGGCTCGCATCGCCGCCGAACTCACACCCACGATGCCTGTCCCCCAGAAGAGGCTGAGCTTCCGAAGAGGTAACGCCACACAATTGGCAGAGCAGGATGCAGCTCAGAGGCGTAGGGCAAAGGAGCGTCGTTTTGCAGAGCTGGTGGCGCCGGCGGTCTGCCGCTCTGGCGCAGGCGAGAGAGACAAAGCTTCGCGCGAGAAGGAAAGGGCTGTGCTTGAAGTGTGCCTGAGGCTGGACGATGGCTAGAGCCCATGTTTCATCAGTAAAAGAGGCCGGTTGACGAGATCAGTCATCACGTATCCTTGGACAAGCTTCAGTATCATATATCAAGATAAACAGCAGAAAAGCGATCCAACCCGGCTCATACCGGAGTCCAAGGGGGGGAAATATGCGGCTTCTCATAGCTACTAGTTACTAGTTGTCTATTGCAATACATTTCTCTTATTTAGACCATGGATCCCATGAGGATGATAACACATCACGGTCTCCTATTTGTCAGTCATGTTCATAGGGCTGCTCCTCCCTGTGCCTGATGTGGAAGCTCTTGCTAGCTCTAATAGATTTACTTTATCACTCGATGAAGTATCGCATCTTTGTGCATTTGTAGAGAGCGTTTGGGGGAGGGCTGTTGAGCAAGTGAGCAGGTGAGCAGGAAGCCCGCTTGCTGTCCTCCCACCCGTTTCCCTTACCCCTTCTCTCTCCTTCTCACTCGTTTATCCGGCCCTGGTGTAGGAATCTCGACCATCCTTTTCGCCAAGCATCCTCTCCTCTTACATCCTCCTTTACCCCGAGCCCTAGAAGTCTTATGAAATACTGCTTTATCCATATATTTATTTACCTTGTTTAATAAGTCCAAAGGACAAAAGGCATCAGAGACCCAGAGACGATTCAACATGAGATCATGGCTGACAATGCCGAGCGATAATGGGCTATCGAAAGACGATGGGTCAAGCAGGACTCCCAGGGGTCAGGCCCCAAACAACAACCACGACTCGCACAGCGATCTAGATGATGAGCTGGAGGCCTACCAGAGGTTTACAGGAAAAGTTACACGAACGACGAAGCTTCCTCATCAGTTTCGTAATATTTTACGAAACCAGATCCAAGGGAGATTGAATTTCCTGGAGAGTTTTTGGACACGTGCATTCATATTCTTTAAAGAGTGCTATGCTCACAATTCTCGATCCTCAGAGGTAGACATCTCGTCCAGCCTTAGCCAGCAGCAAAATACCTTGCCAGAGAGCGACGCTGATAGTACTACGACATTTAATGTTCGACTATCACGCGGACGTGGACACAGAAGGGGGGGGGGGGGGTACGCCAAAAATGCCAATGGGGCGTATTCAAGAAGAGGACGAGAAGCACGGTTGTAAGTGCAACGAAGGGGATGAGCATTGCAGGTGCGCGAACGAGCCAGAGCGAAGCCTTCTTCGAAACACCGAGAAGCAATCTGGAAGTCACGAAAATGATGATGGTCAACCCGACGATGCGGAAGTCAGGAACGGTGGATATGACGAAGTTGTTCTATTGGAAGAATACGAATGGGATGAGGGCAACGGTGAGCTTGCATACCAGCAGTCACGCTCAGTCTGTCAAAACACCGAGGCTTGGATAGATGGTAACGAAAGTTACCATTCCACAGGGATGTATACCCCACCGCTACCTCTTCCATCGTCCCAGCAAGTTCTTGAACCTCCTGAAGAGATGCCGCGAAACACACCGGACCCGTCACCAGCGGCCCCTAACGGAATCAGGTCCCAGCTGGACATATCGATCTCGCACAAGAGTTTGGTCTTTGTGTCTAACATGGTTCAGTACTTGGACCTGGCCGATTCTATCAACGGGAGATCATAAATTACCCAGGATTCTTGGTTCCCGAGAAGCCGCCAGGCCTAGAGCGCAGCGAATCCTCAAGCGACTATATGGATACCGAGGATGTGAGTATGGGAGAGCAAGAAGACCTCAGGCGGGAGAGCGGTGGAAGGGTCATGGACCTGTATCGCAAGGCGGAGAAAAGAATCAAAGACCGCAACGGAAGAAAGAAGGAGGATCAGGATCAGTACCTGCACTCTACAGACAACGACAACATCGTCGGTGCTAAGAGTAAGCTACGAACTAAGCTCATCTGCAGGATACTGGACAACGTCCGGAAAGATGGCTTGAACGCAAAGTTAGTCACCAGCAGCCACCTCTTGGAGATCCGGAAGCACCTATTTGCGGCGAGTCACTGCCTGCAGCACATGGAGGAAACATTATCTTCGATTCGGGCCACGCAGAAGAAGAACCCGCTCCGCAGACTGATGCCTCTGCGGGGTAATGATATCCGATTGATACTCAAGAACGTTGGCGAGGGAAGCCCTCTCAAGCAATCAAGATTGGTGGACGATAGCTCGTCTCTGAATAGTACCGAATCGGACACCTCGGAGATGGCTCAGGAGCGTCATATGGAACGAGAACCCAGAAGGTGGGATCCCGACCTCGAGCTAGAGAACGAAGAATCTAAATCACACTGCGCAGGCAAAGCAGTTGACCATGGTTGTCCTTATATGGGAGAGGAGAAATGTGGAGAGCCGACTCGGGCTCCTCAACAGACCAACGATGAAGACTGTACCCTCCAAGAGAGCTGCGCTTTTCGAGAAAGCTGGGACCTCCAAGAGGCCAACTCTCAAGATTACATATACCCAGGTAAAACAGTTAGTCGCGGCGGCCTCGTACAGGGGGAGGAGCGCGGTGAGAGTTCGAGTCATCCTTCTCAATGGACTGAGGAGGATGACGCATGACTGCCTGAATGGTTAAACAGATGGCCGCAATGATATCAATGATGGGCTACGCAGCGATGTGAAAAACTCGTATGGAGCTGGAGAAGGACAATATGAGCACATGGAATGTTAGAAGAAATGAAGAGCGGCTTATTGAGAGGTTGGTGGGGATGGATATCAGCATCTTAGATTGGGGAGGATTATTATATTTGGCTTCCAGTTTTGTATATGGCATAAAAGCGTTTGGCTTACCTTGTAATTTGGCTTGGGAGCGTCTGACTTGCTTTATATCGAGATTAGAAGCTTTTGGCTTCATGTCGCTATTTGCTTCTTCAACAAACGATTTCGCCACTCACTTTATCCTTTCAACTGTATTGGAATGAACGACGAGACCATGGTCTAAAAAGCTCCGAGGACTCCTCTACGATGGTTACATGTACGAGTATACAAGTAGCGTGTGCGGGTCCGCATGCCGGTTTACCGGGGCGGCCCGAGAAAAAGGTGAGGTTTGACTCAAAAGGTTAGCGTGAGCTGACATATGTAGGCCTCAATGCAATGTCCAATGAATGCATTCGCAAACGCTTTACGAGAAACTCGCGAAGATGCACGTGCTTCCTGTTTGTCCAATTCTCCAGACGTAAGGCGGACGGCACGCACGCGACATGCGCTTTCATTGAGGGGTCACCACATGTTGTCCATGTACGCACTCCAATTGGACTGTCTTGGATGGATGGGCGGCTAAAAATGATGGATTATTGGACTGAAGTGCCCTTGACAATTGACCAGGAAAAGCTGCCGATTCTAGGGGGTCCTTTGGAAAAAATAGTCACGACTCGTCGTACCGTGTGTATGGAGTATTACGAGTAAAGAGATATACACAACCCCTCAATTGTTCTCGTATCTGTACCTTATCATGGTAAATATCCATCCGTTCAGCAGATGGGACGAACATCAACTCCATTCCATCTTTTCTCTCTCTCTCTCTCTCCCTCTTTTTCTTTATTTTCCTCTTTGCGTCATCCCTCCTCACCGGCTGTCCTTGTATTGTACGGGGGCGTGAGTGTTAGTCTGTTCGTGCTCTACCTCAGTTTTTCAATTCTGTTTCCGAAGTGGTTATGACCTTCTCTGTACCATCCGTTCCTGCGCTCAGCCTCGGCGTGGCAACATATTTCCAGCCGGAATGAAGAAGACATAGTATTTCTCTCTTTTTCCCACCCCCCAACTGCTTAAAAACGCACATCGGAACCATGGGATTCTTCACCAGGAGTAACAAGGCCAAGGAGCCCACAAAGAAACTCAAGTCGGCGTCGCTCACTGAGCCCCCCAACGTCTTTGTTCCCGTCTCACAACCCGTCTACAGTCAGCAGGTCAATGCGTCAACTCCACAGCTGAGCGGCGGTCGTGGGAAGCATGTGAACAAGAAGAAGAAGAAGAAGAAGAAGGAGCAAAAGCAGCAACCACCAGTACAAGCGCAGCTGCAACTACACCAACCGCCCCCGCAACAGCAACAGCAACAGCAGCAACAAAATCAGGGCCATCATATGTGCGGCCCCGTCGTCGTCAATCAACATTATTACCTTGGTGGCCAACCCCCACAGAACCACTCCTCACAACCCTTGCCACTGCTGCCGCCACGACACCCCTACGCCGCCACCGTTGGTTTCTCATCGTCAGTGGGAAACCTCGCGCAGAATCTTAAGGTCGTGCCTAGTTGCGCCGATGGCCTGACAGCCTGGTATGACTATAGCGCTGATCTCGTGACATCGACGGTAAACGCCTGCGATGACATCTCTCGCCGCCTCAACAGGGTTCTCACTCTGATTGACGGAGAGCACCTGGCTGGCGACGAGGTGGACCTTTTTACGTGTCGGACCCAGGTCCCCGAGAGCTCGTCCTCTGATAGTCGCAGGACGGATGGAAAGAAGTCGTCCAAAGATCGTGATAGATCTAAGAACAGGAACAAGGACAAGGCGCTGTCTGCCAGCCACGATGTCTTTGACAAGGTGAATGCGTATGCCAATTCACGGCTGCCCAAGGACCTTCCGCCGTTTGCCGTGCAGACGGCCACTTGGCAGCTGCTCTGCCTGGCAGCGAGATACTCGCTGAGCGTCTACGACCGACCGTCGGGTGCGGAGCGGGAGACGCACGTGTCGTCGGACTGGCTGACGGGAACAAAGGCTATGTGCATCAAGTCGGTGCCCATGGACGACATGGAGACGATTGTGTTTGCCGTCCGCGGCACGGCCAGCTTCATGGACTGGGCCGTCAATCTAAGGGTCGAGCCGAAACCCCCCACTGGCTTCCTCGACGACCCGGGAAACCTGTGCCACGCGGGGTTTCTCAGTGTGGCTCGCCACATGATCCGGCCGGTGGCGTTGCGGCTACGCCAGCTCTTGCGCGAGGACCCCTCGCGTTCCCGCTGCAGCCTTCTGATCACTGGCCATTCGGCCGGCGGTGCTGTGGCCTCGCTGCTTTACTCGCATATGCTGGCGCAGGCGGCCGAGTCGCAGAGCGAGCTGAGCCTGTTGACCGGTCGTTTCAAGAGGGTCCACTGCGTCACGTTCGGTACACCACCCGTCAGCGTCATGCCCCTGGCTGGGCCGGAATGCCCACAGCTACGGACCAACAGTCTCTTCCTGAGCTTTGTCAACGAGGGCGACCCCGTCACCCGCGCCGACAAGGGCTACGTCAAGAGTCTCCTGGAGCTTCTGGGCTCTCCGTCGCCGGATGCAAAGCACAGCAGCAAGACGCGCCGGAAGAAGAGCAGCAACCCTGTTCCTTCTGCTGCCAAACCTGTCTGGCCGGTCCCGCCATGCACCCTGAGCAACGCGGGCACGATCGTTGTCATGCGGGGACACCACCACCATCGTCGACCGTCCGGTCATCGCATGGCTACCTTGAACCATCGCCTGGAGCAGGGCGTCGCGGCTCATGTGTGTCGGGAGGACCAGCTGCGTGGCGTCATCTGGAGTGAGCCCATGGCCCACCTCATGCAGCTCTATGCCGGGAGGATTGAGAGCCTTGCTGTGCAGGCTGTCACGGGCAAGTATGATTGACTTGAGAGCGCACACTCTCAGGGCTGGGTCGCCTTCCTTCGACTTCAGCTGAAATAGGCTGGTCCGAGCATGTGTAACGCTGAGCGTTTCTTTTCTTTTGTCACGATACTACGAGTTCCATGCGAATGTTTTCAGTTGAGAACCGAGATACCAAAGTTTTTATATATTGACGATTGCTTCTTCCCTCTATCGATACCTTTCTAAACCACCGCTTGGCGATGCATGCTGTGGGAAATAGTGTCTCGTCGAGGACCTCGGGGGTTGGGTTAGGGTGTAGGAGTAATCTAACATCTGTATGTACGGAGTACAGGGGAGGTATGATATGACAGGTGACGAGATCCAGCACGATCTTTGTCTTAACGCCCTCATGATATCATCACGCAGTAATACGTCTCAGCCGGTGGCGTGAACAATGCAGGCAATACGAGTACTACGTGCGAGCAAAGAAAGCAGTAATGATCTGTTGATTGCAGGTTTTAATGACTAACAGTATTGTTTTGTGGACGGAAATACAAAGAGAATAATACCAATGACGAAGACTTCGGGCTAGCTCAAGAATCTTACCCGACCCCTTTCCTCACCCGTCTGGCTGGTTCGCCCCTTGTTGGTGATCCGTCCGCCCTTCCCTTCTTTCCATTTGACATTTGGCCGCCGCCCGCATTATGTGAACCCACCCCGATGTACCCTTGGGCTGTCCTGTCTGATCGGAGTGTGCAAGAGCTGAGAACACTCAATAGGGCTCACAATATCCAAAGGCTGCGATGAGGCTGCAACTAGGGCAAGGGCCAGCAGCCAGCAGCCAGGGGGTCATGGGAGGATATACTTGTATATTATCAGCGCAACTTTTTTCTCACTCTTGAAGATGATGATCGACATGTCATCTTAATTTCTTCCCATCTCCCAGTCCTCTCGTCTCCTACAAGTACTACTCGTATTATTACTTGTACTACCGTCCTGTCTGTAAGGAGGGTGTGGATTAGAGGGGGACCTGCATATAATACAAGCGCCTAAAGAGATAACAGTAGACTTAATAATATCCCTCCCCACAGCTTGGTTTGAACAAGACAACGTGCCTTAGTGCCGGTGTTGGCAATTAGCCAGGAACCAACGGGATTCCTACTGGTTGAATCTCTTCTCATTAACATATGTACTAATATGGAGCTGTTATTTAACTTGTTTGGACCCTCCACCAGGGGTTTGGGCCAATCTCTGTCGTCGGCTGTGTTAATGAAACACTGTTTCCCTCTTCTGTCTTTCTGTTCCTGTGCGCTCACTTTGCACGGTCCTTTTCGATATAGTATTAGATCTCAACATGTGGAGAAGATGTCGATGAGACAATGCCTCTGGCCTGGGCCGTTAGGTGAAAATAAGAGACATGACAAGAGCAAGGACCGACGTTCGGGCGATGAACTTGTCGATGCAAATCGCGACCCCTGCCTGGACCTCATCAACAACAACAACGTCCTGCCATGTCTGAAGGACGTGTCCCGTCTCTGTCACATTCTAGCGCGACACCGCCGTGGACCTCGATTCGTCGAGGCCGTTATTGCCTCTAAGTGGGACGGGGATTTAATATCAGCACACAAACCCTGTCGATACCGACGAGTTAACACCCAAGGTCGCCGAGCGGGCTCCTAGGACAATCACTCAGTTATGTTAATCTTTTTCTTGTTATTAATACCTCCAGGCTCTCAATCTCACCTTAGCGGCTTAGCAAAGCTCGTCGGTACTAAGCGGGGTCCACACACACACACACATACACACACAGACACCCGGCTCCTGTTTGTTGGGGTTGGTTGACAGTTCGGGCTCGTGTTCATCTCCTCTCTTCTGGTCCGTCATCGTGCTTCGTCCGGCGTCTCGCGTCCCGTGCAGTTTTCTCGAATCCCGGTCAACCTGCGTATGCGTACTTCGTACATTGACACACATGAGCCATTCAGGAAAGGCCTTTTCCCATCTCCACCCTTGTTGCATGTAATACCCACGGGCCACGCCCTCTGTTCGTTCCCCATCCTTCTATACATGTACATCACTCATTTTCTTCCTCTCTCTCTCTTCTCACACCCGCGTGCGTGTTTGGTGATTCGCCCCTCACCCCACACTATTTCCACCTTCTTCTTCCATTCTTTTATTGAAGCAACAAAGCCATCTTTTTCATCCATTGGCGGTGTAGATTTCGATCGACCTTGACATCGGTGTCCCTGGCGTTGACGCCTTCCTTGCTTTCTGTTCCGTCAACCACAACTAGTCGTTCCTTCGCACTGCACGGCCATTGCAGCTGCCCGTTTCTTTTATGACACCAAACAGCCACAGCTGTACCCATCCTTCGTTTTCCCCGTCCACGGCCGAACCTCAGCGTTTTAATTGCCAACGCTTTGGCCATTCGATCCAGGATACTCTTCTGCCATTCACCTTTCGCCTAGAACGCCACATTCTACCAGCGCATTGAACCCACGAATTGCGCGTTGATCTTGTAAGTGAGCTCCGAAACGCGCGCGCGAGACTCTTCCGCGACACGTTGAAAGTGAGCGTTGTAGCTGACAGATTCTCAGGGCGACCTATAACAGGAAGAAGAAGAGAGACAGTATCACAAAGACGAACATGCGGATATCTAGTTTCTTATCCTAACACAAGTCGCCGCCGACAACGGCCACGCCTTCGATCATGACGACAGCCACACCCGACCAAGCTCGGCTACGGGCCAAGTCTTTCGACGCCTTGAGCACGGCAAGCCGTCCACAGGCCCCCAAATTCATATTTGACGCCCCTAGACCAAGTAGCTCAAGACGAATAGCTATGCCGCGTGCCACGTCGATATCCGAAATACAGAATACCGCTGCCCGTCTGACTGCCGCACGCGGCCGCCTAGATGGCGGTGAACCGAACAACGCGGAGGACGGCTTAGATAATGTCGCCCGCGAGCAGACTGACAAAGAGGCTATACGAGAACTTGGACAGTTCCTCCGCACTACTGGCCCTCGCCCTTCTCGGACTGAGGATCCTCATGACGATCGTTGCTTTAGCAGGTCTCCGGAAGGTACCAACCGCCGCTGGTCTATTCGCTCTCTGAGGAGAGGCGACAAGCGTCGGCCAATAGCCACTACTCCATCCAATGACGCCGCCGTACTCAGGACAACGATAGGTGGACACTCCTACAGAGCTATCGCAGTCCCTTACGCTCCCTTTGACGGCCACCGTCGAACGTCGTCACTCCAATACCGCATGTCGGCCTTCCAAACACCGCACATGCCTCCTGCCCACAACCGTGCCCCTTCGGTTGATGGAAGGCATTCATCCGGCGATATCCGGATCCCCCCTCGGGGAGCCAGCAACCGTGCCCCTTCGGTTGATGGAAGGCATTCATCCGGCGATATCCGGATTCCCCCTCGGGGAGCCAGCAACCGTTCTCCTTCGGTTGATGGAAGGCATTCATCCGGCGATATCCAGATTCCCCCTCGGGGAGCCAGCACTCGTTCGCGAAGCCGTTCGCAACTGTCAGCTAAATCATCCAAGGCTGGAGACATTGCCGCCGTCATTTCACGGTCTTCATCGCGTGCCGAAAAAAATTCCTACAAGGTGTCAGTCAGTGTGTCCACGGCTGAACCCGGTGTTCGGTCTTTCATGCGCCTCATGGATCAGTGGCTCGATGACCAGAATCAATCTCCGTCCACAGAGCAGGACGTCCAGAAAGCTCCGACAGGACCACAGCGGCCACTCATCCACAGGGCGAAGCCCTCGGCCGCTACCCTTGCTCCTGTGTCAGAGCCAGGCGACGAGGACCAGCAGAGCAATGAGGCGCTGTTTGTTACCTCCATCATCCCTGACTCTGAGCCAGAGCCTCCAGCATTGTCTCCATCAACAACAGCCAAGGGAACCCCCGAGGTTGGCTACGGGCTCCCCTTCACACCACCCCTTCGATCCAACGAGCCCAGGTTCAAGGACGTCTCTGTTCACCACGATGAAGACGGACAGGACTCTGCAGGATTACTCTCGAGGACGCCTGATTTGGGGAGTCAAAAAGGTGACATGCCCTCGCCTCGGAGTGACTCGCCAACTCTCAACCAGCCGAGAAAACCGCCCAATATTCAGGTTGATAACTCCCTACGCTTGCCTCTAAGCAAGGTGCAGCCCGACTCGCCTGGGTTTCCTGCCATGCTGGCCACCATGTCATTCCCTTCCCCCCCCGAGAGTGTCCGCTCTCACTCGCCCACCAGCAGCGTACACATGTCTACACCTCCTCTGCCGAGCATCCCACATCATGCAACGGTACCGTCTCTGCCGTCAGACCTTAATGAACGCGTAATGAAGCAGCTGCCGCCGATACCGAGGCCGACTCTGCCAAGGCGGCACGAGTCTGAGGGTGGCATGCTTAATAAATTTTTATCCCAGAATCCCGTTGCTGGAAAAATAAATGTGTCGCATTTTGGGGCCCCTACTGTCTCATCCGCGACCCGAAAATTTGCACATTTTCGGAAAGCTTCAGAGTCGACAGCGGGCACCCGAACGCCGGGGCCGGGGGACGTGGCAGAGCCTAGTGGAAATAACCTCAGGCAGCAAGGTAGGCGAGAAAGGGCCGGTCTCGACGAAAGCCAATCTCCCCGACACTCCATGACCAGCACGCTCGCGTCGTCACAGCAATCGGTATCGATGAGTGAAAATCAGAGCCAGTCGCTCATGAGTGACACGTCAACGGCTACGGAAACCTTCACAAAGGAGATCACTGGGCGGGGCGATTTCACTACGGAGGACACGTCGGTGGCTGGTGACAAATTTTCCGACTCGAAGAGAGCCTCGCTCAGATCCACGGGATCGGCAAGCACTGGCGGTAGCGGTACCACAGCAAGCCTTGCCGAACGGCGGATGGCGCGTCGGGTACGGGTGCGCGAGAAGTTGCAACGGGACCTCGATGCGACCAAGAACGCCAACCTCAGGATCCAACGTCCTGGACCCACAGTCCCAGCTGCCGACTCACCGGTCCTTGGATGGTTCCCCTCCATGGGGCCTGAGGGAGCGTCAAACCCGCCTGGGAAGTCGCCTCTAGCTGGTACCCCAACGGGTCCGGGAGAAGAGCGGAGAGGCGGGCTTATGCCAAAGCCATTGGAGGAAGAGCCATCGTCAGACCTACCTCCTTGCTGTAACTCCTCGGCTCAGGAGGTCACAGCCCAGATCCCCGAGACGGTCCAGGAAGTGACATCCCCCGCGTCACCGTCGACGCCTAAGCCAACCAAGCGCCTGACGCTGTCGCCTATTATAGTGCAGGAGACGAAGCCTGAGGCCATTCCGACTCCATCCCTAGCCATGTCGCCCATAATGGTGGTGGCCAGCATAGAACCGCCTCAGTCTCCGTCATTGCCACTGTCGTCCTCAAGCCTACGCCCCCTGTCGCTACTAGCTATCGGGACAGCCCCCAATGTCCCACCGCGCTCCACGCTCCGGGCCGACACCAAGTCCAGCAACCGCCATCGGCCTCTACCCATCAGGGTGAGCAAGAACCCGCTGGAGCTGACGGTCAACACAAGTCATAGCATCAGCCTGAAGCGATACAGCACGCCAGCCGTGCCGAGCCCCCTCATGTCGCCCGAGGCGGCGACCCCACGTATGAGCATGCACCTGTCTAGGACCATCAAGTCCAACTCAGCCCCGCCTTCGTCGACGAACAACTCGTCCGGCAGTGCTGAGCATCGTCGCAAGTTCTCCCAGAGCCAGCTCGACCAGGAGACGTACTGGCTGAGCCAGCATCGACGTGAGACGGCCGAGGAGTGGCGCACCGATGCCCTCCGGGAACGTTCAAGGCGCGAGGGCAACAGCCGCCTCAGCTGCTATAGTAGCCAAAGTCAGACTACCCGTGGCGCTGGAGACGATGAATCCGACACGTCGGAAGCGGCTGACAAGTATCGCAGCAGCAGCCTGCGTGCCCTCAATGCCAATGCCAGTCACATGGTCGCCATGGACCAGGAGGTCGGGCTCAACCATGCTGAGCGTCGTCTGCTGCGCATCCTGCTTCCACTGCTCGAGAGCATGGACGCCACGCTCAAGGACATGAGGAAGGACAGTAGCGACGGTGGTCTGTCGTCGAAGCTCGTCGAGTCTGCCAAAGCGATCGTGGAAGCTGGGGAGGAGTCTGCTGACGACGACAGTCCCACGGCGCAGGTTGATAGAGCTTCTGAACTGTCTTTGGCCCTCGAGTCTGCCAGGGCACTTGCCGAGCACACCACGGCGCTGACCCACGCGGAAGCCAACATTGCTTCGTTAACCATGGATTCTGCCGAGGAAGTCACCACCATCAAGGAGAAACGCAGTAACGCTACGGCGCTCGGCACCGAGTCTTACACCCTTGAGTCTGCCAAGGCACTTGCCGACACCATGGCGGCGGAGCTTTCCAGGTCGGAAGAAACCACGGAGTCAACAAACCACGAGGAACTCGCCGCTGACGCTATGGCTCAGTAAGCCAAGATGTCGAAGTAACCCTTTTTTCTTTTCCTTTTTTCTTTTTCTCTCTCTTTTAATATCTTTGACATGGCTATTTCTTTTTACATTACATTCTGGACATGTCTTTCATTTCTCAAAATATTTTCTTTTAACTTTGATGATGTTGTACATGCAATACATAGATGCCATGGAAGCAATTCGGGGGATACGAAGGGGGGATATTCAAGCGAGCGACGTATTCTTATCTTTATAACTAATATTTGTCTTTCTCACTTTTGTCAAATTACCTCCATTCTCAAGTGTTTTCGGCTAAATTAATCGCATTAGCATTTCTCTCAAGTTCAAATCATCTGCGTTATATGCATCACTAGGTTGGGAGCGCAAACACGAAATCGACTAGGTTATGTGCCATTCCTATATGAAAACTGTCGTCTAAAAACAAGGAAAATCTTCGTTGAACCAGTACGTCCACACCCCAATGATTTTCGGATTGAATGCCATATTTAAGACGTATCTTGTGCAAAGAAATAGCTTTTCCCCCTGTCATTTAGTATTAAGGGGAAATATTTGAGTAGAAAGGATTTGAGTATATATATAAGGGATATAAAATAATAGAACGAGAGGAAAATGAATCCGAGTAAATATTCTGTGTTCTTTTGTTCTCCCGAAATGCCAGAATGGAAGATATGAATACACGCTAGGGAAGAACAATTGTCTGGAAAGAAGGTATAAGAGAAGACAGGAAAAAAGGCAAGTCGGTAAAACTTTGTTTTCGTGTTCTTGTTTTGTTACTGTAATGCGCTGAAATCAATCTCCCCAGTCATAGGCATGTTGACTATTGGTCGTGACGCCTCCGGTGGCCTCTGTAGACTTTGAAAATCGTTCACTGCGCGCATCTGCTGAGGGGTAGGTGACGATTGTAACTGGAATGTTGTTTGACGTTGCTGTAGTGGCGGTGGTATTTGTGACTGCTGCTGCTGCTGCTGCTGTGTTCGCATGATGGGGTGTGATGCTGGCACGGTGGCGGCGTTGATGGACATGGCGTTCATGTGCTGCGGTGGTTGTTGCGGGGTCTGTTGCGGTGGAGGCGGTTGACTCATGTTATTTGAAGGGTCATGGCTCATCCGTGGTGCAGTGGTAGGTGGTTGCTGCTGCTGCTGCTGCTGCTGGGTTTGGGTAGGTGGAGGTTGGACGTGACCCAAGGGCGGCGTTGATTGATGATGGTGGTGGGTGGCGTGGGCCATCGGGCTCATGACGATGTCGGGCATTGTGAATCCGCCCATTCCTGCGGGGTAGTCCATACCCGGAGACATGATGCCAGGGGAACCAAAAGAGCTGTTGATGTCCGAGGCTGACGGCGGCGGCTGCGGGTGCGCGGCCTGATGCGTCGTGGGAACTGTCGAGGTCGAATGGTTCGAACTGGTCGTCTGCGACTCGGGTGTGGAGCCATTCATATCCATGGCGGCGGTGTACTCGGCATCGTACTCCTCAACGGGGAACTTGCGGTCGTAGTCGGTCGTGTCCATGGCCATCTGCATCTGAGGCGGGGGCTGAGCCATGCCCGCGGTACCGAAGCCGTCAAAGATGTCAATGTTGGCCATCTTGGGATTATCTGGGGCGTTCTGAAGCATCGGGTTGACGAGGCTGGGGAGCAGCTCGGCAGTCTTGCTCATGAGGGCGGGCAGGAAGCGGTGGTCGCCGTTGCGCGACATAGCCACCATATTGAGGAGCTCGTTCATGTGGCTACGGGGGCCAGGTCTGTAGGAGACGGGAGAGTCGGGCTGCATAGATAAGAACTCTATCATGAGGTGGGTGACTTCCATGAGTCTCTCGATCAGGCCAGAGTTAAGAAGCTCGAGACCGTGTCCCTGAAACTGCGAGGCCATGGCCATGAGCAGGTCGCGGGGCATGTTGCTGCCGGAGTATTGAAAGGACATGGCGTCATCGTTGACAGATCCATTCGTGAGCTGCCAGACGGTGCTCTTGAGCCACTGCTGGTTGGTGTGGTAGTCGGAAAAGCTCGAGTCCTGGCATATGTAGGACTGGGCCATCTCGTTGAGCTGTTTTCGGAGGCTGGCAATGTGGGACGGGGCCAGACTGCTACGGGCCTTGTTCCATGTGGCGACCAGAGACTCGTCAAAGGGCTTGAATAGGCTGACGAGGAGGACGAAGGGGTTGAGCTGGTGGGCCAGGGGGTCCGAGGGGTCGTCCCTAGCGGTAGGCAGGTTGATTGTGGGCTGGAGAGTCAGGGGACGATTGCGCTGGAGAGCGTAGGCCCTCTCGGTGGCGTAGAGAAGCCAGAAGAGGCGGCGACGGCGAGTGGCTTCAGCAGATTCCATTTGGAGGTAGTGCTCCTCCTTGTGCATGCCAGCCAGGTGGACCATGGTTGTGGCCTCGCGGAGGTGGTACCAAGCGCGGTCGTGCATCTCCTGGGCGTAGTGGCAGCCGAAGAGGAAGAAGCTAGTTGCGACTGTGTTGTGTGTGATGGCGTCGAGGTACTCGTACCCCTTGCGAACACGAACGGCCTCCTCGACAAGGAGCTGGCTGGAGATGATATTGGCGCCGGGCATCATGTTGAGGCTGTACAGGTCGCCCGAGGGCATCACCATGCCAGGCTGTAGAATGACGAAGGCGCACAGCGACGTGATGAGACAGTAAAAGTCACGGTTATGGTCCATGTAGAGAAGTTGCTGCTCGATCTGCATACGGTCGAGAATGGGCAGTTGGGCATACATGTTCTCGAAGTAGAAGTTGAGACATTCCTTGATGATGTCGCCGGTCAGCAGTCCAGGAGTGGGAGTGAGTGTCGTAGGCGGCGGGCACGAAACATCCTGTAGTCGGCTCTGAACTTTGGCCAGGAGGCTCGTCTGGCGCTGCGTCTCCCTCAGCTCGCTGATGACCTTGGCTCGCGAGCCCTTGGGACCCTTTTTCTGAGGGACGGCGTTGTAGGTGCACGACAGGCTGGCCTGGTTGCAGTTGCGGCAAGGGTTGATTCCGTCACACTTGACCTTGCGACGATGGCAGGCATCGCAAGCCCTCTTGACGGCTTGGGTCATGGCGGCGGACAGTGTCGGTCGCTGAGAGCGGCCGGTTGTTGTCGTGGTCGGGGAGGGAGTGATGACAGGTATTCCAGAAGACAGATGGTGTTTCGCCTTTGTCGTATTACTCAGGGCGAGTTACTGTCGAGATGTCAATGGCAAAATGCGAAAGGCTGCCAGTCATACGAGCCTCACAGATGGCGAGACCTCGGTGGCGAGGTTGCGGCGGAGGGGGGGAAGATCTGACAGTGAGACAGGTACGGGACGCAAAGGGGAAGGAAGTGAGGGTTATTGAAGAGAACAACCTCCCATCCCAAAGAAAGTCGAAACGCTGTCAGGGAAGGGGGGGAGGGGGCCAGGGGCGTTAGATTGCGGGGATGGCAAGTTGACGTCGCGGCCACGTTGGTACAGGTGTGTGTATGTTGTATGTGTATATAGATAGGTAATGGTAGTAGTGGATGGATGTGAGAGGAGAGTGTGTGGGAGCGTTGAGGCTTGCAGGTGTTATTCGGCCCTTTCGATCGGGATATGGAGGATAAGGAAAAACCTGGGGTTGACTCGGTACAGTAAATGCGTACGAGTCCGGCAACCCGTCGTGTTTCTAACTCTGTTGGTCCGAAAAGAGGACGAGATCACCTCTGATATCGTTCCTATGTCATGTGGCTTCGAGATGATGGGAAAAGGTAAGAAATGAAAAGGGTATAAGCCAGGCAAAAGTCTGCACAGAAGAACACGCACACGTACAGCAAGTACGCACTCAACCAGCCTGGGCCATAAGGAGAGCAGAAGAGAGAGGGAACCAAAGACACATGGAAACGGAGGGGGGCGAACAGCGGATCCAACCCACCAGACAGGTTTAGTTTCTTCTACCAGGAGACGGAGAGACGGAGCCAGAAGGCAAGACAGAAGAAAAAAAAAAAGAGGGGGTGGAGGTGTGTGCCAGGGGGTAATTGGGGGGGAAGTTGGGAACAAGGGGGACAGGGGGGGTCTGAACCACGGGGGAAGAGAAAGAAAGTGTGTATGGAAGGGGAAAAGCCCCATATCAGGCATCGTGGTTGGATGAAGGATGAATGATGGTGGGCTAGATTGTGGGTTAGGTTGTGGGTTTGAAGCCTTGGAGACGTGGGATGATGTTTTGAGACGTGGTGTGGTGGTGGTTCGTTTTGTGGGTTGACACTGTGCTGAAGGGCTCTGGAGGTCACGAGACTTGGGTCTTTTTTTAGTGCCTGTGTACTCTGTAGATCTCCACATGTACCTTTCCTGTGTGACTGTGGTGCGTCGGGTACAAGTTACGGTCATGGACGAGGCCTGCACAACTACATGTACAAGTATAGGTGTAATACCCGCCGTCGCAATATTAGCACCGGGAAAACCCCCTGTAGAAGCCCTGTTAACCCTGTAGTAGCCCTATAGAGGGCCTGTAGCAACGACAGCCCTCCCACAGTGCTCACCGTGCGTATTCCGTCAATCCTGCATCGTCGTCTTGGCCCATGCCTAATTCAGTGCAAAGTCCGTTCCACATGTACCAACTTCTGCGTTGATTTCCATTGTATTAAATAAAATATTTTTTTCTCCATGTTCTTAATAACCGCTCTGGCAAAACTTGCGTGCCTTGACTCTCCTCACCCATACCCGTACAGGAAGCTCGGTCGCCCCATCGTAAGTACGAGTATGGTCGGGTTACCACTGATAGCAGTATTAACTCGTTGCTGCCAGCATTGCTGGACTGTAATGATTCTGCATAGCTCACCACTATTCACGGTATTACTACAAGATGGACTCTACTGGGAGAAATATTCAACGGGTTATCACTGCCAGTAATAATAATAACCGCAATATCAACAGTACGAGTAATCGTCAGCATCCTGTGTGCGCGTGCGTCTGCAAATACGAATGAATGTCCAGCACTCATGCCGCCCAGCCAAAGTGGCGTTGTCCAGGCTTCTTCCGTCCCTGCCGCCCGGAATACACGGAAGAAATGGATTATGTACTGCCACAACATCCTTAGAAGAGAAAGAGAAAGAGGGTAAGGGTGAGAGAAGCTGGGCCGTCGTCATCGATGGCAATAACTACCATTAACGAATCCATGTTATTACCGTCATGCTCAACTCAAGATCACCTACCCAGCCTGTATTACTGTTCATCACATTTTTTGCACAGCCGCTACCAAGTAAATACTTACAGGTTACTATGGACTAGTACTCCGTAGTACTAGTATATTCATACTTACTCTTACTCGTACAGGCAGAGACGTATAAGCACAGTCAGCAATACCCGGCGCCGGGCAGTACATCTACTCAAACCCCAGAGAAGGCCCACTTATCCCCCCCCCCCCCAGAAGCCCGAGAAGAGGGGGAGAAGGATGTTACTGTCCCCATGGTCCCATTATATTCGTACAGCCGTGGCGCCATCGATGGCATTGACAGCCAGTACGGCGTACATGCGACCATGTATCTCAGTATTTCACATATACATACACGTATATGTACCCGTATCGGTTCTCGTTGGTATGCTCTGCAGTTCACTCGTACCAGTATCGTACATTTTCCCCTCACTTGAGTTTTATGCTTGAAGTCTAGTATTACTAGTATTGTGCACTTTCCTGACCTGAATCTCTTTCGTCTTTCTGTAGTGTTGAGAGTCAAATGTCTCATCAGGGTCGACAAAAAAACGTGGTGTTGCTTCATCACCCCGCTACCAGTACATGTTTCCATCAAGGGAACGGGAGTACCTTGGGAACGAATGCGTCTCACGCATTCCAATTCCACGCCCTACAGGTACGGAGATGTACACAGCAGCCAAATCCAAGGCATAATCACAGTATTGGTAATACTTGATCCTAGTACATCTCTCTTTCACTCTCTTTCTCTCTGTTCGAGGTAATGAATTGATGGGGTCGGTATCTGTCCCTCTACATCTGTCCTCACAGCCCCTCTTTCCCGACTCGTCTTGCCGCCGCTTGGCGGTCCGACGACCTCGTGCCCATCATGGCTACTGCTGCCCTATATCACATAACTTGATCACTATGTAGTAGTGATAGTAACATCACTCTACTCTACATTCGTGCTATTTCTCTACGTCGTATTATAACCCAACTAGAGCGTGTCTACCCTATATCGCAGGCTTTGTGCTTCTAGCGGGCGACAACATACGATGACCCGTAGACGCAAATACAGTGGTCTCTACCTACGTATACGTCCTAGTTCGATATGTGTGTGTCTAGTTGCTTGTTCAATTCAAAAGGAAGAAATGAAATCTATGAGGCTATTTACGGTTGTGTGTGTGGCAGCAGCCCTTGGCTGCTTAGTCAAGCAACTTGGGTGCCACAACTTCGACTGAGCCAATCGCATTGGGTGGGATTTTGTTCCACTTAGCATCAGTATATTGCATATTGAAGTTATAAATGCTCTGGGGTGCTGTAGATGTCTCGAGATACGACATCTCGAATGAAGAAAAACAACAATAACAACCAACAGACAAATCGCGAAGCCTTCTTTCTCGTGATTCTTGACCGTGGAGCCCGTAACCGAGCATTTATTATGCTCCAACCGCAACGAGCACTGTCCTGCTAGAACACTGTCGCGCTAGAACCGTAGCAAGAAAATCTCGACAGCCTCCATTCCACCTCAGTCCTGGGCATTACCATCGTCACGATGGCCAGCACGTCCTTGTGGGGTAAGATATCCGACATCTGGGGCCGCAAGCGAATTCTCATGGGGACCAATGCTATTGTCTTTGCAGAAGCCTCATGTGCGCCTTTGGCAGATTGTTGTGAACATCTACATCAGCGATGTCTTCTCTCAGAGGGACCGCGGGTTGTGCTTTGGCCTCGCGTCTTTTGTATGGGCATTGGCTGATGGAGTCGGTTCTGTCACAGACGGAGTCTTTACTACCTAGTTGGGGTGTTTACTGGCAAAGCTAATTTTATTTCAATATACATGACTGACATGACGGCCATGGAAGCTGGCGATGGTGTTTCTGGATACGCCGAAAGCCTGATTATCTCCTACGGGAATGTTCGACTGACTACCAAGTTGTATGTATCAGTTCCCGTAACTGGCGCTGTTTTCCCTCTCCTTATTTTTACCTTGAAGCTCCCAAATCCGAGAACAGGCCTCCTCGTTAGCCTTGCTGCTGTTGATTGGACATGAAATCTTCTCATCGTCTGTAGCATCCTCACCTTGCTTACAGTTCTTTACTTCAACGGAGTCCATGAAACGTGAGGCTCGGCCACTGTCGTATGCCTGCTCGTGTTTGGCCTAGTTGGCGGTGCCCTCTTTATCTCAACGAGTTGAAGCTGGCCCGGCACCCCGTCGTACCCATGCATCGATTCAAGACACCCCCGTCTGCCGCTGCATACTCCGCCTGCTTCCTCAACGCCTTCTCCCTTATGGGCGTGACTTACTATCTGCCACTGTACCCTCAGGCTGTGCTTCTGGCTGTGCTTCTGGCTACCCCCGTGATGTCAGGCGTATACATGCTCCCCTTTGTCGTATCATCGTCTCCGTCTGCAACTATGATGGGCACTCACATCCAGTGGTCGAGGAGGTAGCAAGCAGTCAGTACTGTGGCCTACGTGTAATAACACTGGGCATCGGGCCTCACATCGACATTGGCCTCGACGTCCACTGGGCCAAATTGGCCGTATTCGGTGGTGCCAGATCTAGCATGAAATCCGAGCCACCCCTGCTGGATATTCAGACAGCCGCGCCGGTACGTGATGCTTTTACGGCCACCGCTGCCACGGGGTTCGTTTGAAACATACCAACGGTTGTATTCATAGTCGTTGTAGATGTCGTCTTTATGAATGAAATGGATGAGAGAGGCTGTCCTGTTAATCGAGTATCTTAGTCCGCAGACGGCGAGCCTTTTACGCGGAACTAGTGCTAGTGCCAATGTCGAGCTTGTCAGAACGTTTAGTGCAGATGGACAGGTGATTGTTAAGGAGGCCTTTTACTATCTACGAGTCTTTGCAGTCCATATGAATCCTAGTAAGGCCAACGTCTTTTTATACCGGAACCTCTGACTGACACTAATTTGCTAATCATAGTACACATGCATGCTTCTCCGCTGCTGGGTTCGTGGCAGGTTTGTGGTCAAGGGGACACCGCCTGAGCGAGGAGCACCAGGCGATACAGGTCAGTCTTGATACTAGTCTATAGCAGACTGAGACGGCTGTACAAACAAGGCGGAGACATGTATCTTGTCATCTTGTATAAGTTTAGCCAAGTTTATAATACTCTGTCAAATGTATCAAGCTCTGTGTATATACCCTGCTTTATCTCGTCGTCCGCCCAGCACATATCGACAGCATTTCTCACCAGCTGAACCATTTCAGCCTTGGACAGACCGCCATAGTGATATGCCTTCTCCATGTTGCCATCAATCCACACATTATGCATGTAAACCGGATCATCGCTGTTAATGCAGAACTTGACGCCCCGGTCAATAAGCTGTCTCAGCTTAGGAAAGAGCACCTCTGTAGCCGTGCGCCGGTGGTACGCATGTGGACACAGCGTAAGACCGATGCCCTTCTCTACCAGACCCTGGACCAGCTCGTCGCGATCGAGAACATCCAGGCCGTGATCGATGCGCTCAATGCCGATGTCGAATATGGCCTGGCGCACATGCTCATGTGTATCCTTTTGGCCAAAATCGCAGTGCGTCGTGACATGTAGTCCATCTGCCCTGGCCTGATCAAACGCATTTTTGAATAGTATAGGTGGCCGCTCGTACGCGTTGCTTGCCAATCCAACGGCGTGAAACAGTCCTCGTCCACCCCATGCGGTCGACCACGGAAGGGCAGTGCGGTACGCTTCTTCTCCTTCTTCCACTGGCTCGTCGCGCAAGAAGCAGAAGATCCAGTTAGACCGAACACCATACCGGGTCGCTCCGTCCCTCTGCGCACGCAGATAGCCATTCAGTACGGCCTCAGCCGATACCCCCCGTCGTGTATGTGCCTGGATGTCAAAGAACGGTTCCGTATACCGGACATTCATCTCGGCGCACCGCGAGAGATAGTCCATCGCCAGGTCGTAGAAATCATCTTCGTGAAGGAGAACTTCGCACCCAGAGAAGTAGGCCTCTAGAAATGTCGGGACGTCTTTCCTGCCACCCATTTCGGGACGGTGGTTATATGTCACCATGTAGGAGGCCAAGAGCTCATCATATGTTTTGTATTCCATGTCCTTAAAGCGGAGGGGGATTCCGTTGCGCTGGGCGAGGGTCCATCGGAGGATTGGGCGAAGAGTGCCTTCGATGTGAATGTGGAGCTCTACCTTTGGGAGGGAGGCTATGAAGGGGGATACTGCGATGTCTTCCATGACGCGATTACCACCCTTTGAAATTTTCTGAAAGAAGATGAATCTGGAATACAGAGAGGAAAAGAGAGGATGGATGACCTTGATAGTATTGATGCTGGGCCTCGATTTTCGGGGAGACCATGGGACGAAGACCACTTGGCTATTGACAACGTTCGTCTTGGCACTTAGAAATTTCGGCATCTAAAAGAATCCACCGTAAAAGGAAATAAAATAGGCAACTATCTAAAGGGGAAGAAAAGGCGTTGAATTGACGTTATCTCCAGCTTGCAGGAAGGTCGAAGCGGACCCACATAATGGAACACCAGACTCTCCAGCCTCCTCCAGATGGAACACAGACCTTGCACCTCTTATCCAAAATCTCCCGTTGCATCTTCATCGGAACTGGCCGTTATCGTCGGCAAGCTGATTAAAAACGCGTGTGGAAATTTCAAATTACAACTCGATCGGCAAGATAGACTCCTAATATGGATGTTTGAAGTCCGAGAACCGACATCGGCTAAATTGTGCAGTGTATCGTCAAGATAAGGCCTGGCGGGACAGCAGCGTGTGGCCGCTTATCACCAAGATTCTCCGCATGGTCTGTCATTGGGTTAGTATAAAAATACCTATGTGCGGGTAGTTGGCTATGTCTTCGTCGGGCTCAGCTCCTCGGCCTACTTCAGACCGTCACAGTCGACAAGCGCAGCTCGAGACTGAGCCGCTGCTGGGATACGCCATTGACACCATGGGCAGCACCGGGCAAGAAGAATCGGATGTCCAGCATCATGGATCGGCAGCAACAGAACTTGCTGCCGAGTCCGGTGATGCTGCCGGCATGGCCAAACGCGTCCTTCGCAAGATCGACCGCACAATCATTCCCTTGCTGTTTGTGACGTACATGTTCAACTTCATGGACAAGACTATTCTCAGCAGCGCAGCTGTGTTTGGCCTGCGAGAAGACAACGTAAGTCTAAATTACACATTTAAGTTTCCACAGAGGTGTATGCTAAGCCAGAATAATAGAATCTCAAGGGTCAGCAGTACAGCTGGGTCAGCAGCATATTCTACTTTGGTTACCTGGCATGGGAGTACCCAACTACGGTGTTGATTGCCCACCTTCCAACAGCCAAGTACCTTACGGTCAACACGCTGTTCTGGGGAACCGTGGTGGCTGTGACGGCAGCGTGCAAGAACTTTGGCGGGCTGATGACAGTGCGATTCCTGCTGGGCGTCGCCGAGGCCACCATCACCCCCGGGTTCATGTTTCTCACGTCGACGTGGTACACACGCGACGAGATGCCGACGCGGCTGGGCATGTGGTTCGCGGGTAATTCAGTGGGCGGGCTGGTGGCCAGTCTACTGGCGTTTGGCCTGGGCCATATCTCCGATGACGTGCACCCGTGGCAGTGGATGTACATCATCCTGGGGTGCCTGACCTTCCTATGGTCCATACCCATCTTTCTGCTGCTGCCAGATTCCATCTCCAAGGCGCGGTTTCTCAACGCCGACGAGAGGCGCTTCGCGGCCGACCGCGTCGTCGTGGCAGGAACTGGCAGCACTGAAAACACTAAGTGGAAGTTCGATCAGGTCAAGGAGTGTCTGATGGATCCCAAGTCGTGGCTCATCCTGCTGATCGAGTTGGCGACGCAGATCCCTAACGGCGGCACAGGCAGCTTCAGTAGCATCGTTATCAAGTCATTTGGATTCTCCAGCCTCGAGTCGACACTCATTAACATTCCCTACTCGGTGTTGACAGCGTCCGTCATCGCCGGCACGGGCTGGCTGGCGGGCCGCTACCGCACCCTCAATATTCTGCTTCTCGTGGCTGTCGTTCTTCCCTGCGTCATTGGGTCTGCTATCATCTACTCGCGCGACCACGTCTCGCGCGGCGTTCAGCTCTTCGCCTACTTCCTCCTGTCTACGGGACCTGCTGCCATGCCCCTTAACATGTCCCTCGTTCAGGCAAACTATCGTGGCGTGACCAAGAAGATGACCATGACGGCCATGCTCTTCATCGCCTACTGCGCCGGTAACATTGCTGGCCCCCAGTTCTTCCTTGACAGCGAAGCGCCCACCTACCAGACTGCCTTCCAGACAATTATGATTTGCTACGCCCTCGCCATCACCCTAGCCCTGTGCCTACGATTCTATCTCCAGTGGACGAACAAACGACGCTCCCTGGCTGAGGGACTCGATGGCAGTGCTGGTGCTGCTGGCGTCGTGGCTGGCGGCAAACTGGGTGATGTTGATGGCAGGGACGTCGGTGCCATGGTCAGTAACGTTCAGCTTCGCCCGGAGGACTACGAGGACGTCACGGATTGGAATACCATCGGCTTCAGGTACCGTCTGTAGGGAATTTGTTGCCGCTCAATGTTTTTCTCTCTCAATATTTCTGCGCTATAGACGTTTAAAATTGGTTCCCTATATCTTTGCTGAAGTATTATTACTAAGGTCGTGCGTGATATTGCCATATGTCTACTCGTGACCTTGAATAGCTACCCCGATACATTTTAACGGAAAAAAAGTATGGAAAAGTAAAATGAAACTTACCCAAAAAAACAGCAACAACTACAAGATGACAATTGAATGTTAATGGGTTGGTAGTAGTACTAGTATGCGCAGAGCAGGTCCGCTCCCAGAGACCCACGTGACCCGGAACAACGATAGTCCGCACTTCCACGCGTGGCGCAATTCCATTCACAATGTTTCGCTTCTAGAGCACAAATCCTTCCTCTGACGTTCTCATCGTAAACAAACACACAACACCGAAAAAATGTCTTGGAGGAATCAAGGCATCACTGGGTCCAACAACATCCCCCTTGGCAAGCGCCGCTTCGGCGGTGATGGCGAAGAGGAGCCTGAGGAGACGCCCGACAGGGAGCTCAAGCGCGGTCGCGATCCCGAACCAAGGACGGAAGCTGATGGCCCTCGCCGTCGCAAGAAACGCAACCGCTGGGGCGATGCGACCGAGAACAAGGCTGCTGGACTGATGGGCCTGCCCACGGCCATCATGTCGTCTATGACCAGTGAGCAGCTTGAGGCGTACACTCTGCATCTTCGTATCGAGGAGATTAGCCAGAAGCTGCGCATCGACGACGTGGTCCCAGCAGATGGTGACAGGTATGTTCCTTCCCCTTCCAAGCCTTAGTGTCGATGGTATATGCTGACCCTTGACGGTTGAATAGGTCGCCATCGCCGGCTCCCCAATACGATAACCACGGTCGACGTGTCAACACCCGCGAGTACCGATACAGGAAGCGCCTGGAGGATGAGCGCCACAAGCTCATCGAAAAGGCTATGAAGACGATTCCCAACTACCACCCTCCCCAGGATTACCGCAGGCCGACAAAGACTCAGGAGAAGGTCTACGTGCCTGTTAATGACTATCCGGAGATTAACTTCAGTATGATTGCTAACCCTGACCCTAACCAACTCCTTACCGTTACTGTTTCCTGCCCCTTTGTTGTACCCAAGTCCAGGAGTCTGATCAGGCCCCATTACAGCCCATGTTTTGAGGAGGCTGGCTTCTATCCTCGGATTGGGCGACTGCTCTCTTCTAATCTATACTTATACCCCCCTTTTCTCGGCGTTTATACTAACACGTAGCTTTTCTCCCCCCTCTCAAAGTTGGCTTACTTATCGGACCCCGTGGAAACACGCTCAAGAAGATGGAAAATGACTCTGGTGCCAAGATCGCTATTCGCGGCAAGGGCTCAGTCAAAGAAGGAAAAGGTCGCTCTGACGCTGCTCACTCCAGCAACCAGGAAGAAGACCTTCACTGTCTCATCATGGCTGAGAGTGAAGACAAGATTAACAAGGCTAAGCAGCTGATTCATAATGTGATCGAGACTGTAAGCTCTACCACAATCCCCCTCCACACACCAGAATACTAATCAATGTTGCGAAACAGGCCGCCTCTATCCCGGAGGGACAGAACGAGCTCAAGAGAAATCAGCTTCGTGAGCTCGCCGCCCTCAACGGTACCCTTCGAGACGACGAGAACCAGGCTTGCCAAAACTGTGGAAAGATTGGCCACCGCAAGTATGACTGCCCCGAGCGCCAGAACTTCACGGCTAGCATCATCTGTCGTGTCTGCGGTAACGCGGGCCACATGGCGCGCGATTGTCCGGACCGACAGAAGGGCGCAAGCTGGCGCAACGACGGCCGTGCCGCCCCCAGGGTCGGCGGTGGCGACGCTGTTGACCGTGAAATGGAGGTATGTTTTTCACGCCCCCCAGTCTTTTGACACTGACGCTAACATCCCACGCAGCAACTCATGCAGGAACTCGGTGGCGGCGCGCCCGCCGCAATCGAAGCGGCACCCGACTCGTACAACAATGGCGGCACCCCCAGTGGCCCTGGCTCTGGTGGTGCTGGCGGCGAGACCGCCAAGCCATGGCAGCGTGGTCCCACGGGTGGACCTGCGCCCTGGAGGTCGCGCAACAACGACTCGCACCATGATGGAGCCAGTGGGGGAGGAAGTGGTGGACCGGCACCGTGGGCTCGTGACCGCAACCGTGACCGTAACCATGACCGTGGCCATGACGGCGGCTACGGTGGTGGCCAGCAGCAGCAGCATGACAGCTACAATAACTACTACAACCAGCAGCAACAAGGCTACGGTGCTCCGACGGGCGCGGCGCCGCCCTGGCAACAGCATACACAGCAGCAGCAGCAGCAGGCTCCCGGCGCGCAAGCCGGATACCCCGGCTACGCTGGATACGGTGGCTACAGCGCTCCTGGCATGGGCGCGCCTCCGGGTCTGGGTCAGCCTGCTGGTGCTGGACTGTCGGCACCCCCCGGTCTCGACCAGAATGGCATTAATGCGCTGATCCAACAGTACTCAGGAGCTGCCGCTCCTCCGCCCCCGCCGCCGCCGTCTGGTGATGCTCCCCCTCCCCCTCCGGGAGACCAACCCCCGCCACCTCCGCCGAGTGATCAGCCTCCTCCCCCCCCGCCCCCCGGGAACTAGACTGACTAGCTGCTGTCATGTGTCCAGTGCTTTTGACCTAACTTATCAATGTTATTCTTTAACAGAAAAAGAGGAGGATAAGTCGAGGGTTTTGATTATGGCTCTCTTGGGACGGGAGATATCTAACCATGGCGTAGTAGCTACAGCAGACGGCGCGGATAACCTTTCTTTATTCGTCACTATGCCACTGTATGCTTTTATTTACTACCCTGACATTTCTATAAGAAACGAAAATCGCAGAAACGGAGAGAGTGTGGAGCTTATTGATGGGCTGTGCTCACTGATGGCGTGTAATATCTACTAGGAAGAATCGAGACTACATTTAGGATCTTTGCGACAGACTGCCCAGTTGAAAGCACGCTGTGTAGGTCATGTACATGATATCGTGATGGACTAGGAATGTTTGAATGCATAGTAAAAGCATCTGGCTGTTTGTGGAGGATATCTCATGACGATGATGGAGGGGCTATCTACGTAATACTGAGCACTGCGAGATTGCCAACGGCGTTACGACCGTCGATTGGTTCTATAACTTTGCTTTCCTTTTTTTCTCATATCTTGTTAACCCAGTCCATCCGTAACCTACACGTGGAATATTAAATCGAAAAGCAACAATTTTTGTTTCAAAATCAGAGACAGTAGCAGGTCGACGCCCATCTCTTAGTCGCCATTTCTAGCGCGTGACCGCGACTCACTAATTCCCGCTCCGTTGCCCGGAGCTCTCTCTCCATCTCACTTGCCTTTTTCATCTTCCAGAAAACGTTCTCTTTTCTGAAGGGGCATTCGTCGCCGTTATCAGCAATCCATCTCACAACATCTTTCTGGGCTAGTCTTATCATCATATCGTATTTCTCTCTATCGTCTCTCACCCACGAATGTACCAGGGGCTCCCGCCGGGGCCTACTCGCCCGACATGAAGCTCAGCAACCTATTCACCTTCGGGCCCGCGCAGGTGACGCTGTGGACGACAACCGTGTACCTCGCCATCATAATATCGCTTGTCGTCGTCCATGAGATTGTCCCCTCGGCCCCCAGCGATGCCTCGCTCCCGAGCGGAGTTAATATCACCGAGGCATGGCTCGACTTGCAGAACATAACCACGCACTACCACCCGTACAACAGCCGAGCCAACGATGGCGTGCGCGCATACTTAATTGAACGCTCAAAGGAGATCCTGAACAGAAACAATGCTACGTATGACGTTGTCGGCTCGTATGTACTTGAACCTTTTGTTTGCATATGCCAATGACCGATGACTAACAGGAGGACCATGCAGCAGCGGCCTGGAGAAGCGAAGCAGCGACTCTAGTCTGATAACCCTGTTTGACGACCAGGTGTCCAACTTTACCCGCCTATCGGAACTGTCCAGGTGGACTCCCGTGGGCGGCACGTACTTCGAGGGAAACAACTTCTACGTGTATATTCGCGGAACTGAGGATCCTGACGGCGACTGGTGGAACGACGTTAGTAGTGTGGCAGTTCATGGCGCCGCTGGTGTTTTGGTTAATTGCCATTTTGACTCGTACGTCTTCTTGCATTTTGGCGTATCATGAGGATATATTAACCAAGTAAATGCAGGGTGTCAACTGGATTCGGTGCGACCGACGATGGCGTCGGCTGCGTCACCATTCTGCAGCTCCTCAGCTACTTTATTCAAGATGGAAACCAGCCTACGAACGGCATCGTGCTGCTCTTCAACAATGCGGAAGAAGATGGACTCCTGGGCGCTAACGCATTCAGCCAGCACCCCATATCACGATTCCCCCACACATTCGTCAACCTCGAGGGCGCTGGTGCTGGCGGCCGCGCTATCCTCTTCCGCGCAACCGATCTCGAGATTGCCAAGGCCTACGCTCGCAGCCCCTACCCTTTTGGTAGTATCGTCGCCGCCGACGCCTTTGAGCAGGGTGTAATCAGCAGCGGAACCGACTACTCCGTATTCAAGGACGTCCTCGGCCAGCGCGGCATGGACATTGCCTTTTATGCGCCTCGCGCCCGCTACCACACCGACCAGGATGACACACGCTTCACCTCGGCTGACAGTGTCTGGCACATGCTCTCTGCCGCCCTGGCATCTACCAGGGAGTTGTCCAAGACTACTGGAAAGTTGTTTACCGGTCACCGTGGCGATGGTGACGTATCCAAGGTTCAGAACGGGAAACCTACCAGGGGCGTCTGGTTCGATTTGTACGGTTCCGCTTGGGGAACCCTGCCGCTCAAAGGGCTCTTTGCCTGGTCTCTTACGCTTCTGGTGACCACACCGCTGATCCTGGTCCTCATATCATACCTCTTGTCCCGCGCTGGCAAGTACTACATATTTTCGAGAGATATCAAGAGCCAGTCTGAGACTAGCGATGCTCCTGTCAAGATTGGAGGCTGGCGGGGCTTCTTCCGCTTCCCTATAGCCTTTGTTTTCGCGGCCGGCTTGACTGTTGTCTCCGCTCTCCTCCTGGCTAAGATTAACCCCTTCATCATTTACAGCAGCCCGTACACTGTCTGGGCTATGACTCTATCACTTTTCTACTTTGTCTTTTGGCTTATTGTGCGGGGCGCAAGCCTCATGCGTCCCAGCGCTCTTCACCGTGCCTTTTCCCTTTTCTGGCTCTTCATCACCGGCTGGGTCTTGCAGGTTTTGGCCTCTATCGCCGAGGACCGATGGAAGGTCGGCTCTCTATACCCCATGGCTTTTTTTCATACGGCCGTGTTCACTTCGCTAGTCATTTCCCTGCTCGAGCTGTCCACTCTTCCCAAGAAACACGAGTTTGTCCGACAGGTTCAGGGCATTGATATCGTGCCCGAGCCGACACTTGAACCAGAAGCAGAAGAATATGATCACAATGACACTGCCGAAGACAACGACGATGGCCATGAGACCGGCGGCGAAGAGGAAGCCACGCCCACCGAGACGACCCCACTCAGAGTTGGAGAGCGCACGTCCCGAGGGAGAAACCAACAATTCGCTACACTCACTACGTTTGGGAGTACCTACAGGCAATCGGTTGCTTCCGAAGCATCCGCCCGGACTACCACTACCACATTGGCCACAGAGCCCTTCGGGCGCGAGCAGCTATGGTCTGGCTCTCTACCACGGTGGACCTGGATCATTCAGTTTCTTCTCGTGGCCCCTATTCCCGTCATCATGCTCGGTAACCTGGGACTGGTCGCCATGTCGGCACTGCAGATGACGGGCACGGACGGCGGCAACACGCAGACTCCTCTACAAACCATCGCCGTCATATCCATTATCCTCCTGCTTCCGTTGACACCATTCTTGCACAGGGTGACACATCATATCCCAGTGTTCCTGTTTGTCGTGTTTGTCGGTACTCTAGTATACAACCTTACCGTGTTCCCCTTTTGCATGGAGAGTCGCTTCAAATTCTACTTTCAGCAGATCGTCAACATTGACGAGGGGACCGATGTCGTGCGTCTGTCGGGTATAGAGACCTTTGTCCGCCCCATCATCTCCTCTCTTCCCTCTGCTGCCGGCCAGGATGTCAAGTGTGTAGCCGAGTCGGGCATCAGAGCTAGAATCTCCATGTGTGACTACGATGCATCGTCGCTGTCACCCAATCTTGTCGAAGGGAAAAAGCTGGACGAGCTTATCAGCTTGGGCACATCAAAGTCTGAGGATGGGGGTGTCATTATTCTCTCCCTCAAAGCCCTGGAGACGAGGACTTGTGTGCTGAATTTTTCCCGCCCGGTCTACAGCTTCTTCGTCGAGGGCGGCGCGCGAAGAGATTCAAGACTTGGCGACATTCCCAGGAATGGTTTCAAGACAATTGATCTGTGGCGCAGGTCATGGGATGGCGCTTGGAATATCACGCTCGACTTGAAGCCGCCTTCCGCCCCTGCTGGCGGGGTTACTTCGTGGTTCCTGGATGACGAGGAGGAGACCCTGGACCAGCTGCGCGCCTGGTCCGATCCTGTTGAAACATGGACATCTGCGGATGCTTTGAATGAACCCTTTGATGTGACTGTAGCGTGCAAGTGGAGCGATGCCAACGAGGCTATCACGATACCTGCATTGCACGAATTGAAACAGTTTATGCCGTCGTGGGCGGCCGTGACCAAGAGACAGGTGGGGTTGGTGGAGGTACAGAAGAGGTTCCAGGTGGCATAATACTCTGGATATTCCTTTCTATCCCTGCGTATATTTGTGGTAATTATCTACTTGTATTTCTTTCCCCTTATTACTTGTTACTGCCAATTGCGGCCTGTAGCGTAGCTATGAACTCAATAGGAGTCCTATACGACGGAGAAGTTGGCCGTTAATCGTGGTACCCTACAACGTAGACGCGAAACGTGGCGCACCCCGCAGGTACCCGACTCACTCCGAGCATCACCACTTCCATCATCACAGAGAGCTCACCAACCGAGCATTAAGCACAATGACGTCTCATTCGGCAATCTTTCTTCCGGCACCGGAGCAGACGTCTACCAAGGCGACGTACCACGCCCTCATCTACTTTGTATGTGGAAACCCCGGCCTGATTGACTTCTACGACGATTTCCTGCAATGTGTGAGCTCCCTCGTGAGCGGCTCAGAGACTTCAACGACAGCGTACGACGTCTACGGGCGGGACCTGTTCGGATTTTCCGGAACGGGGCCCTTTGAGCCGTACGACCTAGAAGAGCAGGTCGAGGCGGTGTACTCTGACGTGGCAGAGCGGCGAAGGGCCAACGGGGCGCCCTACGACACCGTCATCATGGCAGGACACTCGGTCGGCGCCTACATAACCGTCGAGGTGTTTTCACGGCACGCAAAGCACGAGCTGAAGGAGCCGCACCTCACCCTCCGTCACGGTGTGCTGCTCTTCCCCACGCTGACGCACATTGCCCTGTCGCCGAGCGGGAAGAAGGCGACGGCGGTGCTGGGCGTATGCCCCGCAGCGATAGTGGACAATGTATACTGGGTTGTTGGTGCGGTGCTGAGACCCCTCAGAGAGGACATGATTGCGGGCCTCGTACGGCGGTTCATGGGCTTCACGGAGAAGGCTGCACTCACAGCAGCCCGGTGGATCAAGAGCCCACATGGCCTGCGGGAGACGATATACCTCGGGCGTTCGGAGCTCGAGGGAATATGCGAAGACGTTTGGGAGGACAAGCTGTGGGATGCCCTGGGAGGTGGGAAGGGAAACAGATTCTTTCTGTTCTACGGGAAGGAGGATCACTGGGTTGCCGACCATGCTAGGGATGCGATTGTGAAGGAGAAGAATGGTAAAGCGACGGTTCTGGTCGATGAGACGGGGGAACTTCCCCATGCTTTCTGTACCAGGGAGAGTGAGTATATTGTCTTTCATCATGTCTGTTGCTCTGTTCAGTTGATGCGATGCACTAACAACGAAAAAACAGAGTCAACTGTGAGCGTGGCGAGGCAGGTGAGTGCTTGGGTCAAGGAGATGGAGGAGTACTTGTGAGCATAGGAGTGATGCCATTGGTAATATATAGGTAGATACATACATAATTAGTCGATATCAGAGTATTAGACGTGTTATTTTATAGATTCTCCGAAGCTCTCGCGAGATATGAGATCCTCCGCTCTCACTACGGCTCACCGTGGGCACGACCAGTATAATTAAAGAGAACAAGTGATATCAATTTACAAGAAACCATGGAACGTGCCGACTACTGACATACGGCCATCAAGATCGAGAAGCCATCCCCTCCGGCGCCCGTTGCAGGCCCTTGAGAGACCGCTCGTACTCTGACATTTCATCAAAATTGGGATCTGTGAACCACGTCAATCAAGATGCCATGGTAGAAGCCGTAGAAGTAATCTATGACAAGGAGGAGTGGCAGGCACATGGGGGTGCTCTCTTCAAAAAGTCACGGCCACCCATGATGAACATCATCAATCTAACGAGGCTATGGGACTAGGCTTGTATTATATCAGTCACTCTGCGGAACGTTACGTTATCACCAGGTGTCTCGGCAATGGGAGCAAAGACAGCTGGTGAGGGAAGTCCTATAGGAAAGATCACGATCTGATCCCAATCCCTTTATTCACTACAACCAGTAGCGATGGAACGTGCCAACATTGAATGGACAATATAATCGTAGGACCTACATTGGATTTTCCGATTCACCGTACTGAAAAAGGTCCAATGATCAATTACTTGATAGTCAGTGTTGCATCTATTCACAGCTGGAATCATGCACAGTAACCATGAAGCATATACACCTCTTTAGAAACCTGTGGCTTTCGTTGCCATTCACTTGGACCCTTTTCAACTGGCTAGCGTTTGGATCAGTGAATCTACGGTCTCGAGACTCAACGTGTAATGACTGACTGCAAGAACAGGTATCCAGTAAATGAACAGGGCTAAGTCTCAAAGACTTATAAGCGTCTGTTTTCCCTCCAATTCGTTCATCTCGAGAGAGCTCATTGGAATTTTCCTTCTCTATAGAACGAAACCCCAGTTTCAGGATAGAAACATTCAACGCCCTTCCAAGAGGCTGATAGAACACACACTATCTCAACATATCATTCGCCAGAAACCGCCTCTGTCTCTCATAGTCATCAGATATGCCGAGGCCAAGGGTGAGCCTTCTTCTTCTTGACGACGCTAGCTACATTAGGTATCAACGATGCTAAAATGCCGAAACATGCAACAGTGTCTTGACGACTATATCGACTCCCTGGAACCTAAGAAACTCAATGGTTCCTGGACTCCTCACGGGCAGTGGGTACGAATCTCTGACGGCATTGAAACGGACACCTGGTTCATCCTGGTCATGGCCACGACGGATCGTTACCCGGAATACAAGGTCCAGCTCATCCAGCGCAACTCGTGCATCTGGGACATGGTGTACATATATCAGCCAACTTTTGATCTCGTTGTCCAGGATTTGAGGGAAGCCAAAGATCGAGGAATCCTGCCACTATTCATGTTCCCCATGGGTGGCTAGGTCTCCGCCTAATACCCACAACTTCTCCAGGGAGTCTTTCAGGAGAGCAGACCGAATGGGCATGTTGTCAGTAGGTGAGGCTATCGGTTGAGTAAGCATAACCAGGAAGATGTGCTATAGTTTCCTGATGCTACCGCGTGTTATCATGGCTTAGCAAAGGTCTAATAATCGAAATTGATGGCACCTGCAATTCCATCCAGAAGCCTCCGTCTGCCACTGGCACCTTCCAATGTTTGGTTTGTTCGTTCCCAGTAAGGTCTCTGATTGAGTCTAAGTGGGAGCAGCCCTCGCACGTGTGTTAAGGGGGCCAACGGACAGGTCAGCGGGCCAAGGTCCTCACTTTCAATGTTGCCGATAGGCTCGCCAACTAGCCAGCCCAGAATGGCCAGGAACTCGTCTCACTCAGGGCGGAAGACGGTGTGGCACGATATCCTTGCTGGCATCTCCAAATGCTCCCATATTGGAGAGGAGGGCGGCGACTTCTTTGGGGGGGAAGTGACTTGACAAACTGCTGGCTGCTGTCGGCGGGCTGACGCGGATCCACGACTCTATCAAGCATCTGGCGTATGAGTCAGAACACCCACCTTTGGAATACATCTACAGTTATCATCACGAGAGAAAAAGAAACGAGTGTATCGCAACAACAATAGTAGGGAGGTCCAAATTGACTTGCTATATACTAGGAATGTCACGAAGAGCCTCGAAATCGTTAGATTGTGATAAGGCTGGCTTGTCTGTGTGCCGTCAATACCGACTCTTGAGTAGCTGTGCGGCCTTGTATTCATCTACGATTTCAAAGAACCTTTTTATTAGGGTCCATTTGCACTCTTGCCCTCTTTTTTTGGTATTATCTTCTTGTAGCTTTCTGACATTTCTGTGAGCCATGTAACTTGTAACTTCCATCAAGGGAGCACCGAAATGACCATTGTCTCCTAGATAACCTGTACATGTAGATAGCTTCTCTCTCTTTCTCCTGAATAACAAATATCAGACTCCAGTTCAAGACCTATTTGTATGAGCATCACGCGTGCATTTGTGTCAGGAGTTACCAGCGGAGCCTAGACGCACAAGAATAACATGCACATACAGATCAGCAATCGTACAGTCACAGCAATACAGAGCTAAGTGCGCCCGTATTACTTGGCAGCCTTACCCGGAAATGCTCTCAATGAAAATCGTACCAATCTTCAGCCCTACTGTTACCGCTACGACAAATGCCCAATCTAAACTTCAGTCCTTCGAGTTAAACGCTGTCGCGCGTTATCATACATGTTATGTAACATGTCTGTGGACACAATCAGGTTCCACCATAGATAACTGCCGAAGGGCGGATGCGATCCCTCTTTCCTTCAGGTCGCATCTCCCACCTAGACAGTGATGGTCATTGAATACAACATCATAACAACGGTTTATTGAGTGTGCAGTTCATTGAGAGCCCGGATTAACTACTCACTAAGACGCACGATACCTATTAACCTTCTTCGCTGCCGCTGCTTTTTTTTCGCTTCCTGTCAGAATCTTCCTTTCCTGTCCGGTCTCATCCAAGATCGCGTCATTTTTTATCCTCATCTCTATCTAACTTGCTCTCAGCTGCGTCATGTCGGAAAACGATCCCGGCTTCGTTGCTGCTCTTGAAGAGGCCAAGAAGGGTTATGAAGAAGGCGGCATTCCGAGTATGAGTGCCATTGTCGTTTATGCGGTCGCTATTTTCATTTGTTTTGCTTGCTTGTTTGGGCTAATAGATGATGCTTAGTCGGCGCTTGCATCGTGTCCAAGGATGGCAAGATTTTAGGCCGGGGTCGTAACATGAGGATTCAAAAGAATAGCGCCACGCTTCACGTGAGTTTAGGGAGAATAACCGAAGAATGCTTATTGATGATTAGGACGAGTAATATTGATGAAGACATGGGCAATATGCAGGGCGAGATATCCGCACTTGAGAATGCTGGCAGGCTTCCAGCATCAGCATACGAGGGCTCAACCATGTACACAACCCTTTCGCCTTGCGACATGTGTACTGGCGCCTGCATCTTGTACAAGGTGAAGCGAGTTGTTATGGGCGAGAACAACACCTTTGTCGGTGGCGAAGATCACCTGAAGTCCAAGGGCATCGAGGTCATCAACGTTAAGAGTGCCGACTGCGAGGCGTTGATGAAGAAATTCATCGCTGAAAACCCGGCTTCTTGGTACGAGCCCCACGGCAAAAGTGCTCTGAGCACAGGCTTATAGGCATTGTTCGCTGACATGTCTAAAATAGGAACGAAGACATTGGCGAGCCGTAACGGATCCAGGCACAATCGGTATCACACAGCTTCGTTGGTCAAGGGGTGATCATTATCAGTTTCATCCTTTTCCGGCAATGCGGGTATATATTACTTATAGAAGCATGTTACTGAGCCTTATATCCGAACTAGGGCTGTAATTTTAGCTCCATCATTTCCCATTACCTCTCTCTTCATCTCGCATGCTGTGGATATCGTGAAGTCAATCAAGAAGCCGTTCAGTAATGGATCCGTGAAAAGCTGACATCATAACGTGCATCCAACATCAGGCCTTCGGTGTCTTATACTTACTCAACTAAGAAGCATGCCTGATAAAGTGGCATAGCCGTTAACATCTCGAACAGGTCCGTAAAAGTCGAAAATATGAGATCCAACGCTCATCCATGCCGCGGCTGTATGGCCAGTCGATTGGCGACGCATGAGTCAAGAGCGTGTGCCGTGAGATAAACTTAGACATGTTCGTTATGTAACAAGACTAAAAGTAGGTCCAAGATAGACAAGAGTAGCGAGGGAAGAATGGCAGTAAAGCTAAAGATGTGCGCTTTCAACCTCGGGCTCGGCACCTATGATGATGCCATTGGGCAGCTTTAGACCGATCGGTAGACCGGTCATATACTTGTCCCTGTAGGGGACACCATTCTTTGTACACAGTCTCTGCTCTATATCCTTGTAAAGATCGTATCTAAACGATACCATATGCTGTTAGCCTCTCACCATCCGTATGCCAAGTTCAGTTGCAATGCTCACGCGTTCATCTCCTCGATCGTCAGGACCTTGCCCTTATCCTCGACATTGTATGTAGGGGTGTCTTTGTTTTCGGAAAAGCCTGAGATTGATAATCAATGGATATGCTCTTTCCTAGAGACCGAAGTACAACAAGACTTACCCATACGCTCGTTGATATTGTACGCAGCCCTGGCAGCGGCAGCCTGAACCTTTGTAACCCTAGGCAAGCGAGTCTGGGTATATATTTCCAGAGCTCCAGCGACGTCACCGTCAAAATATCCCTCTGAGAAGAGGATCCCCAGCGCAGCAGCATCCTCTATTGCCATGCAAGCACCCTGACTCTGGTGAGGCATCATGGGGTGACCGGCGTCGCCGAGGAGGCACGTCTTCCCCTTGTGCATGTAAGGGTACGGGTCGTGCACCCACAAGCGCCAAGGCTGAATCTCCCTACCGATGGACAGGTGCTTAAACACCTGGCGGTCAAGCTTGGGGTAAGGTCGTAGTAGCTCCTCGAGGGGCCGACCCTCGGCGCCCCATGACTGGGACGAGTAGTCGGCCTGCTCGCGCGGGAAGAAGCAGTAGTACGACAGGAGCTTGCCGCCGTTGCAAGGCGACAGTACAATCTTGTCCCATTTGCCTTCTTGACCTCCCCAGTATTCAAGTGCAACGTCCTCCGAGTAGTTGACCAGACCTAGACGGACGGCGTCCTCGGTCGTGACGTTGCAGTGCAGACAACTCTGATCCGATGGCCTCTTGGCGGGGTGGATTCCGATCTCACCCCGGACAACGGAGCCGATACCGTCCGCACCGATAATGACATCATGCTGGACTGCCGTCCCATTACTGAAGTGAATGGTGCTTGTTTTAAGGTCAATACCCGAGCACTGGCGTCCGTCCTTGTTAGTATCTGTTTACGTGATGAGGAGGATACTCTTCTGTGCGTGTATGTACCTTGTGGTTGACAAGCACCTTAGCCGGAGCGCCCTTTCCCTCCCCACCTAAAGCCGAGTCCTTGAGCATGGCATGCATGTATTGTCTGTGGAACATGTTGTATACGTATCCCCACTTCTTCTCGTAATCGTCAAGGTTGTATACACTGACCGGCTCGCCGGTGTACCAGTCGCGATTGATCAGCTTGCGCAGAACCACGGGATCTCCCTTTTCCACATCGACCCTCCACTCGTGTAGCCAGCGCGTCCCGTTCGCTGCGCAGGATACTGAAGCTCCGACTTCACCTGCATAGTCGGACCGTTCGTAGATGGTCACGTCGTGTCCCGCGCGACGCATGGAAATGGCAATGGACATGCCACCGATACCACCACCAACGACGCCGACATTGAGCTTACGCCAGCCCGTGAGCTCTAGAGGTGCCATCTCCTGCTGAAGTATGTCTTAAGCTCTTGACGTTTGAAAGGGGATAGCAAGAAGAAGAACAGAGAGGGAAAGAAAGTAATGTCTGTGGTGAAACAGAGAGCAGGTTTTGGTGCGGGTGGTGCAGGTGGATGTTAGTGAGGATAGCTTAATTCCCTACAACAAATCCATGTTTCGGAGGAGGAGATGAGGATTATATATCCCAGATGCATTCCCTTCAACTTGTTACTTTGAGTAGCAACATCATACTCAAATTTTGGTCTCACCGAGTTCTTATCAATAAAAAGTAACTCGCCACAAGTAGAGGCCGGGGAACTTCTGTCGGGTAAGGGCGGGAATGTATCCGCCCAGGGACATGTGTACACACCGGTGCACTACCCGCCATATATGGGAACCCGCCGTATATGGGAATGTTGTATTACAGAATTCTTGGAATCTGTTTGGACTCTCAGTAAGCGGTTATATCCAAAGTAAGCATGACGTACGATGTTCATTGCTGTACGAGGTTGCAGATGCAGGATTTAGGACACAACAGCATTCGTAATCTTTCTTTCTATCATTATTGTAGTGGATAACTGTAGATGGTTTACCCTTTCAACTGGTATTTCCCAACCTGCAATGTCAAGGGGGGTATGCGAAATTCTCCCATTGGGAAATATCGAGACTATCCCAGTCGAGGAGGATCTCACTAGATGCCCCAGGCGCATCCTGCCCTTGAGACCAACCAGCCATAACATCATCCATGATAACTCTATGACTATCGTCTGTCAGTGGTACAGATATCTCGTCGTCTTTACCTCCGCCGCCACTCTGCCATGGACTGCTAGTTCCCACTGCATTTCCCCCGGTACCATCTTTCCGTGAGCTGAACTGAAAAAGTTTGTGTACATACGTACTTCTTCCACCGTTGAATGAGGAACGCTGGTGGTATCGGTTTATATCACTGGCGAGGGACGTCAAGATGTCGTGGTAGAGAGCGGCCTGCGGACTCTTGACACCGAGGCATCCCAAAAGGTCACGGGCTTCATAGAAGGCTGACCCAATTCCGAAGTCGACAGCGGCTTTGGCAAACACCTCAAACCCGAGCACTAGACCAGCTAGAAATATGGTGGCCCTGGAGGATAACGGCGGATGTAAGCAGGAGCCTGATGGATGATGGATCGAATCGTATCGAGATGACTCACTTGAGGATACACATGTTTGCCTGCAGAAGGCTGGAGTCCCGGGCACCAGTGCACGTCTGCACCATGAACATTGCAGCGTCAAGACAGGCTGACGCTAATTGACGGTGCACAAGACCGCTTGCAGCCTGTTGGGTAAGGGTCGACACCAATATTGGTCTGGTGACGAGAGTGACGGCGAAGTAATATATGCACGACACGTGAACCCTTCCAATGGATTCCTTCCCCGACGATGATTCCGTGTCTGAAGAAGGTGCTGTGAGGAGAGAGTCGGGGAGGTCCTCTCTCCAATGGTTGAGACGTCGGAGAAGGGCCTCGACAGCTCCGATTGTGACGTCTTTCCTATCGTAGATTCTGTGAACAATCTCGTTCATGATAGATACTACGCCGTAGGAAGCACCTAGGCATATGAACCCTCCATCTTTCGACTCGGACAAGACGTCCTCGATCAGCGGTTGCAGATCGGAGTGCATACCGGCGGTGGCAATGGGCCGACCCAATATTGAGTTCACCACAATATCCAGCACCCGCAAGCTCATCCATACTCGCAGCCTGTTGGAAGGAGTGAGTTCGAAAATCTTTCTGCTCAGGAGGCACATGATATCCCACCTCAGCTGATGTTTTGGGCTACATATATTTGTGTAGGTCTCCCTGCAGTGTAGCCCCAGGGCGACAGCGGCTCTGGCTGAGATCCCCAGGTACAAGAATGCCGTGTTGCGTCGACACTCGCCAAGCAGGTAGAACGACATGATGAGAAATAACCTGACCATGTCGATATCAGGGTCCTCGAGCATCCCAGAGAAAGCCTGGGACTGCGCCTCGCGGAAGTAGGCCAGCTCTCGATCGTGAGTGTCTGGTGAGGGTTCGCACTGGAGACCTATCGCCACAACCAGATCTACCAAAGCGAGGTTTGAGCAGCTCAAGCAGTCTGGAGACTCGAGAAGCGCCTCCAGCTCCCCAGGGAGAAATACATCGATCAGGCCGCCCGTCTGGGTAATATATATCGGGTGTTACGAGAGAGTTTTCAGCAGATGGGCATCAAATAAGCTTACCGCGCTGTAAAAGCACTCTGCAGATTGCTGCCGTGCCTCCGGACTGATGTTGCTTATACTAGGCGCACTCACGCGCAGCTCTGGCGACTCCTTTTCGAGCATAGTGTCGTTTCTTCCATTTCGCGAGAACTGCGAGGGCCCGATATGGTCCGAGACAATTGTCCTGACCAGCTGAAGGAAGGACAGAGAGCTACCTCGGCCAATGTAGACTGCTTCCCGACTCATCAGCTTTGCGCCCTGGGCCGAATGAGAGGCAGACGAACCTCGTTCACCACGCAGATTTAGAAGCATCCGTGACGGCGGCTTAGCTGAAGGATACTCCCCCCCAGAACCCTCATCTGGCGGAGCAACATCCGAATCTGACGCCGTCGACTCCCTATTGCGAGATTCAGACGGCGATACAGGCCGGAACCCCGTGGCTCCCCCGGAAGCCCAGGTCGTGTCGGCCACCGGACTGATGTCGCCCATCGATGATGATGATTGTGGGACCCGCCGAGCAATAGCGGCAGGGGTAGCGCTTTGAGAAGCTTGCTCTTGGGCCAATGCCACCGAACGCCTGTGCGCACGAGGGAGATGCGATATGAAGCACGAATTTCCGAGCCCCCTGCGAAGACAGTGTGTGCATGGGGTAGTGCCGGAGCAGCGCTTCTTTGCCTCTCGACAGACCTTACAAGCCTCCAAGGCCCGTTGCCTCTGATGGACCGGGACCTTGGCACGAGGCATGGCTGACGGAGTAGTATTACTGTGTGAGCGATAGCAGGTGGTGATATAGCGATGCGAAGTGGACACGTGCGTCACTGAGAGTTTTCAGGTCGGACGAGAGGCCAGGTGCAACATAGCAGGCACTGCTATAGGTGAGTTAGAAACAGGTTCGTCCCTAGAGGCGCAGACAGCTCGTGATGTTGTTGCGTTTCCTGCTTGTATGTCATCTAGTGTTGACACATGGATGAGGCAGATTGCACGGACCAATGTCCTTCTGTTCTCATCGCGCCCGAGTCCTATGGGAGGAGGCATGGGGAATTCGTGACTTCGTGCCTTATCGCGTCTGGGCTTGATCTCCACCATTGAATCGCACATCCGTTATCAATTGCATCTCACCCATTTAGATACAGTCATGGCATGGCGTCTTTGGTATATACATAGATCCCGTCCTCCTATTTGGCGTTGCCTTTATTTTTCAAATGTGAATGACAGCGCATACGGCTGTGATTAGAGTCGCGGCAATTGGTCGCATATCAAATCATGGAAATGAATGAGATGCAAGACGACTCTAGATAGATTCGCCGCTTTCTTCTTGAATAAAAGGGGCAGGCGGTTAATCAGGAATATAGAAAGGCAATGTATGAATGACATCCTCCGATGGAGTAAAATGTTGCCTACTTTCCTGTACTCTGTGGAATACCGAACCAGTGCAGTACAGTACCAGCTGTTTATAAGGATAGGTAGATACACATAATCAAAGAAGAAGAAAATCAACGAGCTTATACTAATCGTTCCAACTTCCAAAAACAGCCTCCAATGAACAGCAGATCAAGATGGTATACATTCGGTACTCGCCCTTATCTATACCGGTGTAGTACCCGCCCGACGTCGGAGGTGCAAGCATCCGCCCGCGCCCGCCCTCGGTGCCTGTCCCGAGTGGGAAAGTGCATGATTACTGTTCAACTTTCTTATCCCTTTTCTTTCATCTTGGAGCTTTTCCGCTACTATATTTGTAAGTGGTAGCCATGCCTTGATGATTTAACTGCGTGCGGGCCTCTTGAAGAGTCGACGTGGATGTGAACAGGAATGGTTCTGTTTCATCCGACGCACACTGGGCAATCAAGAAGCGGGCGAAAGGCCGTGTGAGAGTAGAATATAAGTAGCCAAATGGTACAGCTAGGATCCTCACTCCATCTATGGATACTTCTACACTAGTTCTTAAGGTGGCCTTTATTTGCCATGATGCTGTTCCCACTTACACCGTTTTCACTTCCTCATTCCACTTCGGTACATGTATTATTATTACTCATCACTCCCCGGCTATGGTCCTATCCCTATTACGCAAGAAATCATACATGTGTCTCTCTCTCTCTCTCTCTTTTTAGAAAAAAAAAATAGAACCTCCCCGAACCCCTAAAGAACAAAACCAAGATGAACAGAAATCCAACGTTTGGAAAGTCGGCTTCTGCTAACTGACACGATATCTCCGTCGCGGCGGCTGTCTTACGGTTTGAATGATCACCATCTTGCGGCCGTGTGCGTTCACCATGACAGACATTTATACGAATGGACGAATAACGAAAACAACAAAATAATGCTGGAGACCCCAGACTTCGCCACTGCTATACTCGTAATTACACCATGAGTAGTGTGCAATGTACTTGCAGACGAACATCAAGTAGGTATGTACTGATGGCTCAGACATGTTGACATATCCTCTCGAAGACTGGAGCCTGCCCTGATGGTGCACGTAGCTAGAGCACTGCCTCACTCTAGAAGCATGCTAAGCCAAGTTGGATGGATGGAAATAGATACGTCAACTTATTTACATGTTCACTAATTAGCGCAGCGGTATTCTGTCCTTTGTCATACGCTCGTCATGCCAGTTGATCTTGATCAGCATTGTAATTACAAATAGACAACCCCATATTTTTTTTTTCTTCTTTTCATTAGAGTAGCTCCCCATGTCATTAGAAATTATCCCATGGAGCAGAGCCCATGTAATTATTATGTCCGCCTGGGATTCAAACGACAGCAAGCATGTGTGTTTGGACATAGTAGCAAGACCGCGTAGCTCTCGCTCTGTAAGCAAAGAGAGCCCACCAACATCGGGAAGTTTTGACATCTTCACAGAGCGAGGACAGCGAGACCGGCCATGGCCAGGCCACCCACAGAGCCAATGACAGCGGCGCCGCCCGTGGGGACGGATGACTCTTGACCAGTGGAAGAGCCTTCGGTAGAGCTAGAGCCGTCGTCGTCGGAACCGCTAGTAGTAGAGGATGGAGAGACGGTGGCCGAGGGCGAGACAGTTCCGGCAGTACCGGACGTAGCGGTGGCAGAGCCAGCAGTCGTAGTCGTCGTCGCGGCGGCACCTCCGCCGCCTGAAGAGCTAGTGGCAGTATCCGCTGAAGTAGCCTCTGCGGAGGAAGCCTCGGTCGACGAAGCCTCAGACGTAGCCGACGTCGATGACGAGGAGCCGCCGCCGGTGCCCTGGGCTTTGCACAGAGCCTCAACGGCGGGGATGACCTTGTCTGTAAGACGACAGTCAGAACGTGGGGAATGTTTCAGAGAGATGGAAAGACAATACATGTTGGTACTTACTCAGAGCAACATCAGTTCCACACTTGGACAGGACACAGCCAGTAGCAGCGCCCTGGATGGAATCAAAGTCCTTGCAGATACAAGCGTAGTCGGTGTTCTTGCAGCTGGTCTGGCTGCTGACGGCATCGTCAATGCAAGGGATCGCGCACGAGGGGATGTCATCGCGGGTCTGGGCGCTGACAAGTGCGGACATGGCGAGGATGGCGTAGATGGACTTCATCTTGGCGAGTCGTTGGTGTGTGTAGATGTATATGTGGCCGTGGCGGAGTACGGGAGCAACGAGCTGTGGAAGCGAACGGCGCGAGGGAGAAGGAGGAAGAGAGAAAATATACTGCTAGTCTGCAGAGATGCGGGTAGGAAGGAGGCCTTTATGTACTCGAAGGCAGGTGCAATGTAGCATTGGTATATCGTCACAGGCAAGGCAGGTGGCAACTATCTGGTCTGAGGACAAGGCAGGAGCAGAGTGCACCCCAGATGGAGGGGGGTGGAGGGGGGTTAGGGGGAGACATTGCACCAAAGTACACGGCCTCAACTTCTGCTTTAAGAAGAGTTGGGCCGTATCATGCCGAGAGTCCGTGGGTACCTGGCATGTCTACTCCCCTCCTCCTCCTCCTCCTCCTGCTCCTCATTTTAACCCATGTTTAGTCAGGCTGAATCGGGTTGGCATGACCTTTTGTTATGAGCAGCCTTGTCCTTTTCCGGTGAGCAGCAGATGCTCACTTTCGTAACAACCCGCGGCTTCTTGGACAAAAAAATACCTACAAAAAAAACCTACTCCATGAATGAATAAAACAACATGGGCATGTGAACGAGGTGGAGGTGGAGGTGGAGGCAAAAGCAGGCACCGGCTGTTACTCGTGCGCCTTGTCCATGGAGGAAGAAGAGTTCAATCTAGCACTAAGTTTCTAGTGCTGTAACACCAGTCGATATAACTTCATACTACAGCTGTCGATGGCCACTGCTAAACTTGAAGCGTCGGTCCTAGTACCTCTCTATTCGACCTGGCTTGGTGTAGAGTCTCTCGACTCTGGACCCGTTGCACCTGATATTCCCCGAGTGCTTAGTTTTATTGCTATGATTATTGCCGAGTCGCAATGTTAGGCACACATTCGCATGAGGGGTTCCTCTTATCAGGACTCCCATGGATGATACGGGGATGGAGCCTGGCAACAGCTTGCGTTGGCCTCTGTCAGACATCCACGGAGGATGCGGGGGTTCGACGGAACCCGCCAGCATATACGAGTAGGAGTCGGCAGCAGGCAAATGACAAAAGCCAACAGTACGGCCTGTCGGACCATTCGGGAGCCAAAGGAGGGAGTCAATATGGCAATGACGGGTGAATTGCATGGATACCCGCATAGGCAAGCAAGCGGATCGAGAAACTTTAGTGGATAGTCCCCAACCCTGGTCGGACGCTCTCCACTCCTCCACCCGTTGCTCGATCCGGGGAAGTGAGACTCCCCCGCAATAGCTTGGACATATCAGGGCCATTATTGGACAGACTCCAGCTTCTGTCTTGGTTGCTCCAACTCAAGTATTGGGCTGTTCCCCTCTTCCATTCACACTCTCTCCGTTCTCTTGCCCCCAAGTCTTTTCCCGTACTCTCCATGTCATGTCATGCGTCAGTGTGACTTGGTACATTGGGAGAGCGGAACCATGTCGTTGGTCCTACCAAAGGTACGTACATACACATCTTGTCCGGCCTGCTATCGAATCCCCGCAGGTTGAAGGATGTACACATACCAGCTCGTGTTATTGCAGACCGATGCGCCTGCTTTGTATCTGAGTTTGCCATACCGAGGTTCACGTGAAAGGAAAGGAGCTTCAATCTTCTCGCTGGTGGTAGGAGAGTCACTCCACCTTTCCCCGTTTCTCTTTCGCATGATTTCCTATCAATCGGGACATCTTCCAAGTGCAGATGAGCCCCCGAACACAATCACTACGACGTAACTCGGGGCTCTGAGATATCGATGCCTACAAAGCAGAGGTGAGCTTACCAGGAGACACTCACACTACACAGTCTGCGTGGCGTGTGCAGGTCAGTAAATCAATGCCAAACGCCACGCAGTGTGGTGAACACCATCATGTGCTGGCCACCGTTCTCTACCCCGCCAACGACTCCCGAACGGACACCGACCTTTGGGCTGGCCGAGACATAATAGAACATGAGACAACGGTTATGGAGCTAAAACTGCGTGCGGGGAATCTTGTGAACTGTACTCGTATCCCAATGACTTACGACTCTCACCAGCCTGTAAGAAGTTTACGAGTGTAAGATGACCTCAACGAACTCTAATAGATCAACTGATCAAGATATCACCTTCGGTAGTAGTAGGCAGATGGCTCTCACTAATAGGCACGAGCGCTAATCTGGCAGCGACTCATGGATCTCGCTCACCCACTCTTCCCAGCCGAGTCATCCATCCCAACAGGAGATGAAGAGACGACTACTACTACTACTACTACTACTACTTTGCATCGCCGTTGGATCTGGGCTACCAAATCGGCTTAGCCACTCCTGGTATCGACGTACTAATGATGCCAAGAGGGAACGCGCGCCTTCTTTGTACATGATGCATTGCAGCTTGCGATCGCAACGGGTAATAGCACACCGCGGAGATGGACACTACACTAATCCTCTATGGGAGTCCCCCGGGATTTACTTTTTTTATTTCATTCTCAAAAAAAAAAAAAAAGAAAGAAAAAGAAAGGTGGCTTCCATTGCTGATGCTATGTGAGGTCGCATGTAAGCCAGCTCGTACAATTTCTTTCCATCCCCTCATAAGACCTACATGCCCAGGCTACTGCTATTTATTCCTTGCTTATTGTCTTTATTTTTTTCATCATTCCATAACCGACTCACTGTCACAGCCGTAGCTATTTCGTATCTCACCATGCCATCTACTGTTTATGTTGATTGAGTGTTGCATTAGTTCATGCCCTCGGGGAATCATCTACAGATGTCCATGAGACTAATGATCCAATTTACCCTGCTCAACTCGACTACCCTAAAGATCGGCCATCGAGATGCTGCCTTTATCAGCTCGTTCCTTGCTATGCGCCATGCTCATGTTTATTTACGAGATGTATGAGTCATTCATACGCATATACCACGTATCTTCTTTGTTAGAAGACCAATGAGCTTCTTACCATTTCACAGCGAAATAGATGGAATGAGGATAATTAAATCGGAGGACACAGGCGATTGAATATTTATCCATTCACTAAAGAAAAGAAAAAAAAAATGACAACTTCCAACAGATACTTACATGTATGCCACGAGAAGTCACTGACAATCACATCCACTCTTCTCCATGAATAGCATTCTTCCTAGACCATAGCGGCGATGGTCTGTAGCTGCTGCGCGAAGACATTTCGCGGTCACGAGGCTCGGGGTTACATCTGCCCTTTATAGCTTCCACCTTACCATGATGAGGCATTCCGGCAATCAGAACTGCCGGTGAACATGCCAATGCAATAGGGAAGAGGGCCAAGTGCTTTGGACAAAGTCCAGTTGCGTGACTTACACAGCCGAAGCTGGCTAATAAGTCCTCATCCCGTTTGCACCCTGACACTCCAAGTAGGTGAACCGATCATCCTCCTCTACAGCAAAACACCGACAATTCAGCTATGAAGGGACGCTGCCAGGGTAGCAAATGATTTTATTTGCGGATGACATGAGTGTACATTCAAGTGCACGCTCCCGCCTGATGGAAGGGCAACTGCGATTGATGCCGGAGACATCGCTCTCGTCCAGCTGCGTCGCTTATCTTTTGAAGTCTTCGAAGCTTTTGACACTGAATCTTGGTGCTGCAAAGGTAGCACGTAGTGATTGTGTAACGACCATCAATTGTATCCTTCACTCATCGAGGAAAGGGGGAGATGGCACTGGGCTCTCCAGCCTGCCTGGTTGATACAATGTGACTTGAACCCTCATGAGCTCCTCGGCCTTTTGCTCACCTGAACACCCGCAGAACAGTGGTCGACATATTATCGTGCATCTGACTTTTAGAGGAAATCACCATTGGTACACATGAGCCTCGTAATTGACGGTACGATAATAGAGACGCACAAACACACAGAACCTACTGCCATTAGCAGCAAATACGCTCTTGTGCGGCGACAGTGTCAGCACCTTGAAATCTCAATGCTTCCTCCTACTCTCTGAATGCCGACTAGAGAGCTCCGGGAGTTCTCAAACATTGGGTCGAAGAGCACGCTGAATTTGGCTTCCTAGGCGAGAAGCGACGACGAAAACTATGAATTACATTCACGGTGATGCTGTACATCCACGTCTTCAACCGTGGCCCGAGCATCGACATGCGCGCGTTGCTGGCCTTCAATTCCTGCAGCTCTGGGCCATCACCTTGCGAGTCCAGGCACCAGCTGCGCGGTCAACGGCTGCATTGAGAGAAGGCCCTCTGTGACGACGTCTGCAAATGACTTCGGCGGCCGCTCATCTGGCCTCGCGCCTTCTTCGACCGAGTACCGGCTACGCGCCACAATTCGAAGTTGAGGACAGACAGAAAGAGTTTTGTGTGCGACATAGAAAGTCTACTACTCTTCACTGTCCCGCCGTTATCTGGTATTGCTCGAGTGACAATTGAGCTTGGGTGTTTGTTACATGCGTTCTTATAAAGAACGTCCGGAGTGTCTTCAACACCACCGGCTCGTATGGACATGTTCACCATCGACATGTCCGGCAGTTCCATCGGATCAACACTAACATACATCATATATACTTTCCATGATGATCGTACCATATCTCCTACCCTGGCTATGTTGCCAATGATTACAGTCGTAACCGCTCAGATGTCAATAGTAGTAGTATTAGGCTAGTCACGTCACCTTGTCTCGTAAATCACACCACTCTTCCTCCATTTTTTCCTTGTTTTCTTCTTCTTTTTTCTCTCTATTTTGCTTTAATAGTTCTTTACCCCTCTGGCCCTCATCATCTTTCAGTTTTGCCCCTCTCCAAGCTGGATATAATACTATCAGTACGGAGTACGAAAGGGACAGTCGTACTCGGGGCTCTTCAACGCGGAGTCCCCATTAAAATGTACCCCTCCCATCTACCCCAAAATAGAAATTTTAACAGTTGGACAATTTCGCCGAAAGCTGTCCGAGTGGTGAAGCGCGGGGGAGGGGGGATTTTGTAGAAGCTCAAGCTATTGAATGGAAGTACCTACATATAAAGAGCGTTTTGTAACCTTTCAATCAGAACGATCCCCTTCTCCTGCTAAGTTGTAACATATTGTAAAACAACTCCTCGCACACACACAAACAAGATGGTTTCCAAGACTTTCAACGTCGGTGTCGTCGGCTACGGGTAAGTCAAGGACTGTACAACTTTCAAGAACCAAGAACCAGAACAGTCAGCTCTGACCAAAAGACACATAAAAAAAAAACCTCCCCACACAGCATGTCTGCCAAGATCTTCCACATCCCCTTCATCAGCCAGACCCCGTCTCTCCGACTTCATGCCATCGTCCAGCGCAACCCGCGCGAGGGCAACTCTGCGCCCACGGACCACCCTTCGGCCCGCCACTTCAGCGACGTAAAGGATCTCCTGGCCGACGCTGACACGGACGTCATCGTCATCACCACCCCACCGGACCAGCACTTTGCCCTGACCAAGGCGGCCCTCGAGTCGGGCAAGCACGTGCTGACGGAGAAGCCGTTCGTGCCTACGGCTGCCGAGGCGGAGGAGCTGATCGCCCTGTCAGAGGCCAAGGGCCGTCTGATCTGCGTGTTCCAGAACCGTCGGTGGGATGCCGACTTCCTCACCGTCAAGCACCTCCTAGAGAAGGAGACCCTGGGCCGCATCCTCGAGTTCAACTCCCACTTCGATCGGTACAAGGCGCCCTCGGCCGCCGCCCGCGCTGACTGGAAGGGCCGCCTAGGCATTCCCCAGGCCGGCAGCACTCTGTACGATCTTGGCACCCACCTGATCGACCAGGCCTACGTGCTCTTTGGCCTCCCCAGGTCCGTCAGGGGCCGCCTCATCAACCAGAAGGAGGGTAAGGCTCTCGACGATTTCAGCCCCGACGCCGTCACCGTCGAGCTATCCTACCCCGACGGCAAGACGGCCAACCTTCGCATGAGCGCTCTCAGCGTCGAGACCTCCCAGCCCCGCTTCTGGGTTCGCGGCATCAAGGGCGCCTTCCACAAGTACAACCTCGACCCCCAGGAGGACCAGCTCAAGGCCGGTGCCCTTCCTGGCTCCGCAGGCTTTGGCAAGGACGACCCCGAGAACCTCAAGCTTACGCTTGCCGATGACCAGGGCAACGTCAAGGATGTTCCCGCCCCTGACCTCGAGCCCGAGACCTACACGGCCTTTTACGCCGCCTTTGCCGATGCCCTGGCCTCAGGAGCACCTGACAAGGTTCCTGTCAAGGCTAGCGAAGCCCGTGACGTGCTTAAGATTATCGAGGCGGTACTTGAGAGTGCTAGGTCGGGCAGAGACGTGACATTTTAGCTTCTGTTTGATACCAGTAATGTATGTAGTCTCGATAAAAACCAAGGCAGATTCAAGATGAAAGACCCGAAGTCTTGCTTCGAGAAAGAAGGAGAAAAAAACAGTTCATAGCTTGCTACAGCGCTAAAGCAGTTCACTAAATACTCGCAACCGATGCAATATAACGACTGATCTAGTAATGCCTGTTTCTGTTGCGTCCTGTATGGTTATCTATACCAGAATGAAAGGAGAAATGACTCTGCTAACATGAAAAAACTACTAGGGGGTCTGAAAATGACAAAAGAAAAAAAAAGGGGTAGTGGTAAAAAAAGGTAATGTCAAAAAAAGTTGACAAGATGAAAGATGGAATGTAATGGGGTGCGAAGAAGACGAATATGGACAAAAGAAGTAGTCAAGGATTGGTGGGCAAGCAGGGACAGTTTAAAGACCCATGATGATAGCCGAGGCGGCAAGACCAGCGACGACAAGGGCAACAGAGCTCTGTCCCTCCAGAGCAGAGGCAGCCCCCTCCTGAACATTGACGGCGTCGCCATAGATGGAAGGAGCGTAGGTGGCAGGCTCTGACTCATCAATGGTGCCGTTCCAGCAGTACGAGTTGAAGCAATCCTCGCAGGCCTGGGGAACGGTGGTGTTGGTGCGGTCAAAAGAGCGGGAGAGGATGGCGCAGCCGACGCACACGGGCCACTGCTCGTCGCGGGTGGCGTTGAGCTGCGTGGCGACGGCCCAGCCATTCTGGACCATGGCATCCTGCTCGGTCTCGTTGTACGAGGTTTGGAAGGTGGATGTGTTGGAGTTGTAGACGTAAGGGTAGTTGGGAATGTAGACAATGAGCGGCGACGCGACGGAGGTGTTGGATGAGTCGCATCCGAAGAAGGTGGGGCGGGCGTTGAGACCGAGGTTGACAAAGGTGTCCTTGCCGGGGACGACGGGGAAGCCGGTGCCCTCGGAGATTTCGTCGAGAGAGCGCTCGTAGGTGGCGACGGCTGAGATGCCCTGGGGCCAGCCGAGCTCCGTGTCGGCCGAGTTGTCAAAGGCTAGGATGACGTCGACGGCGCGCTCCCCAAAGAGGTGCGGATGGAAGGGTATGTTTTGGGAGTCCTCGCCACCGTCAACGAGGGTCAGGCGCGTCAGGTTGGCGTCGTAGTTCTCGGCTTCGTTCCATCCCTGGAAGGGGTTGGGCGTCCAGTCGGCAATGTCGTCATTGTCGTTGCCAAAGTACTCGAGCACGTCGGTGATGGCCGAGACGACGAAGTCAGGCACGTCATCGGGCACGTAGCCGCTGTCCTTGTTGTTGAGGTACAGGACAATCTGGTTGAACAGACTGCTCGACGTGCCCATGACGAAGCCGGCATTGTCGAAGCCGCGCACACACTGCCCGTCATCGGGGATCTCGCCGTCGGTGAAGTTGGAGCCAACCCATTCGAGCGGCACGAAACCCCGCAGCGTCGGGTCAAACGACCCCAGCTCCCACGGGTTGAAGTCGAAGACGGTCGAGTTGATGGACACGATCTGCTGTCCGGGCTGGCGGCCCACGGCGACGAGGAAGGGCATCGGCGCCTTGCCCGCACTGAAGTCGGAGTCCTCGGCGATGGAGGAAAACGTCACACCGGGGCCGCCGTGCGAGGCGTTGACCAGCTGGTACGACAGCATGCGACCCCAGTAGTCGGTGACGGATCGCTGGAATCCCGCATCTTCCTTGTCGCTGACGTCGTCGAAGATGGAGGAGTAGTAGTCGTACAGGGCGTATTGTTCGGGGCCTGACATCAACACACGCGGGGTCAGGTCAGTACAGAGATAGGTGAAGGAGAATGCGGCAGATGGGCGGGGTGATGGTATCCATTACCCTCGAGGATAGAGTCCTGCAGCTCCCAGACAGCGCCGTTGCTCAAACTGTCCTCAACAGTGGTGAAGTTGTTGACGTAGAGGCTACCGACGAGCCAGCCACCACCCGACAGACCGGAGATGTAGGTCGCGCTCTGCACCAGACCACCAAGGTTGCCCGTCGTCTGGCTTCCCGGCGAACGGTCGTCGAGAGCAGCAAAGGCGCCGGCACCGGTCAGCATGGCACGGTAGCCACCGCCGGAGAAAGCGAGGCCAATGTTGGGCAGGGCCGTGGCATCTTCCTCGACGCTGCTGAGGTACGCGGTGCTGTTGAAGTCGGCAATATTGACGCGCTTGAGGAAGTCGCGAATCGGGGTTATCGTCTCGTTGCGACGCTTGAGCAGCCACTCCTTTTCCTTCTGAGAGAGGCTGGTACCGTTGCGGATGGTGGGACGGTCGTCGGGGCAGTCGACCGCGGTGGGGACGTAACCGTCGGGGGCGTTGCTGACCGCGCGTTCAGCATGCTTATCGGAGAAGGAAGAAGCTGCTGTTTTTTCCCCCGTGAAAGTTAGATATATTCAAGTTGATTATGGGTTGATTGGTCGTAGGTAGCTTGTTATGTATCGTCGTACCTGTGGCGCCAGCGACGGCGGAGGCCGTGAGCAATATAGGTAGGCTCTTCATTATGGGTAGTGAATGGATAATATAGAAAGAGGGAAAGAGGTATTGCGTCCAAATATCAGATGGAGGGCAAGTAATTATAAAGTAAAATATAAAAGAAAGAAAAGAAAAGAAAAGAAAAGAAAAAGATTGTCAAGAGGCGCCGTCGGGCTTTTGGTCGGGGTCGTCGGAATCGTCGGAGGGGCTGAAGGGGGTGAAGGGGTGTGGTGATGGTGATGCCAAGAAAAAGGAGGAATGGGATGAATGGAGAGAACGTGTCGGGAATTAAATCGGTATTGGAACCTATGAGCGCATCAAGGAGTACATGCACTCTCGGCAAAAAAAGGACAAGGATACGATTATCTATATCTCTCGCATATTGAAGCGAGTATTCAGTCAAGGAGGGAAAGGAAAAGAAGGAGAGAGAGAGAGGAAAAAGTGTGAAAACAGTTGAGAAAGAACGCTTTACCGCTTAGCATGCGACGATGTGAGTTGTAACCAGTCGTACAATCAATGCCAAGAGTAGCATTACTCCATACATAGCAAAGTGAGAGTGTGTGAGTGAGAAAAAAAGGAACAGAGCACTGCCATGATTTCTTCCCCACCATGGTCCATAATATTTGCGAGTCTGTTACATGTAACATAATGCCTACTATAGTAGGTTGTATCTTCTCATGTCGCAAGGCTCATTATTCCAGAAAGTGTTCTCAAGGCTTGAAACAGCAGAATCTACAAATATTCAATCATTATCATCATAATAGCACTACCCGTACCTTTGTCAGTTGTAATGATCTGCTTCGCCCCTGAGGTCTTGAGGTCTTGCCAAAGGGCTTTGTTTCTAGTAGAACCTAGTCGGTAAAAGGCCTAGGCAACTCGGAACTTGACAAATCGACAAGTCAGCAACTCGACGTCATTACCAGCATCTCTTACGGGGCCACTAGGGCCCCGTGATCCCGTTGGCGAACTGTTTGATCGGCCTGCTCCATGCGACGCCTTTCACGGGAAGGGGCCGGGGGGGGGGGGGGGGGGGGGGGGGGGGGGGGGGAGGTGGTCTTGGTCTTACTTCTTACGTAGGTAATAATACTCTCGACGGTAGCTCCTATGCGGTACGCACGGGTAGACTCGAATCAAATACTAGGAACTAGGAACTCAAGTAAAAGTTGTATTCGTACTCCTAGTAGCATTGACTAGTACTGCTAATAATACGGCTTCTTCGCGAGTTTTACGAGATTACCACATTCATCATCATCGTGGCTTGATCCCCTAGTTTCATCGACGAGTTAGTCTCTTGGCAGACCACCGGAAATATCATATATGACACCTTGTCGTCGTACTTGGCTGCTTGGTTGGGCTGGTAAGTGCATGTACGTATACGAGCAAAGGGTGTTGCGCGCTTCCTACGGCATATTGCGCCGCACAAGCCTCATTGACTGTTGCAGCTTACGAGTACAAGTAATACTACAGTCTATTGCCCGTACGAGTACGTCCGGTAACTCTCGCATCAGCCGTACTGTTCCTTTCCTCTTCACTGTATCATCTTGTTGGCCTACCATGCACGTATTACAACCAACCAATATTACCATATCCCGCCCTGTAAGGCAGAGACCGTTACTTCCGACTCTCGTCACGCCCAATCGGGAAAATACTCATGATGGCTTACCCTTGCCTTCGGACTTGTGTCGCCCCGTTTCGGACTTTTAATACGAGTATGATTCAAGTATATGCAGCCTTACCGAGAGAGTAGAGGTGAGGATTGACCGCTACTCGAGCAAGTGACATCTTACGAAAGTGCATCAGGCCAAGATGACCGACCTCATCTCTCACCGAGGCAGCTGGGGATTTTCCAATACGCGCACATGATCCCAGGGAATATCAACAGCTGCTTCATTGGTATCAAACCAATCAAGACGAGAATTTACGGAAACAGTACCGACGGTAATTATACAAATTCGTGGGTTATACATCACGGGCAACACATCCCGACGCCTTGTGTGCCCTTGTTCAGTCATCCTGAATCGTAGGATCCCTCCCGAACGGATGATTGAACTTGAGCATCCCGTTGAGTCCACCAACCCAAGGGTCATCATCCTCTGTGCGGATAACGCACGGCACCCCACCATGCCACTCCCCGTCGCCCCTGTGGACGAACTCGCCCTCGACACGGATCTCCGAACCTGGCGACACCCCCGCACACCGTCTCCCATCGATACTGAGATCCAGCTCGCGGCCCCGGTTTTTAGGACTCATCCGTAGCGTCACCTTGGTATCCAGCGGGAGAACGAGCGAGCGGAAGCTTAGGCTGCAGGGGCTGATGGGCGTGATGAGTAGCGACTGCACGAGCGGGTGGACGATAGGACCGCCGGCACTCAGACTGTAGGCGGTAGATCCCGTGGGCGTGCTGATGATGATGCCGTCGGCCATGGTCTCGGTGAGGAAGTGGCCATTCTGGTAGATGTCGATGATGGCCAGGTGGGGGTGCGAACCGCGGTGGACTGCAATCTCGTTGATGGCGCGGAGCGAGGGCGTCGCGACGACGGGCGTGATGAGCGACTTGGCCGTTGCCGTGAGCGTATCCGAGAGCCTGTCGTTGACGTTATTTCCTTCGGCGTCAAACACATCGGCCTTGATGCGGTTGCGCAGAAGCACTTTTGAAGCCCGCTGCTTGCCCATGCTCTTGCCGTTGGTGCGCTCCCATGCCCCGTAAGAGTCTTCCGTCTCATCACCCTTGCGCGGCATAGCCGCATCCCGTACCGCCACGTCGCTGCCGCTCATGTACACTTCCCGCCACACCTTTTTGTACTCTGAGAATTCCCACTCCCCCAGGAAGCCCAGGGTGCCCATGCTGAACGAGACGATGGGCGGCACCGCCCCGTGCAGCTTAAACAGGCTGGCCGCTCTGAGGACGGTGCCGTCCCCGCCAAACGTGACAATGACGTCGACCTTGTCAGCCGTGCTGGTGCGGTCGTCGGATGCGTATATGGGGAAGTCGAGGCGCGACTGCACCGATGAGGCGATGCGCGGCTCGAAGACGACGTTGACTTCGGGGTAGTCGGTGTGCATGTGCTTGGCGAATTTGACCACGGCCTCTGTCACCTCGGCACTGTAGAGCTTCTGGATAAGAAGCAAGTTGCGCGGAGGCCGCGGCCACCTGAGTGATAGGAGCGATGAGCCGGGACTCGTTGTGCTCTGGACGTAGCGTGGATAGATGCGCTCGGGGAGGTTAGCGATGCTCCGTACATCATGGCTGCTGGTGCTAGAGGGGCGACGGCTGCGAAGGGGGAATGACGTCGAGAATGGTCGCGTGAACAGGGAGGAGGAACCCCGTGTTCTTCGAGGTATGCACGCTATGGCGGGCTTGTAAAGTAACCGCTCACCGATGAGCCTGTGACAGAACATGATGCCTCATGGCGTATAGTGGCATCCCTACTCGTGTGAATAAATGAATGAGTCTGTCGTTTTTCCACTACCCCAGTACAGGTATCGTACACATTGCGTCAATGTGTGGCAGAATATAAAGCATCTCACCGCCTACCAGATTTGTACTCCCGGTCTACCTACCCGCAGAGTACTATCACTCGTACATTGTGCACTGAACGTGGTCTGCAATTCCCTGTTGAAGCGAAAACAACCGCCTCTTCTATGTCTCTCTGTGTAATTCTTTTTGTTCTACGAGAACCATGTGATGTCTGCTAACAGCGACGCCTTGTATATATGGTCCACGTGCTCGTGCTAACCCCTCCTCCTCCACGTTGCCGCCACTTCCGGTAGCTTATTCATTAATCAAACACGATTCTATTGGCCCGTTAGTGCTCCCGTGAAGACCTACGGGCCTTTGCAGCTCCACGCCAGGCCCCAAAACTCCCTGCTTCAAAGCCGGGATCTCCGTCTCTTTTAAGCCTCCGGGCAGCTCTGGGCTCTAGCTGGGTCAGGCCACTGTATTCCCCGCGGACGGTCACCTGCGGCCTAAAAGATCAACGGCAACGGAAAACTCCAGCGCAGCCTGCCAAGCTGCTCGCGGCCCTAAGGGTCCATTCACGAGCCCATTCACACTGCCCCGAGGTCTCCCATCAGCTGTCCACGCCAGACTTCCAAGGCAGTGACGCTACTGACGTTGTCATCATGGGAGACGGCACTACCTGCCTTGTCCAAAGCTAAAACTCCTCCCTTCCCAATTATTTTCATCGCCAGCCTATCTTGCTCTCGGTCGGACTTCAACCCAAGTGCATACTTTCCTTGCTTGAGGTGTCTTCATTTCCACTCTTTTTCTTTGGTTGAATACCTCATTATACCCGGTCTCTGACCCTTAGCAGACTACTGCTGTGCGTGTGTGTAGAGCCTGTGCGTTTTCGGCCTCGGCTCCCCACCGTCACGCCTTGTTCGTCGGGCTGCCTTGTTGGGTGACGACCCAAAGAGGGAATGTTGGATAGCTGAGCTTGGCTTTTACACCCTTGCTTGGTCTCTCATCAACCCGTACTGTTCCTCTTCTCACTCTCGTTCTCGCTCTCGCTTGAACCGCCGACCGATTAAACATGGCCTCCGCGGCGGCCATCTCGGACGCCGACATACCGGGGCCCGACCCCTCCGAGCTCATCCCAAAGAAGCCCCCGCCCAGCCACGGCGATGAGCATCCTTCTGGCAAGGAGAGCTTCGGCCTCTTCATGCAGATTGTTCGCGGGACGGCGGTTATCTCATACTTCACCGTTGGCTTCGTTGTGTACGCAAACAAAAACTACCCCTCTATATCCCACCCCACTTCCATGATGATGATGGTGATGGCAATGGTGACATGCGCTAACGAGCCACCGGCCGCGGAAATATAGGATACACTTGACACAGTTTATTGGTGCACCCCTGTATATTATCAACCGGGACTGGTTCTACGCATACATGGCCATGACGAAGCGCCTGGTCGCTGTCTTGATCAGCCACGGCACCAACCTCTGGGTTCCTATTAAGATCCGCATCAGTGGCGATGAGTCCGTGGCCAGCCAGATACGTCCGACCGAAGATGGAAACGTTCGCTTCCACTTCCCCAAGCGAGTTATCCTCATTGCGAATCATCAGGTACGAACCGACACGCCCTACCCTGTAGACTGGCAGGGCTTCGTGAAGAGTTGCATAATAACAGAGGATACAGATCTATACCGACTGGCTCTACCTCTGGTGGGTGGCTTATGCCAATAATCCCGGCATGCACGGGCACATCTACATCATCCTCAAAGAATCCCTGAAGCACATTCCCATAGGAGGATGGGGCATGCGATTCTTTGGTTTCATCTGGATGTCGCGCAGGATGGATGTTGACCAGCCCCGTCTAGCCTACCGTCTGCAGAAGTTGCGCCAAAAGAGGACAGCTGCCAGCGGCAGGTCCTTCTTCAATCCCATGTGGCTGCTCCTCTTCCCCGAGGGTACCACGCTCAGCCAAAACAGCCGCAACAAGTCAGCTTCCTGGGCCAAGAAGAAGGGTCTGCGCGACCCCGAGCACGCCCTTCTTCCGCGCAGCACAGGCATGTATTTCTGTCTGAAGGAGCTCAAGGGTTCCGTCGACTATGTATATGACTGTACCGTCGCATACGAGGGTGTTCCGTAAGTAGCTTACTAGCCTCTGGAAGAAAAAAGAAGAAGTCAAGGAGGAAGAAGGTCGAGGAAACCATATATGCCTCTCAACAGTGGTACTGACACAACACAGACGCGGCAAGTTTGGCGAGGATCTGTACGGATTGATCACAACCTACTTCCAGGGTCGGACACCCAAGTCGGCCAACATGTATTGGCGTCGGTTCCGCGTGGAGGACATTCCTCTCGACGACCAGGAGACGTTTGATGAGTGGCTCCGCGAGGAATGGTACAAGAAGGACGCTTTCCTGGAGGGCTTTCACGAAAACAACCGCCTGCCGCCCATGGTGGGCACGGAAAATAAGTACGTCGAGACGGCAGTGCGCACCCGCCACGAATGGGAGATTTTCGAAGTCTACGCCATCCTAGCGGTTTTCATGGCCTTGGTCCTCGTGGTGATCCCTCGTGTGCTCTAGGTGACACTCATCTCGCCATGACAGACATGAAGCATGATTACACGGGAGTACAGTCTGGCGCGTGTATCATTGTTCTTCTGCGTGGTTTATTGGAGATTCTCATTTGGTCACTAGATGGCACCTATGTTTTCATTGATTAAACGTGCATCGGTTGGGGATGGATGTTGGGCCGTCTTCAACTTGTCTTTTGTTTTTACACTTTTACATTCTTACATCCCTTTTCTTTTTTCGACTTTACCTTGTCGTCTTGTTTCTTCTGAGAATATTGAATAGGCGTCGATGACTTTTGGGCCATGCACGGAGGGAATGCAAACCATGTGCCTGGGTGATGTCACACTGTATTACTTCATAAGTTTCCATGTGATGGACACGACATTCATTGCATACGCGCTCTATGTTGTCTGCTCCAGGTAATGATATCCGACCACACGCCACAAGAGCCATTAGAGTGATTGCATGTGTCTGGACTGTTGCGATGGCGTTGTGTGTATTTGTTGTGGCTGTGATTTTAGTGCTAAGGTCGGTCCCACCTGCTCTGAGGTGGGAAAAGCCCACCCAAAAAAAAAACAACCGATTATAATCGGCTGGCGGATCTCTCCCGCCGGGAATTGAACCCGGGTCTCGAGCGTGACAAGCTCGCATACTGACCACTATACTACGGAAGATGTTTTGACTGTTTGGAGCAGTCAACGTAGTGAGGCGCTGTTGAGAACGTGGTGCAGAATTTAAGATTATATAGTTATCTCACGAACACCGACCCCTCTACATTTACATCGTGATAAGACGACATGAATATAATGCGGGCACTTAACGCGTTCCACCCTAACATCTCTCTTGCCTCCTGTATTGAAACCAGGAGTTGTGTGCGCCTCTATCCGTACCTGCGGGACAGAAAGTATGATCTGCCAGAGGGCCATCATCTGAGTCAAGGATCTACTCTATGTGCCGCATGTGGTCCAAGCGTACTCAAGAGGTACATATCCTAGACGCAACTGTTGCATACATATTACTTGGACCAGTGGCAGGCTGGCAAAGGTATTTTCTTTCGTACATAGATCAACAACGCACCTGATTGCTTTGCAAAAAAAAAATCAAGACAGAATGCGCCACGATGATCCTGCGTCGCGGTCTATGCGTTGCAACACTGATCCCTTTCAACGATTTCATCACATCACGCGGGGGGGGGGGGTAATAAAACACAGTATTATTACATGGATGCATGTATGTGTTAGTATCCTACACCGACGGACGCGGGTCGCGTCGTAGATGACACTACCGCTTTACAGCTTTCTATCGAAGCGCACACACACGTGTTAGTAGTCAAATGACAAATAGGGTACTCTTCACGACTCACTCCTCGACGAGACAGGTAGCTAGCTTTTACACGAAGAATAGAACACGCGGAATCAACGAGAGCGGGGGGACACGATAGTGGACCATCGATAGTGCCACGCCACTTATAGCAACATCATGGTCTGGTGTCTGTAGCTTAGTTCTTGGTTGACCACCTGGGCGGGGTCTAAGTTGACAGTGGTGGACCGGGACATCACATCCGGGGGAGGGGTCGAGGGTCATTCTGTAGGAAGCCTTTTTCTAGCGTCCACTCCTCTCCCACTCTTCTCTTTCCTCCTTTTCCTTTTTTTTGTGAAGAAGAAAATGGGTCTGTTTGGTCTCCCTGGATACTGTATTCGGTCAAGTTTGAGGTAACGGAATGCTTCAACTTGCCGTCTATGAGCTCTTAGAGGGCTAAGCAAACGAGACGGTTGATCCAGCTAGTGTAGAGAGACAAACCTCCCCTTCCCAGAACTAAGAGAAAAGGGAACCCAAATCGACGTGAGCCCATGGAGATTAAGCATGTATGTCTAATACTGTCTCTCCTAGAGGTCCAAGTTCTGACAAAAAAACCCATGACGCCAGTACTATCACCTACCCACCGACCCCTGTCTTTTCCCCGGGTTGAAACCCCGCTCATCTACTCCACATTCCAACTCCACAGCACTTGCATGAGAAGCAGCTTCTTACATGAAAGCACCGCCTAACAGAGCCCCGATTTTCCGTTGGAGAGACAACTATGGATGAATGAACGATGGAAACGATTGGGGGGGGAGGAAGGGAGGGAGGGAGAGAGGGGGAAAGAGGGCATTTGTCTCAACTAGGATATTTTCCCGAGTGGCAACTCTCAGGGGTTTCCTGTCCTCCCGTACTCGTATCCTGCTTCCAACTCTCTTGTTTCCCTTCCCCGCGAGCCCCGTATACTTATCGAACTGGATAAGCTTATTTCCTACGGTGACGGAGGTGGGGCCTAGGCATTCGAGTTGTCGAACTCGGGGGTGGGGTGGGGGGAACTGGGATCTGAGCCCAAGAAGAATTGAACATCCATAAGTGTTTCCCCCTCCGTCGCTATATTTACTGATAATTCCGAAGCCACGATTTCAATGCCAGCCAGGCTTATCCTTACCTAGTGAGTGGTTGGAGTGGGTCACGAAATCATTGGTTCCGCGGGACGATCGAGGTCAGGAGAGTTCGCGTGTTCTAGGTGTGTATTACGCCTCCTCCTCGTCCTCCCAACAAGCTCTTTCGAAAAACGCGGGGGAGAGCATGCTAGCCCGGAGAATGGCTCCAACCCACCATGACGGCGCGTCGCAGAGAACTCGCGGTGGCCGAGGCTCCATTCATCGACATATCGACAGAGATGAAGGACGTATTACATGGCAGTCTGATCTGCATTAGCCCCCCATCTTTACCGTTCCCTTGCGGGCGCGCCCCTCGAGACCTAAACAGCCTATATGTGTTCTACGTTGTACTCTTCCATCCCACCCCCCCCTGTTATCTGGGACACTACCCTACCTGTCTCTACTGTTCCATAAACTGCACATATATATATATATATATGTATATGGGTGCCTTGCTCCCTTACTTTGGCTCATCTGAAGAGCTCAGTCTTTTTCCCCTCTGCATCATCCTTCTTTACCGCATCCGTCACAGACGCCCAGAAAAGCATTGGCCATGGAGCGAAACGGGAGCAACGACAGCTCTGGGCTGGAGAAGCGGGAGCCTCATATGACTCACGTCGACAACACAGCTGAACCGGTCGACTCCAACTATGACTTCACCCCTGGGGAGCAGAAGCGCATCATCCACCGCGTCGATAGGCGCCTCGTCGTCACCGTGGGCGCATTGTACTGCATCAGTCTGGTGGACCGCACGAACATGAGTGCTGCTAATATCGCCGGCATGAGCGTGGATCTGAACCTGGTTGGCTTCCGATACGTACGTTATCCACTTCCATTACTCCTAGTATGTGAAGGAATCGAGAAGCTGACCCGACCAGAACATTGCCAACCTCGTCTTCTTCGTCCCCTACATCCTCTTTCAGCCGCCGTCTACCATCCTCGTCCGTGCCCTCGGGCCGCGAGTCCATCTTGCAGCCGTCACCATCTTCTGGGGCGCCGTCATGATTGGCATGGGCTTCATAAAGGACTACGGGCAGCTGGCTGGTATGAGGGTCCTACTTGGTACCCTCGAGGCGGGCTTCTTCCCTAGCTGCGTCTACCTCCTCAGCACGTGGTACACACGATGTAGGAACCCCTCATCTCATCCCTCCAATTGTTATCGGACAGTTGCTGATCGCATCCGTAGACGAGGTGGGAAAACGCTACTCGGTATTCTACCTCATCGGCTGCGTAGCCTCGGCCTTTTCCGGAATCCTAGCCTACGGAGTAAGTCTCATAGTCCCATGGAGTATACGCCTGCCCCCTCTAAGCTGATGATCGCAGCTCTCCCAACTACATGGTCGCGGCGGCCTCCAGGGCTGGCGCTGGATCTTCACCCTCGAGGGAGTCTTCACCGTCGTCCTCGGTCTCGCAAGCTACTGGCTTCTCGTTGACTTCCCAGACTCGAAGCGCAAGAACTGGAGCTTTCTCAGTGAGCGCGAGCGCAGGTGGGTAGTGGACCGCATCTCGCGCGATCGCGGCGACGCCCACCAGGAGCCCTTCAAGATCAAGAAGTTCCTGGCCGCCGGGCTGGACCCCAAGATCTGGGCCTATGCCATGATCTTCCTCTGTACAACGACTATATCGTACGCGCTGGCGTACACGCTCCCCCTCATCCTGGTGGGGAACCTGGGCTTCACCGTCGCCCAGGCTCAGTGCCTCGTCGCCCCGCCCTACGTCCTCGCCGCTATGCTCATGTATACCACATCCTTTTTTGGCGACAAGTACCATATTCGTGGACTGCCCATCATCATAAACATGGTCGTCTGCCTCATCGGTCTACCCATCATGGGATGGCACCCAGACCCCGCCGTCCGGTACTTTGGCGTCTTCTTCGTCACCGCCGGAGCCAACTCGAATGTGCCTGCGGCCATGAGCTTCCAGGCCAACAACGTCCGTGGCCAGTGGAAGAGGGCGTTCTGCAGCGCTACTCTCGTCGGTGCCGGCGGTGTCGGTGGCATCGTTGGCAGCCTTGTCTTCCGTGAGCAGGACGAGGCCACGGGGTATAAGCCCGGCATGTACGCCTGTATTGCCTGCTGCCTCATGGTCATTCTCATGGTGATTATCTGCGAGATTGCGTTTTGGCGCGCCAACAAGAAGGCTGATACTGAGGGCAAGATTATCGAGCCCCATGCTGTAAGCCTTCCCCCGCTCCTTTTTTCTCGTGTTGATCTCTGTTCTCTTCTCCACCACTGTGTCACCCATACTGACTAGTTGCAGAGCGACGCTTCTCCTGATTTCCGTTATACGTACTAGCTGTATCGTTTCGAGGTCTAAGGGGGCTTCGACTTATGGCGGCAAAGGACGTATCGAATTGTCTGTGATTCAATGATGTTTATTTCATGGCTGGTTCCATGCCTTTTTTTTTTTTTTTTTGGTTTATTCAGTAGCAATGGCATCACCTATCTCTGCACTCTGTTCAAGTCCGCGGAAACCCTGAGACTTCGGTCAACTTGCATTAACCAAGATAATCGCCCGTGTTCATACCTAGCAACACGTCGATGTGGCGCAGACATGACTATCATAGTTCTTCTCGTCCTCGTCTTCCTGACCCTGTGCCTCGTGGTCCGATGCTACCGCTGCCGCGGCTGTGCTGACAGCGAAGGCAACAGCATTCACGTCGAGCCGCTCGGAATTCCCATCACGACAGAACCGCTGACCCGTTACCGAACATTCGGCTCCGAGTCGGGATACTCTGCAGACGAGGAGGATTGTACTGCCGCCGTGACAGGCAGTACCACTACTCCCTGCGACATAGTTGGGGCGCCCAAGACTGACATCGGGCCACGGTCATGGCCGCCCGCGATGGCCAGGCCTTTCACCAGGACCATCATGGACGCGCCGGAGACACCATCGACAACCAGTACAATACTGCGCGATGAGGAAGCTGGCTTTAGCCTATTGTCACCAAGAAGGAGTGAATCGTTGCTTTTATTCCCCATGTCGGACGAGTACGAGGGTGCAACGCCACGGTCAAGGGTGTTTGCGCTTTGATCGTGTGAGGTACAGGCAGGAAAAAAAAGTAGAACAAAAGAAAGGCAGGTGTTACTATATGCCAGTTCACTTTTGATTGGGCTCTAAAAAAAAAGAGTAGAATAAGATAAATGTAGGATGTAAATATATCAATTTACAGGGACACCATGACTGCTGCCACGGCAACCCACATAGAGGCGGCAATCATGTTGGCTGAGCTCTCTTGATTTCCATCTGTTGTCTCAACCTCATCTGTCTCGTCGCTGTTGCTACCAGTGTCATCGCTGTCGCTATCACTGGCCTGCCCGTCAACCTTGACGACGCGTTTAGCAAGCTTAGGACTCAGCGGGGTGTGAGCCTCAACGTAGTCGACGAGGACCTGATCTTGGGCGTCCAGCGTAGTAAAGTCGCTCGTCTCAACCAGGATGCTGTCACCTCCGCCGGCCAAGAAATCCAGAGTGACGATTTCGTAATTCTGGCCGTCGACGATAGCCTCACCGTTAACCTTGGCGCTTACGAGACGCTTGCCCGCGACGTTGTCGGGGTTGTACTCGACAACCAGGCCATCGGAGATCTGGAACCAGGAGCTGATATCGGCCTTTGTCTCCTGATTTACCATGGAGACGCAGCCCTCGAGGATGGAGAGAAGCTCCTTGCCAGTGTATGTGAGCTGGACGACGGTGTTGCCAAAGGGAAACGACGTAAGAATCTCGCCGCGGGTGATGTTGCCCTTACTAATGGCCGCACGGACGACACCGGCGTTGATAAGGGCAAAGTCGGGCTTCTCGCTGTCCGAACCCTCTGTCTGGTTGACGCGGTACTCCAGCATGGCATCGGCCATGACCTGCCCCAGCAGACAGTCCTCATCCTGACAGGTCTCCTGCACGAGGTCGGTATCTGTAGTTCCAACTACCTCGGCGGCAAATTCTTCGAATGGGCCACGCCAAGACTCAATCTTCTCCTGTAGCTCCTCATCCTGCTCTGTCGTATTCGTCATGTGGATGGGGGCACCATGGTAGGCCGTGATCTTTCCGTCCGTGTCGTAGAGCACGTTGATGGACCCAAGGTACTCACCCCAGCGGTACGACGTGACGATGAAGACCTCGTCGCCGTTCTTGTCCTCGACAATGGTAGGGTATTTTCCCTCAGCATCTTCCATGTCGCCCAAAAGTGTGTGCGAGTGGCCACCGATGATGAGGGAGAGACCTTCGGTCTTCTTGGCAAGCTCCTGGTCAACATCGTAGCCGATGTGAGTCAGGGCGACAATGTACTTGACGTCGGGATATTTCTCACGAATCTCATCAATCGACTTCTGGACCTCCTCGATGGGGTCGAGAAACTTGGTCTCCTTACCGACGCTGGAGATTGTTGGTGTGTCGTCGGTGGTGGCGCCGATGACGGCAAGGTTCTTGTCCTCGAAGATGTGGTAGTTCTTGATGTTGTTCTTCAAGAGTGGGTACTCGCTCTTGACGTTGCACGAAACAATGGGGAAGGTCAGGTTCTCAATGTAGCGACCGAGCTCCTCATCGCCACCATCCCATTCATGGTTGCCCAGCGTGCCAATGTCGAAACCCAGGTCGTTGACTGTCTCGGCAATCTTCTCCGGGCCATAGTAGGAGTAGAAGAGGGTACCCTGAAATTCGTCTCCATCATTGAGCCACAGGTGATCGGGATGCGCCTGCTTGAGCTCGTTGACCTTGGTCTTGATACGAGCGTAGCCACCGTAGCAGCCCTCTTCAGGCTCCTCACAGTCAGTCCCCGAGTCGTTGAACTCGTCAAGATGGGCGTGGACATCATTGATATGGAAGAATGCTGTAGGGTTAAAGTCAGAGAAGAGGATGGGAATGTGGAAGAAGATGGGGAAGACGCAATGAGACAGACAAGGAGAGGCATGGCCAAGACTTACAAACGTTCCAATTGCCTTGCTCGTCAATGAATCGGCGATTCAAATGGCTGGCGCGACGGCTGTATAACACATCATCGGCCGCGGCAAAGCTGGCGAAAGCACCAAGACTCGCGACGAGCGAAATAATTGTCGGCTTCATCCTGAATTACCTACGTGAGCACTCGTTCGAGGAGGACGACGGAGGTCAATTGAGATGAACAATATAGGTTCGGGCGGGGGGGCGTCGTTTATCAATGGAGTTGCCTAGAATAGCAAAGTACGACAACGACATATTGATGAGCCTTCAAAAGAAGCGCAGGGGGTCGTAGATACACGTGGGGAAAGCTATTGGTTTATCTCTGGCGCACTGAGACTTGCGACGACTATTGGATGTGCCAAGTCCCTGCTGGTTCCTGGGCGGAGAATCAGAGACAAAAGGCCCGCAGTTCTGGGCGTGGACCTCTTTGGGGTTTTCTTGTGGAGGGGAGGGATGTTCCATCAGCAACGTTGGCTGGCAAGACTCAATGAGAGAACAGACGTAAACTCTCCGGCCCTCTCCACGTGGACATATAATGATGATGCCCCAGAGGCGTCATACGTGAGAAGGGTAGAACGTGATGATGATGGTGAGGAGCACCATGGGAGAAGGCAAAAAAAAATAAATAAAAAAATCTTACTCAGTACGTGCGTCACTTTGAATGGGAAGGAGCCACCTGATAAAAGGGCGCCAAGGCATATGCCTATTCTGGTCAAGAAGCCACTAATTTGTAGGGAAGGCGCACCCGATGTTCTGTACATACCCGACTACGACTAGTAATCAGGTTGTAGCAGAGGTAACTCTTTATCGAGAGTCGTGATCTGTAATAGTATGATACTGAAAGAAATATCTTGTTGCTATATCACCTGAGCATGTTCTTAAAAAATGCTTATCTGCTAGTCGTACGCATCTATGGGGCCGCGCATATCAATAATGAAAATGTACAAGATTACGTCGGCTTTTGTTAAGCTCATATGGATACTGACAAGCTTAAGCAGGCTTTCTCCGTTGTGGTGGGTCCCCAGGAATAAGGGAACGCGACTAGATTCTGGTGGAATCAGTGATAAGAGTCCTCGTTATGAACGCTGAAGAGAGATCGGATTCATGCTGATTGGCGGAACTGATGATAATGATAAGGGTATGAGGACCCGGTGTCGTCTGTGCCAGTCGCTTATCCGTCCTTCTACGAGTTTTGCTTCCTTCTAGCGACAACACACCATGACCCGTAGACATGAATACAGTGGTCTCTGCCTACTGGTACGTCCTGCGTCGATGAGTGTGTGTCTTGGTGCTTGCTTGCTTGACTGAAAGGAAAGGAAATCCATCTATAATGTTATCTACAGATGTGAGCGTGGCAGTAGCCTCTGGCTGCTTAGTCATATACAATCTCGGGTGCCAGAGCAGGATGATCCGGGATGCACTCGCCGCTGGCCTGTTCATCGGAGAACTTCAACTCATGGCATTGGCATGATCGATGCAAATGATATATATAGTAAACAGCCAATCTACTCTCACCCGTATTACCGACTTTGGTGTGCTTGTGTAATTAGCATAAAAAAAAGTGCAAGGTGATTCTCGCGCTCTTCAAAACTGGATGAGCCATGTAATGAGAATTAGAAGCGAACATGAAGATATAGAACTTTGACTAGTACAATCATTCATTGTGTTTCAACTAGTAACAAATATACTACTCAAGTGAATAGAAGCGAGGGAAATACAGGTTAAAAAATTGAAATAATCGTAAGATTCATTCATGCATTCACATGTATGAGATCCCGACGCACTTAGCAGTGACACAGTCTAGACAACCATACACAGATCCATGCTTCGCATCCAAACCATCACCAATCAATATGCATTTACCCGATTAGTAACTCGACCGCCTCCTCCGTGACCCCTCCTTCTTCCCCATATCATCTACAGGGCCATTTATAGCGCGGTTGACAATCCACGCGCCAGCCAGGTCACCAACTTTATGTCTGATCCTATGCTTGTCATCCGGCCTCTCGGTGACAGCATCTGTGAAGGCGGCGCCCAGGGCAGCCGTGGCCACGCGGGCTCCCTTTTCACCGTTCCACTTTCCGGGACGACCATGGACCCTCACAGCTTCGATAGCGGCGGATTGCAGGGCCGTTTTGGCAGCGTGGTTGATCTTTTCATCCGGGCGCGTGTCCTTGACGGCGCGGGTGTGGTGACGGGGTCGGTGGTGATGGTGGTGGTGGTGGTCATCGTCGTCGTCGTCAACGTGGTGGCGGTGGCTAAGGTGATGGCCATGGTGGTGATATGTGCTGCGATGTCGGTAGGGAGAGGGATCTCTTTCGTAATATCGGTGTGATGACGAGTGGTTGTGTGGGTGAGGGTTGTGATGATGGTGGTGATGGCGGGGACTATCGTGTCGTACTATTCGCCTCCTGCTGTACGTGTGAGATGATGTATGAAAACTGCGAATGAGTATGTATTTGTAACTTACTCGGGAAGCCTGTAGTCGTAATCATAGTCAACGTATGGACGGCCTCTACCGTGAGGACCCATGGTGGATATACTCTTCACGTCGGTAAGGAAGGATTGAACCGCGAACAAAAGGTTGGATGGAAAAAGGAGAGAGATAAAGAACCACGGACAGACGTCCGGTCTTATAGAAGGACATCCCACTTCCTTGAGAAAACCCGTTCTCCCAGCCTCGATATGCAAGTCGTCATCACTGACTTGTTAGAGAATGTCTCTCTCCTCTCATCAGGTTTGCCACACCCGTTGCCACGACACCAAAATGTAAACAGGATGTGATGCATAAGGCGTGTATAAGCCGCAATATGAAAAAAAAAACATGTTTATCTTCCCCTTCTATGCGCCCGTCATCGTCCCCGTTCTGTGCCATGATTACAGACGGACATCATAGAGCAACCTTTTACGTTGCGACGAGATGGGCTCCACCGAGTGACATCATGAGGCAGCTGATTGACATGTGCGACGGGATCGGGGTGGCGACAGAAGAACCACCACCCATTGTTAGCAGATGATCAGTGATATGCATCGCTGACCTGGAGTGGATTGGGGGAAACAAAGATCAAGATCAATCAGGGTATCGTTGTTGTGTGTCTGTATACGTCTCATAGCGCTACTGCATGTGCATGGCCTCCATCGATCACTTCGCTCATAGAGCCACAATTTGATGATGAGACATTGCGCATGCCTATACGGCCCTCTCCTCAAAGTACTCGCTGGCGGCATCCTTGTCTCCATCCTTGACGCCCACGGTATTCAACGTCCTGATCGTATTCGCTCGGTCGGACTGGTATCCGCTATTGGTAAAGGGTTAGCAAATCGCGTGGATGCAGTGCCGAGAGCGTCAAAGTTAGCACGTACAATATCTCATCTAAGTCGTCGAGGGTGCGCCCCTTGGTCTCGGGGAGAAAGAAAAAGGCCCATATACAGGCAATCATCATCCAGCAAGCAAAGAAGAACCAAGTTCCGTAGCCGAATGACGAAAAGATGTACGGGAGTGCCTTCGTGATGGCAAATTGGACGAGCCTAGGAGGTGTCAGTCTTGAACCCCTGGTGTTATACGACGGACCAGGCTTTGTTACCATTGCACCATGGCAGCATATGTGCCCGTCAGGTTACGCAAAGCACCGGGGAAGATCTCGGCCGACACGATCCACGGAATACCGTTGAGCCCAAACGACCAGCTGTGATCACGTCAATAAAACGGTATCATTTCCGGGGTGGGGAAGGGTATGTGACGTACAAGACGGAGTAAATCATGATCATGGCCGTGGCCGCCTTACCTCCGGCGGCCGTAGACGGAGAGAGGTCGTTACCCGCAGCAATGATGGATGCCGGGTGGCCAATCTTGACGTAAGCTCCTACAAACCACAAGCACAGCGAACAGGCAAGCGAGGAGATGATGGTCGGATTGCGCCGGCCCCACAGGTCGATGAGGGCACCATAGAAGATGATGGAGGCTACGGCCTTGACGAGCCCGTAGATGCCTGTATACAGGGATACGTCGGTGATTCCAAGAGAGCCGAAGAGGGTGGGGGAGTAGTAGTTGATGGCGGCCGCACCGGACAGGTTCTGCAGCGAAAAGGAGACAAAGACAAGGGCCACGCGATTCCGCATTCCCTTTCGAGAGAGCTCGTACAAGGCGCCACGGAAGAAGGCCAGCGTACCGGCACCGTACTTGCTCGAGATATGGGCTTCGTCGTCGAGTCTGCTCCGGATCATGTCGACCTCTTCGACGAGGTCTATAGTATTGTTTCCCCACGATCAGCACATATAGAGTCGAGGCCCGGCGCGGAACGCGGGGAGAGAAGATACGACCTACACCGGTGATCGCTAGGAAGCCTCCTGAGCTCCTCGAGATTTTTCAACGCCTTCTCATCCTTGCCCTTCCGGAACAGCCAGAGAGGGCTCTCGTGGAGAAAGAAGCCCGAGGCAAACAGTGCCCCCGAAGGAATCAGCTGGACAGCCATGGGGATGCGCCACGTAGCCGTGCTGCTCTGGTCCATGTTCTGGTTGATGCCGTAGTTTATCCAGAAGCCGACGAGGGAGCCAGTCTGGTACGACACCTCGAAGAGGCCGGTCAAGATACCGCGGATGGATGTAACGGACAGTTCGGCAATGTAACTCGGGACGGTGGCGGTGATGGCGCCGCAAGCGAGACCGGTGAGGACGCGGCCGACGTCTGTGGCCGTTAATCTTGGGTTTCGAGCGAGGGGAATGGTTACGGACGGGACATACAGATGTAAGAAAGCTGGTGCGTGGCAGCAACCATGACCACGGCGCCAATGATGAAGACGACGTTTGACAGGATGAGAGACCACTTGCGACCGATCTTTTCGGTTACTATCGGACCTCGACATGTTAGCTGATGTTTGTTTTTATTGGGGGAAACGTGCAAGAGAAAGCACCGCACGCAGGAAGCAGAAGATGGCACCGAAAAAGGCACCAGCCTGAAAAGACGCTGTAATGTTGCTCGAGATACTGTTGGCCTGGTCGTCTTTCACATGGAAGTCGTCGACGAAGCTTTGGCGCGCAATGGTTGTACCGACAAAGGCAGAGTCGTAGCCAAATCTATTATATCCGGAGTCAGATACTTCACGGAGGAAGATGAATGTAATCAGTCATCTCACAACAGCGATCCCATGGAGATAATCGTCGCCTCGAAGTACAATCGAAGATTGTACACCTCCTTTGGCGTCGGCCGATCCTCGACGGCGCGAAACGTCATATTGCCCGTAGAATATTATTGTCGTCGGAGAGTAGCCTCGACAAGCCCATGCCGTAGACGCGAATCGAGGCAGAACGGGAAGATGGAGACGGACATGTACATATTTATCACTTGCAACCAAAGTCAGCAAGAAGGGGCTCGGAAAACGACGACTTACGATCATACCATCTACCCCCGCCCAAACATGGGCCGAGAATGCGCGGGGGGGATGGAGAAATCTGGGGAACTCCACCGAAGTCAAAGCGCCAGCGAGCCCGAAGTACGGGGAGGCATAATGGCGCCCTTGGCCCCAGTCGAGGTTCCCTGCTTCTTCGGGGAACCGTTACATGTAGTTTGGCGTGAAGGATTGGAGCCGACTAGCGAGCCGATGCGACGAGCGTTGAAGACAGGCGATTGGCCATGGGACCCACGCGAATACCAGCCAATACACGATTATCCGTGCTATGTCTAGTACAGCATGCCGAAGAGGGAGTTGAGGCTTTGCATGACCGATGGAATCGGGAGTTCTACGCTCGGGAACTATCATGGGGGATTACGGGGGAGCGAAGGTACTGTTCGTTGGTGGAAAGTGCTTACAGCAAGGGCACGGCGCCGGTTTCTGGTCTTCATAGCTGTCCCCATCTTCTTGTTCGACTTCCGCCCTCGGCCCATGTAAGTGGAGACAGCGCCATCTCCCAATGCTCTCTTGGGATCCGACACTTGATGTGACATAGCCCTCCGAGAGAATAGATAGTCCCAAGTCAGCTAAGCAAGACTTTACCACGGCCTGACAAAGAAAACCGCCCGTTTACTTGGTGCCGCTCCCTTGGATCTGCCACGCGCATACGACCACATGCGCATGCCACTGCAATGGGACGTGCTACACTGCTACCAGCATTACTGGTTAGCATCTTATGCACAAACCTTCATGGTTGATGTGTACACAGTCTATCATGCATATCCCATTAACCGTATCTACAGTGCCCGCTTGACAATTCCCTTCTCCGATGTCGCAAGCGGCTGCACGACATCAAGAATCCACTTCTGCTTCTCTGCATCGGCGTACCTGGGATACGGCCTCCTGCAGTGGCAGCTCTCCTCAGGGTATCCCAGAATCTTAGCAACAACCCACTTGGTTCCGTTGATTCCACCCTTTCCGAACCCCCACTCCATCTTTGCCAGCTCGAGCTGCGCGGCCTCGGCCTCGGTCGTTTTACCAGCGTTGTAAAGGTCAAAGATCTGCATGCAAGCCTTCGGATACAGATTCGCCACACCGGTGATGACGCCCTGGCCACCGACAGACAGCGCAGGCACAAGCCAGTCGCTCTGGCCGGCGAGGGCGACAAAGTCCTTGGGGTCGAATTGCGCGCGCACACGGGCCACCTTCGCGATACCGCCGCACGTCAGCTTGACGCCCACAATGTTGGCGTGCTTACCCAGACGTTCCAGCATCTCTGAGTTGACGTCCAGACCTGACGCCACACCGGGGAAGTTGTAGATGACGACGGGGATGGGTGAGGCATCGGCTAATTCCTCGAAGAAAGCGACAATGGCGTCCGTGCTCATGGCGAAGTGGAAGTAGCTCGGCACCAGGACGAGGGCGTAGTCGGCCCCGGCAGCCTTGGCCTGCTTCGTCTCGGCAATCACGTCACGCGTGCACCCTCCTCCGCAACCCATGGTGATGGGGAGGTTGGCCCGACCGGCCTTGATGGCTACTTCGCGCGTGAGGCGGAGCAGCTTTGTCTTCTCGTCGGTCGACAGCGTTACAGCCTCGCCGTTTGTACCCGCGATGACGACTGTGTTAAGACGTCTGGTCAGAGTTTGAACGGGAGAAAAAGATGAAGTGGTAAGAAGATATTAGCCTACCTCCGTCAAGCCCCGATTCAACCATGAATTCGAGATGCTTCTTCTGCGTATCCCAGTCAATTTCCTGCGTCGCATCGCTGGAAAACCACGTCAGGGACGGGACGTGGATACCAGGCGGGAACGCCGCTGCCTTGGCATTTGCCGCGGGACTCATCTTGTACAGTATGTTGTAAAGAACGGTTCAGGGTGCTATCGAGAAACGATGATCAAAGACGGAATAACAGAAGGTGTATGCATCAGAGAAGGTTTATGGAGAGAGAAAGGAAGCAGGTAAGATGGTGTGTTATGTTTCCCCTTTTGTTCCCGGTATTCAATTGACCCCTCCTCTGGACCCTCCTCCTCATAGCCTCTTCTATTTCCCATCCCCCTCATCACGCAGTCGAAGAGTGTGGTGTGGGGAAATTTGGAGTCGACAGGTGCCAGGGACCAATCTTGGTGAGATCCGATCGGTAAAGCGGGATTCATGTGGAGACGGCGAAACGACGGGATGCTCGACCCGATCACCGGCATCGCGTGATTGTGATCCTGCTGTCCATGTCTTCCGCACGATAGTAACGCGGTCCAATGCTGTCGCTTTTGGGAGAGACAAGTCGATTGGTCACCACCAAAGGAACATGCACATAGAACAGAGAAGCCCGCGTGAACAGAGTATATACATGCGTGCATGTGAATAGTCACGGCATAGTAAGCCTGCATACTCATAAAATGGCGAAACTAGAATTGAACACAGCCATCATGACAGACCGAATGTCCATCCGCGCCTTGGCAGCATCCTGACGAGCCTGGACCTCCTCGAGGACCTGCGCCGTGATCCTTGCGTTTCCTGCAACGCGCTCCATCCTCAATATCTGGGCCTTGATCCACTCCTTTTCTGCCTGGTCCTGCTCCTCTACACCGAGCATGAGCAACGGCCAGAGCATATTGACGGGTGGCGAGTCATCCGGCCGCAGGTCATCGATCATCTGGCGCGTCAGCCTGCGAATGTTGGCCAGGGCGTCGATGGCTTCATTGGTGAGCGGGAGTGTCTTGTAGGCTACCCTGTGCAGGTGTACTTTGCTGGCGTAGTAGTTGGCCAGGTAGGTCCTGAATGCGCGGGTGATGATGAAGGCCAGGTTGGCCGAGATATGCGGTTCCACGAGCTTTCCGGCTACGGCATAGTCCATCAGAGGGGGGCGCTGGTCGTACAAGGTACGCAGGTCGGCGGCAATGGAGGAGCCAATGTTCATGACTTCGATCTCGTCCTCGACGGTGCCGCGTGACCGGTGCCACGGATCAATCTTGGAGATGCGGCCCATGAAGCTCTGCACCTTTTGGTAGAAGACGACGCCGGGCTGGTACAGTACTTGGAAGAGCACGTCCTCGATATCGCCGCCGTCTGCTGACTCATTCTTGTGCCCGTCTTCGACGCTGGTGCTGACTTCGCCACCCTCGAGACTGGTCGGTGACGCCTCGACCAGAACGAGCTCGTCGTCCTCCGACAGGAAGAGACCCTCGCCGCCGGCCGACACGGCCTTTCCATCCAGCAGGCGTATCCACATAAGAAACTGCTTTTCCACGGGCGAGAAGCTCTTCTTATCTCCATTTTGGAATATGTTGTATGCCCGCTCAAACTGCGAGTGGCCTGCGCCTAGCCGCGTTTCCAACATGTCCACGTAGCTAAGAAAGAAGAGGGCCGCGAGCAGCGACTCGCGCTCGGAGCTGTGCCGCACCAGTGGCACAGCGTCGTACGTGGCTACCTCTGCAAGCGCGTCGTCATGGTGGTTCCGATCACTCACGACCATAGCTCCCTTTCGTCGCGAGATGAGGACAGCCGAGAAGGCGAGGATAGCGCTACGCACAAGGGGCGACTGGCGGGCCATGTCTACCACCAATCGGCGCATCGAGAACCACTTCTTCTGCGTCTCGACTTGCTCGAGAATGGGAGGGTTGGGCGATGTGGCGAAGAAGTCGAACAGATCTTGACTCGAGAAATTGGTGACGGGCATCCCAGGGGAGTCGTCAGTCGCGGCTGTCGACGCTGTTGTCCCGTTACGCGGCAAGATTGCCTCAGGAGGGCTGGATGGCTGCCGAGGCACGGCCCGGCTAGGAAATCCCATCTGGGGATCGGTACTCTAGAGTTGACATGGGGGTCAGACGAGAGAGTTTGGGTGATCGTGCACAGGTGATATTTACCAGTATACTCGTACTCAATCCGACATCTGCCCTCATCTCCGGGCTGACTTGACGCCAAAAGTCGCCCCCATCCCACATGAAGCTGGCGTAGTCAAACACCTCGTCGACGGCATGCAGGGGGTGCTGTGTGCCCGAGGCGGCAGGCGAGATGTCCGTGACGGGCGACTGAGTCTGATTGTGGGGAGCCTGCGAAGACGACGAGGATGGCGGTGGTGGTCTCGTCGTTTCGACGACCTGAGCTGATGAAGACGATGTCCGTCTGGGTGTTGCGGCAGATCGCAACTGCAGACGCCACTTGCACTCCATGTTCAGACGCTCACAGTGGGAGCACCGTGGTCTCTGCTCGTCGCACTTGACCTTGCGGCGCCTGGAAGCAGCCAGCCCAAGTCAGTGACTCGACGGACACCGTGAGGTTGTCTACATGATTGTGAGACGTTGACACATACTTACAGGTCAGACAGCCCTCTCGAGAGCGGGCATAACGGCGCCCAGAACTGGTGGCGGGGCGGGTGTCACTCGGATCGTCCATGTTGGACGTGGTGGTTAGCTTGGCAGGTTGTCCTTTGGGAGATGGATGGAAGACATGTCATCGGGAAAATAGTTCTCAAGATGTCAAGTCTAATGGCTGGCGGGGTTGTGCATACGAGTTGAAGCCAATTATTGGATCGTTCTTTGCGGAGGTGGAGGCTTGCGGGGGGGGTTCCTGTCATGAAGTGAGACGTCAGGGTGGATAATGTACCGGTACCTCCCCCATTCCTCCCTCCATATAGGAATAGCTGCGGGTCAAGGATTCCATGCATAATATCACCTGTACTTCGTAAGGAATCGCTCCAAGTTATCATGCTTGTGTACTGTCGTTCTACTCGGACAGGTATGCTAGCTAAACGGGCTTCGTTTGTCCGCCATTGCATCCGTGTAAGAGGATCTTATTCACTTATTGGCATGGGGTGAGGACCGTGACATTTCGAGACCTCAGTTGACCTTTTCTTATTTCCCCAACTTTAGCTACGCAATCTGTATATAAGCTTCATGACAATATGGAATCAAAGGCTCAACACCATGACTCATTCACAACTAGGATGTCAATATATAACCTTCTCTGTCACTCCACGCTTCTACATACGACCATAGCCAGTGGAGAATACGGGGTCCCGTCCGCTCCCCCAGAGTCAAGCCGCTGAGCGGTGGATTAGTAGTTGGGTCGGTGACGACCAGCGAATACCCGCTGTTGTATGTTTTTTTTTTTTCCAGTGCTTTTTGTTTTCCCCTACGTTAGGATAGCATGCAATATAAATTGAATCGTCACCACCTGTCATCACATACGACGATTGCCAGTGGAGGATACGGGGTCCCGTCCGCTCCCCTAGAGTCAAGCCGTTGAACGGTGTGTTGCTCGCAGGGGCATGGTCTAACCTTCCATTTTGGTTTTCTCTAAAGGTACCCCTAGACAGTTTCCACCTCCGTTCTTTTCATGTTTAGCGACCTTTCCTCGGAAGCGCTGAAAGCCATCTACGCACATGTACGTGTATGCTACACGTCTTTTTTTTAAAGCCAAGTATAAAACGACAAGGTCCTTGTAATTTCCTCTAGACTGAACGTACTTCTCATGTCGTTCTTTCAGCATGGAGAACTTCGGTCTCCTAGGGGAGGCGGCATTGGAAAGCCTCGCTTTCTAGATGGATACGAGTGACGATACATCAAGAACGCTCTCGGAAAAGACACGCGTCATGCATAACCTTGCCTAGGATGCTTGGAAAAGGTACTGTGAGCTCCTTTCATCGCTTATGCATTCACCTACATTCCTAGTTACTTCACTGAGATCATTGAATACGACCCCGACCAGATCTGGATTGATTTCTGTTCCCTAGATCGAAAGGTGACTAAGAGGCCTATTGGCCTCTCTCTCGTCTTTCTTGAAGCGTGCATTGATCGGTCTAAAGCCTAGCGTCCATGACCAGGGCTAGAAGAATACTTAGAGGTTCAGACCATCACTTCCGCCAATACCGTTCTCGGTATTTGGAAAGCACTAATTGACGAGCCGACGACACGGTCCTGAAGAAGAAGAGATATGAGGACCCTCAGAACAGAGGTTCTTGGACAATCCTCTACGAGAACCGGACGTCGGGGAGGGGCAAAGGGCCCATCTATGAAGTCGCTATAGTACGTATGCACCGTTTCAATTGACTGGCTCCGCTAATCTAGTCCTAGACTATTTAATGTGAAATGGTAGAGAGAAAAGGCCTTACTCTTCGATAACGCAACTTAGCAAGCGGCACTAACCCCCGGAGGACCCGATACTCTAACATAGCCAAGGTTGCCGAAACAATTCGGCAGTCATTTAGATTGGAGAAAGAAGAAGACAAGAAGACCATCCCCTTGCACAAGACCATTGTTGAATACCTTGGTGGCCGGCAACTGGATGATAGTATGAAACCCAGGTGTATGCTGTGCAATCAGCTCTTTTTCAACCGTGCAGGTTTGACGAGGCATGTGAAGGATAAGCATTCGCGTGAAACACCATTCCCATGCCCGGAATGCTTATTAGAGGTAAAAGACAATGCTATCTCGCCGGGGGGGTCCCTGCTGGGGCTGCACCGTGCTCCTCTACCCCGCCGTGTTTAGAGTGGTTTAATGACGACAGCCACGGGTTGAATTCATGTATCGACACCTTCCAAATATATCATTCCACCGAGAACGGGAAATCAATGTCTTTGTGCCTTATTCGAATAGCAATATGGTACGATGGTGCCTCTTTATATGCCTGCCACTTACAGCGCGTAACGATAGTCGGGGTGGAAATCCCCCGTCTTTCCCGCATCAATCTCAGCTTGCCTCTCTTCTTGAGACATATGATCCCTCTTGATATTCTGGCGACGTAGGTACATGTAAAGCGAAGCATGTCCGGCAATGGCCAAGATAACGGCAGCCAATGAGCTGCTCAGACCCATGACATACTTGCCATTTTGGGTGGTTCGGAAGATTTGACCAACCTAGTGAGTTTTCCCACTGTTAACCACATGGTACAGCAACAACTCTATGTCCCTTCAAGAAGGTGGTATCGAGACTTACCACTATGCCGGCGCAGTTTCCGATAGATTGGTTCATTCCGATGGCCATGGCACGCTTGTAATACGGGGCATGACTGTTGAGGAGCCAGGCACAGTTGAGGCCCACAATCACATAGACGCCCGGTGCGATGAGGAAGGTAGAGAAGTATAGAGGACCTCTCTTGTCGGCTGCGACCCCTAGGTTGACAGCGTACCCGACGGCCGTGATGAGGCAGGCGGGCATCATGAAGAAGGCCCTGCGGCGCCACCTGTCGCTCATCCAGCTGACGACGATGTAGGCGCAGCTGGCCCAGAAGAAGACCGGGACGGTGAGAAGCTGCGTGGTGACGGTATCGTATCCAAAAGACTTGATGATCAGGGGCAAGAATGACGACAAGCCAAACGAGCAGATGTCGGCCATGAACTGAGACCAACAGCTAATGTACAGTTTCGGATCGAGCGCCGCGTTCTTCACCTCGGCCCAATCAAAGTCGGGTTTGCCGTTGTATCGCGCATTGAGCTGGGCGCGCACCCGCATGAGATTCTTCTCCTCCGCGTTGAGGAAGCGCGCCGTTTCGAAATTGTCGGGGAGGAAGAAGAAGACAAAGACGGAGACGGCCACGCTGGCACACCCCTCAATGATGAACAGCCACCGCCACCCAGCCATCCCTGCCACGCCATCCATCTTGAGCAGCGCGTACGCGAACAGTCCGCCAAATGAGCCGCTCAGTGCAGACGACACAAACAGGTACGACACGCGCAGCGCTTGCTCCCCGGGCTTGTAGAATGTGCTCAGGTATAGCGCTAGGCAGGGGAACATCCCGCTCTCAAAGAGACCCAGGAGAAGCCGCGACGCATAGAGCTGGCCCCTGGTATGCATGAAGCCTGTGCCGATGAGCACGATCGACCAGCCGAACATGAGGAGCGGTATCATGCGGCTGGGGTGGAACTTTTTGAGGACAAGCGAGCACGGTACCTCGAACGCCACATACGTCACGTAGAAGAGGGTCACGGCGTCTGCACGCTGATGTCAGTCTGTGTACAGCAGGTCGTTACGTCCAAAAAGAGACAGAACTCACTTCCCAGGTCACCGCTAGACATCCCGAGCTGCTCTGTCATCCCGGCCGAAGCAGCATTTCCAATGTTTGAGCGGTCAAGGTATGCCGTGAGGAAGATGAGGGTCATGACGGGTGCAATCCATATGTCCAGTTTGCGGACGAGTCTCTTCTCGCTCTGCTGGTCGATGATGAGATGCCCGTCATGGGCTGAGATATCGTCGCTGGCACGGGGGGTGGCGCCCCCATCTGCCATTACCTTTTCCGACTTGTCCATTGCTGCGGCCTTGCCGTGTATGTGCATGCGCTTAGGCCACCATATTAGCTAGACGGAGGGGAGGGGGAGGGAAGGCCGCCTTATAGATGAATTGTCCTGGAACGGACGATAATCTGCAGACAAATGCATTATGATAATCCCTGGTTCACGGGAAACATTTCCGATCAGTATTATCCAGCCGATATCAATGCGGAGCCGACATGACAGGCCGAGCGGCGCTGGAGCGGCGACGCTAAGATAACATGCTTGTCATTGAGCTCGACAAGTCCCCGCAATCTTGATATCGATGCACAATGTACCCGCGATAACGCTCGCACGAGAACTCGGTAGGCAGCACGAGCAAGTTGGGAGAGACATTGTTCACGACTCTTTGATATATATAAGCAGGGTTAGATAGAGAGCGCTTGTCCTGTACCATAGTCAGAGCTGACCGGAGGACCTGTAGTGTCCAAGTTCAATGCAATTTCAAGCGTAAACGTGAAGTCGCGTCGTTTGCCCGCTAGTGGGCCGGAGATGGCTGCATTGTTAGCGTCGCCGCTCTTTCGCCGCTACCTCGCCGACGCTAACGCACGGGTCTCCATGTAAGAGAAGATAGTGACAATGGACGATCAAGGAGCGTTCGAAGATGAGGGGAGAAATAAATCCTCGTTCGTTTCCAGACTCGTGCTTCCTCCCCAAATAAACGGAATAAACGGTATCTTTCTCAGTATCATCACTATCATGGGTTCCATACCAGCTGTACGTCCCTGTATGCCCGATGCTCGAAGCTCCGACAGCTAACAATGCTAGACTTGGGACCGGTTTGTCCTATTCGAATCCGCCGATGGAAAAGAGCTGTGCGGTGAGCCGGTTGACAAGGATGTCGATGGTACGCCGCAATTGTCGAGCTCCCTCTATACCGAATAGCATGGCTGACCATTGTCACCAGTTGGCGAGGCCGTGGCTGCCGGAGAGACAGTCATGGTCAACGTGCTAGACGTTTCATCTGCCCTTTCTGAGGGCGGCAGGCCAACAGGGGAGACTGCGTCGATCCACAAGGTAATACGGCATCCCCAATCTGCACTGCCCATCTCTACCATGTGTACTGAGAATCCTAAAACAGCTTCTCTCCCCCATTCGACCCTCCGAAGTCGGAACTGTCAGGTGCGTCGGCCTCAACTTCAAAGACCACGCCGCCGAACTGCAGTGCCCCCTCCCTGATATCCCAGAAGTCTTCTTCAAGCCGTCCAACACGATAACGAACCCTTCATCACCCATAATCCTCCCGTCGTGCGCTCCCTCCGCCGTAGACGCAGAGGTAGAGCTGGCGGTTATCATAGGCCGAGACTGTCGCAACGTGTCCGTGGCCGAGGCACCGGCGTATATCCTTGGATACACGGCTGCCAACGACGTGACGGCTCGAGATGTGCAGAAGCAGACATCGCAGTGGGGGTTCAGCAAGAGCTTTGACGGGTTCTGCCCTCTGGGTCCATGCATCGTTAGAGCTAGTGCCATGTGCAGTGCCGTGAGCGGCGTGGGGCTGAAATCGGTACTCGATGGCGAGGTGCTGCAGGACGGGTCGACCGATGAGTTCATCTTCTCAGTTGGCGAGATTGTGGCGCATCTGTCAAGGGATACAACACTGCCGAGGGGGACTGTGATTCTCACAGGTACGCCGTCGGGAATCGGTCACAGCAAGAAGCCGCCTAGGTATCTCAAGCCTGGATGCGATCTGTCTGTCTCCATCACGCCGAGTATTGGTACACTGAGAAACAAGGTTGTTTCCAGTTCCAAAGTATAGGGCATGATAATGATAATACCACATCACTTCCCGTACCAAGTAATCTTTATTTTGTGTCTAGCGTCCCCACGAGGTCCTCCCAGAACTGATAGTCGAGAGGTTCGGGGAAATTGCGCGTCGGTCCGAACCAGCTGTCCAGCCAGTTTTCGCATGGACCCAGCTCTTCCGTCGATACAGCCGGCTCCATGTCGTTGAAGACACTGTCTTGGTCCTGCCAGGGAGGTTGCATTCTCGTGTCCGTCAGGTCATCCCCTGCAATGACGGCGCTCCCATCGCCGGCGCCTGTATCGGATGCTGCAGACCTTCTGGCAGTAGCGATGCAGAGCTCAATCACTTTCACCTCGGCCATGACGAACTCATTGACCCAGGGATCAGCACGTTGCTTCTCGCAGTACGCACCAAGATCCTCAAGAATGGCACCGGTACGAGCGCTGTGGGGTTCCTTGACAGCGATGATGCCCAGGACCAGAGCACTGTTGAAGAGGTTGTGCATGGCAATCCCCGCCTTTAAACGATCCGCCATGGTTAGGTTGCGCAGAGAGAGCTTGAGGCGCAGGTCTGCACACGCTGACGAGATGCAGGCGTCGCGACTATATTGGAAGCGGTCGGTGATAGACTCTAAAAGGACATAGGTGCGATGCAGGGTGACGCGGGAAAAATGATAGGCTGAGTGGAGGTACATTCTTTGCCAGTAGATAAAGGGTCTCTGAGCGTCGATGGAGGTATCCGGTCTCTCGAGACGGAAGTAAGAAGGGAGTGAATCCGCCCAATCGAGGAGGGCATGATCGAGCTGCAGTACCTTTTCGTACGTGTGATATGACGTAGTCATGGGTACTATGGCAAAGCACTCGTCGTGTATGTTTCCGAGGATGGCTGAAAGACCCTGCTGGTAGCGAAAGTATATGGTGGGTGTCGGGTCATTGATGGGTTGCTCGGCCGCACGGGAGGCTTCATCGGTCGTCATATCGTCGATCCATATGTTCCGGATAGCCATTGCCATGCAGTGCTTGTCGTTTGTCGTGTAGGGGCGTCCGATGGCCAGCGACACGGACCTGTCCATGGCGTAGAGGGTGCACCATAGACGGCGACGGGTCTCGAGCACCTTTGGTGGCAGCCCCCAGCTCACACCATCAATATGCATTCCCTGCGCCTGGGCCATGCGTATGGCAAAACTTGACGTCAGCCAGCTCTCCGTCTTGCGCCCAAAATACATGAGGTAGCGGCTGACGAGGATTCCTGCGCGCACGAGATCGGGGCTCTCGCCTGACAGCGTGGGCGCCAGGACAATGGCTTTGCGTGAGGCCCAGAAGAACTGGACCGAAGCCTCCTCACAGCTCCTCTGGGCATCCGGAGATGCGTCGAGTGGGCAGTCAAGCAGTTCGGCGAAGGCGAGTATCATGAACAGCAGGGCCAGCCACCGCAGATCCACAGCCGTCAGGTCGTCGTCCCCCCACTTGCGGTCCCAAAAGGCGTCGTAATTGACCTGGAACGTCTCCCCGTGCACGCTGTCGAAGATGGGGTTGAGCTCTCGTAGGAACTGTCGCACCATATGATCGACAATGGCCCTACGGCGAGGCAGATACCCAACCAATTCCCAGATGTGAGCGTAGGGACCTTTTTCGTCACGGTGGAAACGCGGGTTAGGGATTCGCCGCCGAGAGGTATTCCTGCTGGCGACGTTGTGTATACCGCTCATCCCCACCGGTAGCTCAGGACTCTCGACTTGCATCATGGACGCCGCAGACTGGTGGCCGAAGTATGATGAGCCATGGTAGGAGGGGGCGCCCCGCGAGTTGAGCAGCTGGCCTACTCGGGACGAAGGCTGCAGAGCCTCCGAGCGTCGTCGGGGGCGAAGCGGTTCAGCCCGCGGCGCGAAGTCTTCATTCTGCGAGATATTGTGAGTCGCAGTGGCCGGGCTATCGGATATTGCGGATGCGTGGACCGGGGGGGGCCGAGCTGGTTTCCATGATGATGAAGAGGCGGCGGGTAGATGGCACCGATGGGGTATCTGACGGCGAATACAGGTTGAGCAGGGCGACTTCCTATCACACTGCGATGGGTGTATAGAGATGCGTGTTAATAGACGTAAGGATCAGGAAACAGAAAGAAGATCAGGTATGAGCGTGACCGCACCTTGCGTTTGAGCCGTTGGCATTGCGTACACACGTTAGCTCTTGAATTACGCGGCCGAGGGCTCAGAGGCGGGGACGACGATGGGCGTGCTGGTGCCTCCATATCTCCTATCCGCTTCTCTCCCCTACATACATGTATTTATGCATGTCTCCCTCGTAATATAACTTGCAGGGGAAATCCGGGGGTGGCCTATGTTGATGGAGGTGAGATGAGAATCTGGCCAGCGGTGATGATGCAGTGGGGCCAAGATAACAAAAGTGCATCTGGGAAATCACTGCTGGGGTCTCCTTCCTCATGAGGGGCCACCGTCACGGTTAGAGGGAAAGAGGCTGTGAGGAAGGGCGAGGGCTTCACAGCCTAGAGTTCTTACCACCCGTCTCTCAAGGGAGATGATCAGGTTCCTTACCTTCAGTTTTTCAGCTTTATCTGCTGCCCATGCTGTGCCTGTTTGTGAGGCGTCTTGTTCCTTGGTCTTGCTTCGCGCCGTGAGAGCCAATACGCGACAACCACCCTACACCTAGCCGCGTACGCTTCTAGTGGGCGACAACACACGACAGCCCATAGACGTAAATACAGTGGTCTCTACCTACCAGTACATCTTAGGTAGATCTATATTATCAGTATATACCTAATCACTTATTTAATCCAAAAGGGTAGGATGTTAATCTATAATGCTATTTGAATTTATACGTGTAGTAGCAGCTCTTGGCTATTCAGTCATACAATCTGGGTGCCACACGCGGACTTGGCTGCACGCTCTCTCGCATTATAGAATAGAGTCTATTGCCTGTTTCGAGTAAGACGTGTTACTGTTTACTTTTATGCATTAATTGTATTCACCCACAGCTCTTATATGGAGTCGAACCCTCGCTTTTGCTCCGAAAATCCATAATCATACGTTGAGAAAGAAAAGAAGGAGCATATTACCCCACACATTAGATGTGTTTCGCCGCGCAAGCTGAAAACACTCATGGTTTTGTACCGTATAGTCATACATACATATAATGCCAACTCATTATCATATGTGTTATGTGACATGTCATCTAGGCTAGACACCTTGTCCTGGTTGTAACGATAATCGGTTCGTACCAAAAAGAAATAAGACAAACATAGACAGGTAACAAATGACAAAGCGTACCGATATATGTAAATACAGTAGCTCCAGAAAACCTTGTCGAGAAAACGAGAAACTGAGCAGGGCTATCACAGAAGGGCACCAGAAAGAGGTCAACTGCTCGTGGAAATCTCCAGCGCCTCCACATGCGGCCGTGCGGGCCCATCCGACGAGAGCTCCGCCGGCCCGTGCTGCTGCTCCCTCTCCCTCTGAAGTTGCATCTGGTGCTGCTGGATATAGTCTGGAGATAGCGTGCCTTCCAAATTCCCCGTCATGACCGAGGGCACGTAGTACGTGTCCTGATCAGGGCTGGGGAACGACACGGCGGTGCCTGTGCCGGATGGGTACTTCGTCCCGCTATTTTCCTCGCCGTTGCCGTTGCTGTAGTATCCCGACGAATGTCCGATGAAGGTGGGTGAAGGGGACAGAGGATCGTAGGTATACCCGGTCCCTTCGCCCATCTGGTAGGGCGCCGGGTGGCCCTGCCCCCATGGGGGCTTGTCCGCGGCGCTGCTGCCGTCGTCGCCACCGCGGGCCAATCTGCGCCTCCTGAACCGTCGGAGGATGTACCACGATATCAAGGCCACGAGACCGGCACCGGCGACAGCGCATCCCACCGCTACACCAATCACGCCATTGGTGCCCAGGGAACCGGAGTCACTGTCCGTGGTGGCCGCCGTGCTTGTCGCCGTCGTACTCGTGCCTGTTGCCGTGGATGTGGCCGTGGATGTAGCCGTGGATGTGGCCGTAGAGGCCGTAGACGCGGCAGACGAGGCAATAGCCTCAAACTTGGACCGTGATATGTTGATTGGCGTGTCAGAGTTATCGCAAGCGTCCTCCATGACGGCCCAGACGGCCACCACATCACCTGGGTCCTCGGAGGCTAGGCATGTGGCCGTGGAGGTGATGAAGCCCCCGTCGTTGCTGCACAAGCATCTATTGAGGTCGACTACCGTGTCGGTCGGGCAGTCAGCCTTGTCGAAGGCCTTGTCGAGACACGACTGCGACCTAGCCGGGTAAAAGTTGAATCTGTCCGAGGCTGAAGCTGGTGACGGCAGGACTGTAAGGGGTATAGCCAGGAGCGCCGATGCCTGGTAGAGAGCCGACCGCATCGCACCGGGTGTTTGTGCAATAGTGATAGCAGTGGTATGATATGAAGATCAACCGCGCGCAAGGGGAAGAAGAGGATTAGGCGATAGGGTGAGAGATGATGATGATGAAACAGGAACGTCCACGTCTAGCCCATGCAATACCCAGTCATTGAGTCCTTTGTCTGTGCGTGTGTCCCCCCCTTACAACTCTGTACATAGTGAGCTGCTGCGTATTGGCCGTTGGTGGGCGTGGTGCGACGTTCCAGTGTTGTTGTGTGGGGTCAGGCGTAAACCGTCTTAATCCTTCCATGCAATTCAGATCTGTGTTGCGGGAGATATGATGCTGATATATCTTCTTTCACAACCCGTGAACGAGTTTCGTAAATAAAGAATACGCTCCCTGCCTATGCTATCTGAAGAGAGAAGAGAAAGATTAGCAGAGCAGGGATGGACAGGTCCATGAGAATATGAAGGATGGAGAGAGGGGGCGAACAAAGAGAGGGCTGTGCGACCAACGACGACCATTCCGTCCCTGTGGAGAACCTGCACAAGTATGCAAGCCCAGCATCATGAGGTTTAAATGACCAACGAGAGTCCTGACTGGCAAAAAAAGCAACGTCTAATAACATTGGCTACCGGGACAAGGCATTGGCTCTACATAGGACTGGAGCTAACCGACTAACAAGGACCGGGGTTACGCTCATTTTCAGAGAAGCCATTCAGCCTGGACTAGTGCTGAGTTACCACATCTACTACTGAGTTAGCAATATGCGAGGGATAATGATAGAACCAAATGTACAGGCATCGTTTAGCTGAGGAACCTGGCTATCAAGAGTGGCCGGGACGTCGACGTTAATGGGTATTCTTCAACTGCTTGTGACTGCGCGCAGCATAATGTCATAGAGAGACACCAGTTCAGATACATGATTCTCAATGTCTGTTCCCCGGTAGTTTGTGGCGGGCAGGAGTTAATAAGACTCCTGCTGCCACAGGGCCGCATATATCTACAAGCCTCGTCCTCCACATAGCATTGATGTGTACTCAGGAGCCGGGGCTTTAAGGTGATGGTGGATGAGCAAAGGAGGAGAAGAAAAAGGAGAGAACAAGGATAGGAAGGAGAACAATTTCGGATCAAGCAAGGCGAGCGGGGCACTATATACGAATTGGGTTGGCTCATGCTGTTGGTTGTTGGCTGTTGGTTGTTGGTTGTTGGTTGTTGGTTGTTGGTTGTTGGCTCTGTCCACGCCATACGCTATATAGATCTACATTTGAATCGTTACGGGCGCTGGTCGTGCTGCCATCCTGGGAAAAAGATGCTAAGGCTACCAAAAAAAGGCGGACATTGAACAATAGCGTAGGGATTGAGTAGTAGGACCTCGTTGTTTCTACTATACTAGTACGAGTACATAGCTATGGCCGTGTATAATCGAAGCCGATTTATCGTACCATGCGATCAAGGGTTATTGAATAGTAGGATTACGAGCAGTCACGTAGAGAGATGTGGTTCCATATTTTTACACCTGACGGCATACCATGTCGTCGGAGTTATCTAGCGTGCATGCTTGTGGATCTCTCGACAGTGCGCTGTCCTGGCTGCTGCCACTCTTGCACCATTATCGTGAGGCTGGGAATGGAGGACTGTCGGGTACGTGTCATTGGGGCCAGTCCCGGGAGGCCCACCCCAGGGATAGGAGGTATCACAATCGTGGCAAACTCAGCAGGCATCTTTGCGGTCCCCCATGAAGTCGTGACCTCTCTCTTAGCACGGATCTCACCATGTTCTACATTTGCAGATGATGGGCAGAGCTTCGTTGTTGTTGTATTGGCTTACTACCTTTGCAGGCAGTCAACAGTGGTGGATGCTGTTGTGGTGTTGTAGTAACCTGTCGTGTTGTAGCGAAACAGCTGGGCTCGCAACCTGTTGTACATGTAACGATGTCAGATTATCACTATGCGAGAGCAATTAAGCTATGATCTATGTGTGTGTGCATTTGCCACCCACGTGATTTGCCCACAGGTTTGGTGCAGTATGTGTTAGAGCGGTAAAGACTGGAAGGAACCATGGAAAGTAAAGACCTATCGATGTCTTGACATTGACCAAATGACGATCGCTTCCCATCACCTGGGCAGATGAACAAGGGCAGTCGTCATCCAAGCTGGAATCCACCTTATCGTCTTCGTCCTTACCTAAGTCTGCTAGAGCATCAACCCAAGGGTGTTTGGTGAATCTATTTTCCGGTGGGCTCCGTCTCTGCAGCAGACTATCTAAATATGTCACCAGTCGCCCTCTCCGAGTCTACGTGATCCAGCTCGTAAACGAGATTTGGAACTGTAAGTTGCATCCGCCTGTGGCTCGCTCTCGAAGAGGGAAGACCTGTCCTGCATCAGCAGAGCCTCCACCGGTACGGACACATTGCCCAAGACCCAAGTCCATCGAATATACGCACACTGGGGGCTATCGCAGCTGATGTGCAGCTGCACATGCAGCTCCAGTTCATCAGCCTCTATAGAACCGAAGGGAGGCCAAGGGCACACGGGTAGGTTGCGAAAGAGGGCCCTTTCGCGCTCCGATCTCCCAGCACCTGTGGCGCAGCCGCCATACATCTGGTCGAGAAACCTGGTCACCCGCCGAAGATAAGCCCCTGACCCGTGGAGGCCCATGGATGATCGCGGAGAACCAGTCCAAGCTGCGGCTTCGGGTATCGGTATTGAAGGTATGGGAGTATAGAGGTCCCAGAGAAAGGATACGATGGAAAGAGTCGTCTTCGTCTGCCCACAGGAGACAATTCCATACCATAGAGGAGCAACATTCAGCCGACGCAGCGCCAGAACATGGCCTGGCATCTCGGACTCGCCTCGATCGATGATGGGGGCTCGACCACGCTGATTATCGGATCATATGAAGGACTAACTAGGTTGCACCCCACGCCCAACTCCCAATAAAACCCCGCAAGCACCGACTATAGGAAGACGGGATGGGAGCTGAGCTTCATGTAGCGAGTCAGACACCGGTACTCCCATTCGATTCTCGAAAGAGAAGCTCTCTGGATGTCTCATATGACAAGAATTAGACTCGGTAGATCAACTACCGAGGTCGTTTCGCTGTGTAGGGGAAGCGTCAAAGCCGAAGCGAGAGCCAGGGGGGCTTGGCCATCAAGGTTGTACAGAGAAGCGAATCTGCCGAGATATCCCACTGCCTGCTTGCTTGATGCCGGGTCCAAAATTCGCCGATGTTGTCGGTAGGACTTTTGCCTCAACCTGGACTCTGTGCTGTTTGTCTAGAATCCTCATGCAGATAATGTATGCTCAGCCGAAGAACAGGATGGCGATTCCATTCGACGCGTTGTCTGGCTAGGACAAGTGGCTATGATCTGATATCATGCAAAGCGTCGGTTGTCGCCTCACAAGAGCCCATCGTCGGTGTTCCTCAGTCATGGATCTGGGGGGTGTATGGCATCCAGAGGTCCTCAACTCCCGTGTCCCATGTCCAGCAAGATCGTTCACGCCTCGTGAAACGTCTGGTGAAATTGACGCTTGGACGGAATAAGATGATGTCCATCGTGTCCCAAGGACTTCGCGCTAGTATCAGTGGAGGTTATCGTTGAGATAGTATTACTCAATGGCACACAGAAGCCGTCAAGAAGACCTGAGAAGCGAAAGGCGAAATGAATTGATACTTGCATTTTCGTCGCGTCTCGCTTCAGCTCCTCGAACCACTAGACCGTTGTACGCTTCGTAGGTTAATGATGACAGGTGTTGTTGGTCGCGGATTCCATGGTTGATTTTGTTGTTCAGAGACCTCATCGTCCAACGGTCACATGGCGCACGGCGTACTCGGTCACTAACGGGAGTAATCTGATTCCATATATTATTATATCGCGAGTAGCCTCATAGCCTAGCAAGGAGGCGGTGTTGCTACCCCAAGGCCATAGATCGCGTAATATAGCCAGGCCAGGGGTGCCCACCTCGCATCTAAGGTTAGGCCTGGATAGCTGAATATCTCCACCTTCAATCCTTGCTCGTGTGCCCCTGCCTGTGGCACAACACAACATGTTATATTAGCCACGTGTAGATATCCACGGCACCAGACTAGGCCTTGCCGTTCTGGGCAAGGACATTAGCCGTGCCGGAGGGAACACCGCTGATGACACCCTTGAGAGCAATAGACTTGAGGTAGTCGCACATGCCAGACGCAGGGCGGCCGAGGGACATGAAGTATGCACCAAGACCGGCAATGTGGGGAGTGGCCATGGAGGTTCCGGAGAGGGTGTTGGTCCTGCCGCCGGGCCAGGTGGACTTGACGTCGACACCGGCAGCGTAAATGTCGACGAGCTTGCCGTAGTTGCTGAAAGAGGCGGTGCGGTCGTTCTTGTCGGTAGCGCCGACAGTGCAGATGGATGGCTCAGAGGCAGGGGAAGAGCCAGAAGCTAAAACCAAGTCATGTCAGCGCATCTCCATGTTTGCATGAGTGCCGACGTGTGACTCCTAGATATGTACTACTTACCATCCTCGGGGTTACCAAAATAGTCTCCGTTACCGGCGGCGACGACGGCGAAGTATCCAGCATCGTTGAGGGCAGCGGCAGCATCATTGACAGCCTGCGAGAAGGTATCGCCGAAAGACATGCTGACGGCGACACCGTTGGGGCAGCTGCGGCTGGGAGCATCCTGTATGACACGTTCCATACCCGTGATCATCAGAGACCTTGCATTGGTCCTTGTCAGCCATTGACTCTCATGATTCCCAAATAGTATGAGAAGAACTTACTTGGTCCCGTAACCGCCCTTGTCAAAGATCTTGATGCCGTACAGCGACGCCTTCTTGGAGACACCGTAGGTCTTGGAACCGACGGTACCAGCGCAGTGGGTCTGTCGGTGATGATGAGGTTAATGCATGTCTCAGTCTGGTACTCTGGTACCGGGGATTTGACATACACCGTGACCATGGTCGTCAATCGTAATTCCGTCGACGTAGGTGGCGACAAAAGTGGCGCGGCCTTGAAATTCCTGTTCAACGGTGTTAGTGATACATCATACAAGTGAAGAACCCCCCCGGTCCAAAAAAAAAAAAAAAAAAAAAAAAAAAAAGAGAGAAGCAGCACGCGTCATTTTCGAGCATCACATACAGCGTGGGTGGTGTCGATGCCAGTGTCGACAATGTAGACGCAGGTGCCCTCTCCAGCGGCGTCGTCGTATGTGTAAGTCGTGCTGCCGGTCGACTTGCTGGACAGGCGGGCAAGACCCCAGGGGGCGCCGGTCTGGGTAGCGTAGATGCGGGCAATGCTGTCCTGTTCGATGTACTCGACCTGTCGGTAGAAAGAAAGGAAGATGTCAGCACATGCCGGGCACGCGAACGGAATAGAAAGTCCGGAGCTTGGATCTTCTTACGTCGGGGTTGTCGCGCAGAGACTCGATCTCATCGTCGGTGATCGAAGCGGCAAAGCCACCGAACTTCTCGAAAAGCTGGTCGGGATCGGCAGCGATGCCGTCAATAGCGGCCTCCATGCCACCGGCGCTGGCGATGCGAGCACCGCTCTTCATCTTGACAATGTACTTTCCGGGGATGGCGTTCTCATCGTCACGGATGTGCAGGGGAGCGCGCTTGGCGACCGGGGAGGCAGCCACCAATGGCAGAGCCGCGAGGAAAATGGTAGAGAAGCGCATTGTGTGCGGCTCGTCGTTTGCGATGAGAGAGAGGCCGGAGGTGCAAAGGAAGAGGAGGACTGGAGGATAGAGGAGGAGTGAGGAATGGAGCGGTCGAGGTTGGTTGAGAGGGGAGGACTGCCGGCGCTTAATATACTATTAGTGGTCCTGCTCTTGGGGATGCGCATGAGCACGGGCGAAGCTACGACATGACCGGCTCCATCGTGTCGCTGGGGTTCGGCATGCACCCTTGACCTGCCCATTTCGGGACGCGGCAGGAAAGGTGAAGCCATGTCGAATCGATGGTGCCCAAAGGGGTTCTGTAGCACCTTGATTGCGTTAGCGGTTCCCGAAAGTCCCTGAACCCGGGGATGTCTCCTTCCAGCTTCCATGATAAGCTTGCCTCTCGGGCATGAGGCCAGGACTTGTGATTTCGGTTTGGTGGGAATCCATTTCAGCGGACAGAAAATCGACACGCGCGAAGCTTGGGCCACGGAGGACCCTCCTCGGCCTCGGGGTTGGAATATTACTCGTACGGAGGCGGAAGATCCTCCCAATTGAGCCAGTAGCATTGTCGATCGACCGGGACTTGACTGGGGTGGAGATAATGCACGCTCATTGTAATGGCTCATCAGCTGGTATATTAGGAAGAGTTGGGGGGGGGGGCGCGGGATTTGAACGTGTGGAGTCCTCAATGGATGCCGTGGAATTTATGCGGTCAAAGGACTTTGGCATAGCGCCCATTATCCCGTAATACATAGTAGGATTTCAAGCTTCTCCCAGCACGCAGAGAGCTCTTCTGGTTGGTCCATCGAGAGTCTAGAAACCATGTAAACAGACGCGAAACTTCAAGTTGACAGCTTGCGGGTCCGTACTATAAAGAAACAAGCATAGTTCCAGCCGTATCATTAGCTTGCAGGCACATGGCCTCCACCAAACAGGAAAGCCAGCGAGAAACAGGCTACGAGTTGCTAACACTCCAGTTCCTACGGTTGTCAATCCGACTACTCGTGGGGGCTTGCTCCCTGGCTTGTCCCTAGGCAAACGGTATTACTCTCTTTCGTTCGTGCCGCACCGGAGAAGGACCGTATCTCGGACAGCCAATCAACAATCCCTTGGCCGGTGGGCGCTCCTCCTCATGGCCAGGGGGGCTCTACACGAGTCACGAACCGAGTACGACTGCAGGTCTTGACGGCTGTACGTCTCAACGGCTGGGGGTCACTACTTCGTATGAGCAGGGGCCCAGTAGAACTTGGCAACCCCGCAACGCGACAATACGAGTAGCAAACGATCGGCACCTGCCTAGTTCGCAACTGACATCCGGACCCCCTCAACTGTGATGGTTCGGGATACCGTTTGTTACATCGCCATCGTTGCAACTTTGACGGCACGTCAAACCGGTGTCTGTGCATGCGCATCGTGCCCTTTCGCCGATGTCAACTTTAGCGATCTAACCGGGGCGCGGTGGGATGGGTATCGAAGAGTGATGATATTGCATGCCTACTCCATGTCCGTCATAAGCAACGAACTGAGCTGTTTATTTGCTCTACACAATGGAAGCACGGCCAGAGTGTAGCGAGGAATCGTTGAGCATCGGAGATCGAGTTAGCATGAGTGCATGTAGGCTGGGTAAAAATAACCCACAGCGCACCCGGGGATGCGGTACATGTGCATGGTACGTTTGTCTCCAACCTACGCGTACGGCAGTAGTTCTGACTGATATCAAGATATTCTATATGCAAGTAAGCGCATTGGTGGTTGAGATACGTGTAGTTTCTACCTTTTTGCTTTTCTTGAGATAATACATCGGATACTCGTATCCGGACAGGGGTTCAAACAAGAGCGATAACGCATTGAACTGCATCTTCTCCTCCCCCTCTCTGTCTCTCTGGCTAGGGTCCACGTGACTCTTGGCAAAATGACCTTATCGACCTTTAAGTTCTTTGCTGCCGTTATAACATCATTGGGGAGATACGAACCCCGTATACGAGTAACAGCATAATACTATACGAGAATCAGGCACGGGAACCGTGGAACCGCCGCCATGCCTCCAACCAGAACGACTCTTGGCAGGGCCCCCAAGGCATGCAGTCTATGCCGGCGGTACAAGGCGCGATGCCATCCACTTGATGGTGTCAACGGCCCGTGTCTCCGCTGCCAGACCTTCTCAAAGCAATGCTCCCTCGCACCCTCTCCTTCCAGCCCTCCTCCCACCGGCGCGCGGTCGGGCGCTACCGATGCAGGAGAGAGAGGAATTGTCCGGACCCCGGACGAATCCGATGCGTTGAAACAAAGGTTCCGTGGGCCACCCACCCTATGCATAAGCTCAAGCCCACATCGATCCTAACCGCCAGGCCCTTCTTTACTCGTTCCTGTCCCTTCTGATATAGGCTTCAGAAACTAGAGTCTCTAGTCGCCGGTCTGGAATCGAGGCTCGATGCCAAGCTCGACGATGCTATCGTCAATGGTAGTATCGGTGGCGCCGGTGACAATAGTCCCCTTGGCAATTCTTCCCGTAGACGGAAGGAGATGAGTTCATCGGCCTCATCCGGCAATGCCCCCGCAGCAGCCACCTCCGAACCTGTGCCCGTCCTGTTCATCCGTGATGCCGCGGCCAACGCCGGTGTGCATTCCACCAACTCCGAGTACTCTGGTCCTTCGCCAGATGTCATTGCCTCGGGAGCTGTGTCAGTTGCGACCGCCCAGTCGCTCATGCATCTGTAAGGAACATGCGCGAGAGACCATCCACCACTCGGTCAGTACCTACCTACATTGACATTATCCGCATCACATAGGTTCCGTGTGCATTACGGCCGCTGGGTGAGATTCGAGCAAGATGGGCCGGTCGAGCATCTTGTCGCACGCGTGAGGAGGTCGCCACTGCTCCTGGCGAGCATCTTCCTCATCGCTGTCCGTCACACGCACCGCGAGCTGGCTGACCAGCTAGCCCCGGGGCTCTTTCGTGAGACGAAGAAGCTCCTCGCCGCGTCACTTCTCGACATACCGAAGGAGATAGAGTACTTTCAAGCAGCGCTCATCCTGAGCCTGTGGTCAACAACGATCGGTCAGACACCCCTGAGCATCGACAGCTGGCTCCTAACGACGTATGCCGTAAAGCAAGGACTGGCGAGCCCTGTGTTCTCGAGCGTCTTGCAAGGCGAGTCTGGCCCGAGCCATGTGGATGCATGGTGTATCTGGAACCACCTATGTCTCGCGCACCTCCAGTATGAATGGCGTCTCTCAAAGTTCTGGTGGATCGTACTTCTGACACACTCCACAGGTACTGTGTCGGGACCCGACGGCGAGCCTCGCTGACCGAGAAAGACGTGGACCGGTGCGCATGGCTCGTCGAGAATAGCAATGTCGGCAACTTTGAAGAGAGAATGGCTGCCGAGATCCGTCTGTACTGGGTCACGTACCAGCACTACTCCGTGCAGGAGACGACCACGCAAGACGTGAATGCGTCCCTGGAGAGCTGGAAGCAGGAATGGGCCGTGTTGTTCTGTGAGTTTTGGTTCGTAAGCGTCCCGTCGCACGCAGATCTGCTGATATGGGTACCACAAGGCCAACCACGCGCCCAGTTCCTCCAGATGGGCTACCATTTTTCTCGTCACCTCGTCCTACGACAGACGCTCAGAGCACCTGGGGCGTCGATGAATAACAGCTTGCTCCAAGCCATGATCCACGACGCCAAGGCCATCATTGACCTCGCCATACACACGACTGATGAGCGAACCCGCCACTTGACTGATCACATCTATCATATGCTTGCCTTTTCGGCACTTACAATCTGCCAGTTGGTTAAGACATATGAAGCGCAGCTCGGCACGTCCACCCTGGATGTCAGCTCCCTGGCTCAGACTATCAGCGAGCTGATATACTGGCTGCGGTCCATCGGCCTTCCTTGCCACGCAGCACATATGCTGAGTGACATTGTCGAGGCCCAGTTTAACATGACACGACACGCATTTCAACGTAGAGACGAGGGCAGGGCCACCCGGGAGTACAGCGACGTCGAAGCGGCTCCATCATCAGAAGCTGCAGAAGCCTCGTTCCTCGACTTCACATTCCTCTACCCCGAGTTTATCGGGTCTGACTTGTTCGATGGCGAGTCACAAACCGCGTGGCCGCAATGGAACTGATATAGGCAATTGCCCTTCTACTCGGCTTATAATTCTCTGTATATAATGATGACCCCTGGGATATCTTATACTGTATGGTCCAACTCAGTCCCCTTCTCGAGTCTCGAACAACGCGCACAGAGGGCTCCTTCGTGATCCCTCTCATCTCATCCCTGCAGCTTTTTTTTCAGCCACGGAATGTCATCTACAGAATACCTGTACGCCCGAAAGAGTGCATTAGACTCCCCCGGGAAGATCCCAGCCGTTTCCCAGTCTGGATAGGCCGCAAAGTGTGGGTTGACGTACTCCCAGCACACGTACCCGGCACTGGTAACCTCAAAAACACGGCCAAACGCGCTCTCGCACAGCAGGGTATTCCCATTGTCCAGGCGCTGCGCACTCCCCATGAACGGCGTGAAGAAGTTGTGCATCTGCGACTTGTCGCGGTACTCCCAGACAATCTGGCTCGTGGAGCGATCAACCTCGATGGCGCGCGAATAGGTGATCGACTCCCCCTCGCGGAAGGCACCGTTGTCAAAGATCAGGATGTTCCCGCTCTCCAGCTCGGTGGCGTTGTGCTGCTGCGCGAGCACATCCGACTTGAGCTTCCACACAATATCGCCCGTCTCCTTCTCGATTATGACAACGGCCGAGACGGACCGCATGGACGCCAGCACATGTTTCCCATCACGCATAGGGTAGACAGAGTTGATAAGCGGGTAGTGTTCTCTCGTGTAGTGCGGCTGGAGGGGAAACTCATCCCGCGGAAGACGCTCGGACACCTTCCACTGCCATACGACGTTACCCTCGCCGTCGACCTCGTTGATCGTGTCGGCATATGTGACCCCTCCCGCTGCCTCGGTCCCGGGAACTCCGCCAAGGACCCCCTTCGAGTCCTCGGGCGAGAGCGCTTCGAGGCTGGCGTATATTATCCGCCCGTCGCCAAAGTGGTATTGGTCGTGGTGGCCCATGGGGTCTGTAAATTGCCGTAAAATATTGCCCTCTGGGTCGAGCTCGCTCATAACACCTCCTCCGTACTTATGGAAGAAGGCAAATGGGTATGGTCCCGGCCGGAGGGTGTTGACGGCCAAGTTACCGCTCGGCAAGATGCGCGCATGTCGTCCGATCCGTCCGGGGAGCTTCCATGTATGAACCTCGTTGCCATCGATGTCGATAAGGTGCGCTCTAGAGCTGGTGAGTGGACAGAGGAGCGTGTATCCTCCAAACGATTTCTCTTTGTCGACGCCCGTCAGGCCAATTCCGCGTCTCTTGAGTGTATTTTGCTCCATGTTGGGTGCTTATGGGGTTGGGGATTTTGTCAATTATCACCGTATACTAGACGTCGGCACCGTCGTCTATCATACAGGATATTTATAAACAGAAATAAAAAATAAAAGAGCCAGTCTTCTTTGCGAGAAGTTCTAGATATTGGTGTGAAAAGTTGTCTTATTGATTGTCGTCAACGGGCGTCGAGGTAGATTACACCATCGGTTCCGCCGGCATACCGGCGGCTGCAACCGACGGCATGCCGGCGGCATGACAGCGGACCGACGGAACGCATCGGGGAGTATAGTCTTTAAACCACCAAAAGCTGCTATCACGAAATACCGACTATCTCTGACGCATTTCTCCAGTATTGATCTCAGTTGGCCCCTCGGGTGGTATCGCTCATCATGTCTAAGGCATGGGAGAATAAAAAGACGAGACCGCCGACATACATCGTAGAGCGGAGTTCAAGTCCACCAGCACCACCACCATGACCGAAAAGCGAGAACCAACTCTTATTCAGTATCCTATCGGAACCATGACAGAAGAGGTAGTTGTGATCCCCGGTTACGATCCCGAGCTACATTTTGAAGAGACAGAGGTCAAGAAGGCACGGCTCAAGGTCGACCTGTGCATTCTCCCGTTCATCGTACTTTGCTTCTGCTTCCTCCAGTTTGACCGTACCAACATTGGTAATGCCCTGACGGACACGCTCCGTGATGATATACACGTGGACAATGCGCAGATCAACCTCTCGCAGACCCTATTCACCGTCGGGTTCATCGTGACAGAGCTGCCTTTCAACCTGATTAGCAGATACATGGGTCCTGAGCGCTTCCTCCCCATCACCATGTTCCTCTGGGGCACTGTCGTATGGTGCCAGGTATGGCTGAAGAACGGGGCTGGGCTCTGCGCTGCCCGCTTCTTCATAGGTGCGCTCGAGGGGGGTTATATCCCTGGTTTCGCCCTGTACATTTCGAAGTACTATACGAACCAAGAGCTTGGGTTGAGATATGCCATCTTTTGGGCCTCTAACAACGTCGCCGGTGCACTCGGAGGCCCGCTATCCATAGGGCTCCTATCCCTCAGGGGGCGCGGAGGTCTCGCCGGATGGCAGTGGCTCTTCCTCGTCGGTACGTTTTTTCCGCCTGATCCCCCGATGTGTAGGCCATGGCTGACACGGTGACCAGAGGGTGTCTTGACTTGCTTCCTCGGCATCGTGGCATACCTTTACCTCCCTCACAGTGCGGTCCAGCCCAAGAAGGTTATGGGAGCATCATTCCCTCTGTTTACGCCGAGGGAAGGATCCATACTTGTGACGCGCGTCATGCGCAATGATCCAACAAAGGCTCTTCAGTATGGCAAGCCCGTTCTGCCCAGGCACATAGTCGAGACCTTTGCCGACTGGCGACTGTACGGTCACCTCGTTGCTGCACTATTGTCCATGGTTATGATCACGCCCGTCAACACATATGCGCCATCCATCATCAAGTCTCTGGGTTTCAATGGTCTGCAGGCCAACGGGCTCAACTCGGTCGGTAGCGTTTGCGCTCTCATATGGTCCATCTCGGTGGCCTTTAGCAGTGACAGGTTTGGCGAACGTGGTCTTCACATTGCAGTCGCATACCTCTGGGGTGCTATCGGACTTCTATGGTTGGCTCTCACACCTGACAGTGCAGGGAACAAAGTAATCTATGGTAAGTCTCAAGCTGGAGATTCAAGGGGTCCGGTCAGCTTACACTGGGCACATAGGTGGCGTTGTCTGGACACAGATGGGTATGGGCTCCGGCCAGGCCATCAGTGGTGCCTGGCTCACGGCCAAGATGGAGGACCATAAACGACCCGTGGCCCTTGCTGCATATGTCGTCAGCTTGCAGCTGGCAAACTTCCCTGGGAGCCAGCTGTTTGAAGACAGTGGTATGTGTACTGTAAACTCGCCTTTACCCAACCAAGGTCGTTGAGTTAACATCGGTGTGACAGATGCTCCGAGATATACCCATGGATTCATTGTTGCTGCCGCGTGCACCATCGCCGCCGCAGTCGTGATTCTCGTCTGGAAGGTTCTTTATCGCATATACGACAATGGCGACACCGGCGTTAAATCAGACTTGGCGGAAATGAACTTGCGAAGGAACACGGACGTCAAAGTATGATAGAGTGGTTGCAGTGTAAATATATCAGTTGTCGATGTAGAGGATGTGACTCTAGACCTCCAAGTCCATATATACCGTAGTTGTTGAAGAGGTCTCCGCATCTTACAGCACGCGGTCGGACTCACGGCAGTCTTCGATTGCCTTCAAACTTTCAGTCGCCATTCTGGCATCATGAAGGTACGGGCATGGGATGGCAGAAAATCATAGAAGGGGCTGGGTTTGTTCGTGGTCGGGGCGGGTTCTTGTAAGCCAAACAGCGTAGGTGTTATTATGTACAGCCTCTCGTTTTCATAGTAATACGGTTTTCGACATAGAGGTCGAATACCAGATGGAGACAGGAAATGATGTCAAGGAAGAAACAATGGGTAGGCAGGATGAGGACGAGGAACCAGGGGGGGGGAGGGGAGGGCGAGAATGAGTCTCCTCCAGGACACAATCAAGTATATTACATTTTCCGTGTTAACCAGCATTATGAGCTCAACTCCCTAACCAGCCAGTCCTTCCACTCTGCATCGCGGATGATGAATCTCACCCGTGCCTCAAGCCACTCTGTATTTCCCCAAAATCCCCAGGACGCCTGAAACCGGCACCAATCAACGAGTGCCGTCTCCCAGTGGTGCTTGAAGTCTTCCCATGTGTACTTGATCGATTTGGCCCCGTCGCTGGCCAGCAGAGTATGTCTGTACTTCTCTAGGAGACGCTTTTCCCCCGCACGCATTCCGAGCTCCTCGGGCAATTCATCCTCGTCATCATCGTCTCCGACCAGCATATTTAGCGGTACGGAGCACGTAAAGAGCTTTGCAAGGTCGCAGACTCCCAGGCCCAGCCCAACATACTGAAAGTCGAAAAAGGCCACGCGGGTGCCGTCTTGAGTGGTAAATAGATTCTCCGACTTGACATCGCCGTGGATGTACGACTCAATATCCCTGCCCTGGGGCTTGAGGAGCTCAGCAGCCATCTCGGCAACCGACGACCCTCTCACCGGTGTGCAAAGGGCTTCGCACCACTCCGAGTCTTCGTCGTCAACCAGCGACTGGTACTCTGACCGTCGCGTGGCCAGGTAGGTGTACCCCCCGTTCAACCAGGTCTTGGATCCCCTGTCTTCCCGCGAAGCCTCCTCCAGCGGTGGCAGGACGTACTTGTCCAGATCACCGTCGGGAAGCCAGGCCCACGATGCTCCGTGAAATCTGGCCAGCCACTCCAGGGCGGCCGTTACCTGGACTGGCTGCAGGACGGCGCGCTTCTCCCCCGCAACGGGATATTCGGGCCTCAGATCCGTCATCAGCGTGGCAGTCAGGCCAGCCAGTTCATCTGTTTGCCTATCGCGCGTCGAGGCGAGACGCTGTGCCACCCCGACCTGGTCAGCACTCAGCCGAGGCACCACCTGGTCGTAGAAGTACTGTTCGACCTCGTAGCTCAGCATCTTGCGCAGGTGACCCTCGTCAGCTCTTCCATCTCGCGGAGGCGAGATGAGCTTGAGTATCAGGCGATATGTCGTCCCAGTAGTCCCAGCTGATTGGAGCCTGCACAGACTGTCAAGCTTCTGGGCTGCGGCGTCTGTCGAGGCTCGTGCTGTGACGGCGCAGATGTATCCGTAGCCTGCCCACAGGGTCTGCAGCTTGGTACATGAGACTAGCTCCAGTGAGTGCCATGAGAGCATGATCGATGCCACCCTCTCGGGACTTGCGACTCTATTTGACGGTCCCATCTTGCGTATTGACGGTTTTGGAAATGATGGTTAGGAGGAAAAATGATGATGCATGGTGTGGGCCAAGACTCTGAATGAGCCTCTGCCGCCGCAGAGTAACCTACCCTGCAGTGTCCGACGCAATGTCGATGTGACGGCGGTTATCACGTTGTGTCTGCTCTCTTCACCGGTGAAGAGACAGAGACAGCTTTATGGCGGCAAAGAATAATATATAATGGATTCAGGGACGTAAGTTCAGTGCGGCCAGGTTGAGTTTCTACAGCTCTTCTAATACGATCTGCATCATCTAGACACTAATGATGGTCACCAACACCATGAAGGGGACTAACAACCCGACGTCCCCATAGGTATATGAAAGCCAGAAGAAAAACTCAGTGTAAGCCATTACTCCAACAAATAGAAGAATAAGAACACCGAGTGCCGTCATGAAACACACAGCCTAAAACCCATACATGTATGCTTCCTCATACTTGTCCACCATGGCACCGTGCGTCAAGGCAAGCATCTGAGGGTCGAGGTCCTCAAACGCCATACTCCAGATGGCTTGGGCCTCAGCCTCGTCTGTCATCCTCGCAGAGTCGAGACCTAGATGCTGCGCCATGACAGGGTACATGGAGTATGTGTCGAGCTTGCTGGAGAGGGCCCGGTGCCTGAGCAGGAGATCGATCTGCCCGCGGCCCCAGCTGCTGAGGTATCGAGCGAGCGAGGGGATCTGCTCCCGTGGAAACACGAGGGCCTGCGAGCAGCACCCAAAGGGCTCGGCAGCTACCCCCGGAGAGGGAGGCAGCAGCGACGCCTTTCCGCACTGGAAGAATAGGACAACCATGGACGGAACGAAGATGAAAGCGAATATCCCCACGGTTATGGGATCGATCTGCGCCCGCACACTGCGAGACTGGGACCTCGCCATCTGCCAGGCAGAGAGGATGGCGATGCCAAGCCCGAGGCCGATCAAGTGCTCGTTGTTGCCGCCAATGTACCGCTTCTCCCACCCCGTCGATCGCTCCTGGTTGAACAGGCGCATAAACAGCCAGGAGGAGGTAGGGTGGTCGCTGCCGGTACCCCTCGGCGCCGACGGCGCAGGCGGTGGGAGCTTCTGCAGGTTCAGCAGCGTGCGCACGAGCCACCCGTCCGCCATGAGGATGTCGTCCTCGAACATGGCGATGTACGGCGCGTCAGAGGCCTCGTAGCAGCTCTGCAGGCCGTAGACGTAGTCAAAGACACCCTTGGCTTGGTAGTCCTTGCTGTCGATCATGCCGGTGAGCCAGTCGATCTCTTGGCTGGTGACGTTGTCGTAGGAATGCATAGAGTCGACGGCGTTGCGGATCCAGTCGCGGTGCCAGACCGGGTGGCGGGCCGGGTCCGTCTCGGCGATGAGCACGTTTATGTAGAGGTTTTCCCTCTCTACCTCTGAGAGGCCGTGTAGGATGCTGGCAACTGTCGTCTTTTGGTGATACATTCAGCATTTAAATCGCATCGGTATGCATGCATGAGAGTACACAAACCTCTAGATACTGCGTTCGCTCCCTCTTGACCGAAGTCAATACCAGGCAGATGGCAGGGTCAACCCCCGCCTTTGTGAAGTTACCCTGGTGAGAAGTCGCATCGTCATCGGTCATGAGAGGCTGTATCTCGGAAAGCCGGTGGGCGGAATATCGGTACTCGAATGCACGGGTGCTGTCGAAAAAGGCACTTCCCGGGTCGCGGTAGAAGTGTGCGCTGGCGTACCAGACGGCGCAAAGAACTATGGCGAGGCAGATGGCCAGCTTCTTGATGACGGAGGTTATGAAGGATTGCGGTTTGCTCAGCTGCACAGCCGGAGTGGCGATAGGCTTGTCTGCTGAATCAGGAGGAGCAGACAAGACGGCCATGGTGTATTGCTGTCAAGCTCTCACTCAATCATATAACGAATCAACCCTAGGAAAAAGGTACCGGGAATCACAAGTGAGTACTCCTATATCGAGGACGCCAAGAACATATAAGCAAACCAAAAGACGATGCCAAGACAAGTTTAAAGAACGAAGCAGGCATATCAGAATCAACGGCTAGTACAACGTCATGGAGACCCTCCCTCCCCCTACAAGTACTAAGTATTGTTACATGAAAAAAAGTGTCAATAAATCCAGGGCAATCTTATCCATATTTCCCTCCCCCCCTCATTTCCCTTTTCTCGTGGTAACAAGAGGCAGCCACGCCGTAAGGGGAGAGAGAACAAGAGGTTTGTTTTCGGGACAGACCACACAAAGTCACCATCATACGGATAGCCGATTAGCCGACAATGGGGGACGATCCTTTCCTGACCTCCACTGAAAGGCCGCCCTCTTCGTTTAGACGAACGGCTATTCGGCTTTATGTGGGTTGGAGGGACCTCGTGTGCCTGGGAAAGGTGGGTAGAGTGGTCGATCGTGATAAAATACGATGGAGGCTGCAACGCGACGAAAACAAGCATTCGATGCAAGCCACGCTACCGAGTCGACTTGAGGCCTCTGATTTGCGAGTTACTATGATGCTTCTAAATTAAGTATAAAAGGATTTTCAATGCTTTCATTACCTTCCATCATAATTGTATTCTATGCTATCATCTACGTAATAGCATGGTCTCCTGCTGCTTGTGGGTCGGCGTTGGTAAAGGGGAGACCCTGACTTGTTGATTTCAACAAATAATAGTACGAGTAGAAGTATATCTCCTTGTTATTCAAGGGACTGTATCCGTACTCCGTAATGAGAAAGCGTCATGATAATAAAGTAATGGGCAATGCGAAGCCGGCTCGTAGTTTCTGCCGTGTCGTGACAGCACGTACAAACCACATCTATTGACGAGCCGGTCGTATGAAACGGTGTAGACGTGGATACAAGTACTATTACTAGTAGTTCACATGTATTAATCTCTTCACTATCGTCCATAGAGTCTGAAGCGTGTGAGACTCCGTGAGACCTGGTGAGGCTGAGACAATGCGAATGCGCATAGCCGTGGGTCAACGAGACTTACCGTTCCCGCATTTTCAGAAATAACGAATGGAACGCGAACGCGCCTGCCGACGGCGGCTAGCCGCAAGCGAAGATGCGTGAGGCACTCGTAGAGGTGATATGAGTGAAGTGTCATGGAGCACTGCATGTGCGTGCACTTTACGCCTTGTACGAGCCGTTTTTCTGTAACATACACGAGGCCATGCATATCCTTAGTTACTCATACTCCCAGATCACATTAGGAGCCGTACGGCATATGTGATCAGTTCATCGCATTATGCGTGACCTTTGTGAGAGCTTTCGGCCAATGGCCTAGTCACTCCGAAAGACACGATGATTCACAGAATACTTCTACCACCATCAATCGATAGCGATCGGTAGGGACAAACTCGGGGATACAACCAGGGAAAGTTGCAGAAAGCAGCACAGGAAGAAGAAGCAATTAGACAGTTGCACTGTAGCTGATCAAGGACCCGATAACCTCGCAGGGCCAATGCACACGTGTCCTATACAACAAGGGAAAACGTGGAAAAGACCGATACAACAGCCCGGAAACGAAGAAGGGAAATAAAGAGAAGAACAGAGCTGAGAACATTGGCCTCTCCTTGTCTCTGCAAGACTTGCAGCATACATTCAAGGAATATCCACCCCAAAATCCATGGTTATAGTTAAGCTTGGCGGGCACACCGGGGATGCCAAGTCCCCAACGGCCTTAGCCGGACCAGTCGGCTTCACCCATTCAACGGCATATGCTTCTTCTGGTAAAGACTCTCGAGAACTTGAACAACAGCCAATCCTACCCCCTCCCCCGAGTCGATGCCAAGCCAGACACATGTATTCTCTACGAGGACAATGATTTGTTCGGCAGACGACTATCTTCATTCCTTGCTGTCTATTCCAATCCTGTCAAGTTCGAAAAACAAATCGTACTTGTCCATCTGCGCTCGCATCGCCATGGTTCTTCCCGCGCAGTAGAGATATTCTCGGCCTCGAAGAACAGAGGGATTTGAAGGCGACATGAGCAAGCAGAACAATAACAACAACAACAACAACGACAACGACGACGACAACAGGCTGCCCAAGTATATCTCCAAGGAGATCAATGTCAGCTTCGACCAGGCCACGCGCGAGCTCCGCACGGAGGGCTCCGACTGAATCCAGCACCGTGACCTTTTCAAAAAAGGTGAGGCGTGACAAGTCAGCTGTCAAGTACCACGCTCACCATTATGAATATGTTCCCCGCTCTTTTTTTTTATCTACATGGTTGTTGTCGTCGCCATTGTCATTGTCGGTGCAGGCGGTGGCATAGACAGCATCGGAGTTGGAGGAGTAGAGTTTGACATGGCGAAAGCGGGTCGTTGTTGGACTGCAACTTGCATGTGCAAGTTTCATAGCGCAGGTGTATACATATATTCAAAGGTGGTTGCGCGTATTCGATCGAGGCCAATACTTCAGAAAAGACCACGAGGGCGGGTATTCAGTGTGTCATGCCTCCCAGTCCATCGGCTCTTCAACCATCCAGTCCCACCCCTCCAGCTCTTCCTGCCTCTGCCCGCCGACCATGCTGCTCGCGATATCCATCTGCCCCGCGGGCTGCGGCGCCTGCCGCCGCACCACCTCGGCAGCCATGTCATAGGCCTCCCCCAGACCAGCCAGGATCCTGCCCACGATCCACTGGAGGTGGTACATGCGAATGGGCGGGGTCTCGGCCGTGACCTCGCCAGCCTCGTCCTTCCACCTGTTACGCAGCTCCTTGGCCTTCCAGAGGGCCTGGTAGACCTCTCCGGTTCCGAGGACGCCGTGGAGCGCATTGTCCGCGTCGCCCAGGGCGGTGAGGACATTGTGGTGGTACGCATGCGTGCTACGGCCGCGGGTGCCGGACCCGCCGGCCCCGCCGGCCATGATCTCGATGCCGAAGATGCGCTGCAGGAGCACGATGGCCTGCTCTATCCAGGTGTAGAATTCGTAAAAGTCGAGCTTGAAGTTGCGCTCTGCCACATCCGGGTCGAAGCCTTGCGACAGCGCCACCTCCGGGTCCACGCGCTGCCACGAGCTGTCCAGGTCGATCGACTTCCATCGTAACCGGAGACAGGTCTGCTCCAGACGGTGCAGCGCCCGAGCGGGGGCCAACGACGATGCCGTCGCGGCGGCGGACGGTGCGGATGCCGAGGCGATCAACGATGGCGCTTGCGTGGGAAGGGGCGGTAGGTCAAGTAGCGACTGCGGCGGCACGGAGCGCGATCGAGGGTCCGTCGTCGCTCGCGATGACGATGCACGGGTATACGTGTGGGAGCGCTCCGAGGCCCAGATGGACCCCGAGAGCCCGGTCGCGGACGACGCTGCAGCTGATGAGGCCCTGGCCATTCCCGAGACGCGTATGTGGGGGGAGGGAAGGGAGCGGGCCGAGGGTGGTTGTTGTTTGCTTTAGCTAGCCCCAGATGAGCTCTGAGCAATATACGTTTCGTCCGACAGACCAGGGAGGTCCCGCATGGCTGCGAAACGGGACGACTGGCGGCAACGATCTGTCCTTGTGCTCTCTCGGTTTCTGCCAACCAAGTCGGCGTCGCTTCGCTAGTTCGAGGGAAGGCTGGATGAAAGCGGGCGCGTTGTGGTGCAGCTGGGATAAGCCACTCGGCGGTTAGGGAGTTGGTCACCAAGCCACGGCATATTATTATGCAATGCGCCACATTCAATATCATATTACGGGTGAACCATCACCAATCAACATGAGCATCTGCAACATCTACAATGTCAACACCGAGTTTCCACAGAGAGCACCAAGGCTCCATGAGTGCTGCACAGCATCTTCTCTCGTTACCACAGGTCTTCCAAGGCCATCATGTCATAGTCATCATTTTGTAAAATAAAATAAAAAGATGGAAAATAAACGCAATATACAAGCAAACCCCTCCCCCCTTTTTCCCCCAACAAATGTACGCCCTATGAGAAGAGGACTTATATAACTGATAGGAATAAGAAAACACAGGCGCCAACCACTGAGAACACGTAAAAGAGAATGGATTATAAGATTTACAAGCTCGCCTGTTACGAATCGCTTCCCTTGATCTTTTTGGTCGCCTTGGCTGTACCGATATGTGTGTTGTGCACCTGGATGGTAGAGTCAGTACATCTGAAATCCATCAGAGATATGAAGGGAATATCTTGGATGGTGCGAGAGGGGAGAGAAGGAGAGGGGAGAGACAAACCTTTGTTGCAAATCGCAGGCTCGTCAGCGTCTCCTTCAGGTGAGCCTCTAACGGCGACACCATGACAAACATGAGCGTCTTGCTGTTCCCCCCCAAGCTATACTGCAGCAGGTGCGTGAGCTTGGAATTCCGGTAAGGCACGTGCCCGGATCCGCGGCCGAGGGCCTCGATCACGTCGCCAAGGCAGCTAAGACTCTTGTTGATATTCTGCGTCTCCTTCATGCGGTCTCCCTCGGCCTGCGAGTGCTTGAGCCTCTCCGAGCCCGCAAGGTCGACGAGGTTGAGCGTTCCCTCGCAGCGCTCACCGGTGGCCAGGTTCTCCCCCACCAGCTTGAGGATGAAGATGCTGTGAGACCGCGACGAGCGCTCGTTGGCCTTTGTCGCCGCCACCGAACGGTTCTTCTGCGCTTCTTCGAGCATACGCTCCACGCTCGAGGCCGAGTCGAGCCGTACGGTACGGCAGTTGACCAGCGTCGTCTGCTTGCGCGCGTCGTCGTGGCGGATCTCGGGCTTCTTGCTGCTCCTTCCCTCCACCAGCAGGTCGTTGAGCTCCTCGTTGTAGACCTCGACAAACGATCCTTCCATCGTGTACTCCCACGACTTCTCCTTGAGCTGGCCGATCGTCTCGTATATCATGTGCGTTGCGCGCGGGATCATGCCGTCCTCCGAAGACATGGTGTACGTCTTGCCCGACCCCGTCTGGCCGTAGCAGAAGATGCACACGTTGTATCCGTCCAGTGCGCTCTGTACCAATTGTGAGATCTCGTCAAAGATCTCATTGTTCTGCGTGCCCGGCACGAAGACGCGGTCAAACTCAAAGGGGTAGTTCTTGCGCGACAGCACACCCAGCGAGGTCCTCTCTTCAGGGCCCGCCATGACGATCTCGGCAGACGTCTTATCGTCGGGGAACGTCATCTGCGCCTTATCCCCTTCAGAATCATCCAGCGCCGGCCGCACTCTGCACATGACGCGGATGTTGCCCTTGAGCTCCTGGTACTTGTTGAAGAGCACCCGGCGCTCCGTCTCCTCCTTTATGAGCTTCTCCTTGGCCTCCTCGGCTACCCGCAGCGCATCCTGCAGCCGCGCTTCCATGCTCGAGAATGAGTCGGACTGGGCCTTGCTGTCCGACTCCAGAAAGTCTACCTGCGACCGTAAAGAGTTGATCTTGGCTTCCAGCGTCGTGTTGGATGCCGCGAGCTCGGCAATGTTGGTCTCCAGGCTTCCCTTGAGCGTCCTCTCGCGCTCGAGATCGCCCTTCAGGCCATTGATCTGCGACCGAAGGTCTATCATCTCCCGGTCTTTTCGCTGCATCGCCATCTCGAGATCTTGGTTGTCGCTGTTCATGCGCAGACGCATGTCCTGGATTTCGCGGTCCTTCCTCTGCCTCTCGTCTTCAATCTCTTGCTGGTGGCGTCGTTCCAGGTTCTTGAGTTCCTGGTGATGTTCCTTTGTCTCCTGCTCCTTCACACGGTCGAGTTCGCGGCTCAGCTCGCTGGTGATTGCCACGTGTTTGCGGGAAAGGTCGTCGACAGCATCGCGGTGTTTCCTCTCGACATCGTCCATTTCTCGCCGGTGGTCCCATTGGAGCTTCTCGATTTCGTGTCGCAACTGTCGCTCATCCTGTTTCGAACTGTCAAGGGCCATCTTCAGAGTCTCATTGCGATCCTCAAGCTTGGCACGGTCTCGTTCCAGTTCGGATACTAGAGAGAGGGTCAGCACATTCATCCCCAGAATCAGCAGCTACAGTGACTATACATGCCTCTCGTCTTAGCGAGTTCCAAGGCGTTATCGTGACCCTTGCGCTCGATCAGGGTCGTGTTGACCATGTCCTTCAGCTCCTTGAACTGCGACTCCATATCAACGACTCGGCCATCGACATCCCATGCTACAAAGTTTTTCACGTTAGACGACTTGCTCAGATAATAGGGCATAGTGCAGGGTGGCTTGGCGGGTGACTGGATATCTCGGATGCTCCGTTCAACCTTGTTCAGCATGTAAACCATGTGCTTGTTACTCGGCGTCTCAGGGCCCTCCTAGGGGCCTCCCGACAGCGGTGAGAGCTCTTCACATTTCTTATAGCCTCTATAGAAAGTAATGCTGTCATTCCCAAATATCGGGGGCGACAATAGGGAGCCTGAAGAAGTCACTTGACCTTCTTCTGTGCCACAGCTTGACTTTGTTTTTGGCGACATCAGAGAGCTTTCCTTGGTGGCTGGGGGTATTGATGTTGGGCTGGGCGGCTGTGTGTCATTTGCTGACGGGAGAGAACTTTCTCTGAGGGCCGATGGTCCTGCTGGTGCTAGGCTGGCTTGCATTCGTAGCAGCAGCGGTGGGTTGGATGTTTGCTGTTCTTGAGGGACTTTCGTACCATTCTTGACGACCGCCTCTTCGCGCTCAGCAGGGGCGGGCTTTTCGTAGTTGCTGTACGCCGTACGAGGCCTAACGGGCGCCTGGCTCTTGGATCGGCCATGGCTAGCGCGCACTCCAGCCCGCGTTTGCGGGCGGTCCGTTGACGTCTGACAGGTAGTGCCGGTGCTTCTGCCGTAGGCGCTTGATGAGGGCGAGGAGGGGGGTTGGATCTGGCGAGTTTGGATTTCGGGCTTCTTGAGCTACAGAGACAGGTCTATTGTGAGTGTGAAGGGCCTCTCGAGTGCTTCCGTGGGAGGGTGGTATCGATACACACCTTTGGCAAGGACTGGCCTTGGACATTGGGTCGTGGGAGAGGCGCAACCGCAGACGGCTTAGTTACATACTCTCCGGCCCTGTGGGACAGCGGTACGCGCTTGCTCTCGGACTGAATGGCTAAATATGTTGGAAACACTGTCAGCACGGGCGTTGTTGGCCACAGGACAAGAGCTGTCTGTCGACGTACCCGGCAAGGGGATCTCGCGCTTGGTGCCCTTGGCCTTGGGGGGCTGAAGGCGCGAGTTGAACTGGGACTGGCTGCATTCGGCAAGGCCCGAGGCCGTGGACTTGGTCGGGAGGCGGCTCATATTGGGTTTTGTCGTCTGTGTGCAATGTATTTGGGAGCCTGGACCCTCAAAGCTCTCTAAACCGATATCGCGTCGCAGACGTCATGCGGCGATGGGGGGGTCGCTCGGAGATCCAGAATAAACACGGTGGGTAGTGAGGCGCGCACGCGAAGGGCGGAGGAGCGTGAAGGCTCCGTTGGCGTTGAGGTATAGGTTGAAGCAAGAGAGAATCGGGAGTTGTTGAGGAGGAAGGTTATCGTACGAACGTATGTCCCTTTGGTGTCGAGGGTCACGATGCCGCAATAAAGCCAATGTTTGCTCCTCCTCCGGGTCGAGCTTTGGATCAGTTAGAGTGCACCATTGACTACATTAAACGGTTGTTTACGGGGCTGCTACGGTTGCCTAGCAACATTGTTTTTATGGGGTTGTCTTTCCTAAAGTGAGTGCGAATAGTCCAATAATCGAGTTTTATGAAAAATCTGCTGACTAAGGTCCTAGAATTTCCAAAAGCGTGGGGGTCCTACTTCACATGTCATGTCGGCAGACAAACCATCTACTCGTACATGTAACATATACAGCCAGAATATTGGAACCTCACCAGCGCATCCCACCGGGGAAACACCGCGTCCGAGGTATCATATTCTTCTTCACGAGCGACGAGATAAATCGCGGAACCATCAGTCAAAACCTGCCATATCACCCATGTCTTCTTGCCAGCTTTAGCTCTCTCTTCCTCCCTCTCCTGCCGACAAGCATCATCGCCATGGAAAAGTACAGCCAGTTTCGCGATCGAGGTAACGCCACACACCACGTTCGGACATGTGTCCACAATATGCGACACCCAATCTGACAAGAATCCTAGGCACGGGCATCGCGCCCTTCCTCCCGGTGACGACCCCGCTGACGGCCTTCTCGGCCGTGACACACACACTCCTCTTCCTCTTTCGACTGCCTTTCTTCATCGCCTACGTCGTGAGCTACTTCTTCCTCTTCCACTGGCTCCCTCTCCCCGTCGTCGCGCGAAAGGTGGCCCTCTGGGGCCTCATGGCCATCCCAGGCATATGGTGGGTTGACTTGCAGCTGGATGGGGTGAAGCGGGGCACCTTGGCGGACCAGCCGCGCGACCGCTTCCCCCACCCGGGGTCCGTCATCGCCGCCAACTTCACCAGCCCCATCGACCCGGTGTATTTGGCCGCCATCTTCGACCCCATCTTCACAGTGTCGTACCCTGGCACGCGCCTGGTTCAGAACGTCGGCCTGCTGGGCGCCATCTCCAGGGCCCTGGGTGCTGTCCGCACTGAGCCCCCGCCCATGGCACGCCTCGTCACCGTCGAGCACCTCCTCCATCTGTACCCGAGCCGCGTCATCGCCGTGTTTCCCGAGTGCGGTACCACCAACGGCAGGGCTATCCTGCCCTTTAGCCCCTCGATCCTGACCACCCCGCCCGACGTGCACATCTTCCCCGTCAGCCTGCGATACACGCCTCCGGACGTCACCACCCCTGTTCCGGGACAGTGGCTGCGCTTTGTCTGGAGCCTTCTCTCCCGCCCTACTACTTGCGTTCGCGTCCGCGTTGCAGAGGGTCAGCTCAACTCGTCCACTGCCCTGGACAATGGCGCTTCCTCGGCCCTGGCCTCATCTTCCTCCGCCACCAGCCGGGCCGCCGAACCGGAGCTTTCGGCTAACGAGCGCAAGGTGCTCGACCGTATCGGTGAGGCTCTCGCTAGGCTCAGTAGGGTCAAGCGGGTCGGCCTTACCATGAAGGACAAGGCCGAGTTCAGTGCCGCCCTCAGAGGGAAGAAGAGAGCCTGATGAGTACGGCCGTGTGATTCCTGGTTCTTTTCAGGAGTTCTTTTTTTTTGTGCAATTATGGCCTGATGGGTCAGGGCGTTTCTTTTTTTTTTTAGGCAATGCATTACAGGGTCTGTTGTTGTTTGGGGAACGCAAGATATGTTTATCTAGATATATGGCCTCTTTAGACGGCCGCCAAAAGGAAAAGAGAAAGAAGAAGTCATGGGTAGATTGAATATTTGTTTATTCATTTGAAATGTGAAGGGAACCAGAAAGAATTAAAAAAACAGTATATTAAACAGACGAGCGCCAATCCCCCCCTCCTTTTTTTTTTACTGGTGGCATCTGTCCTCCTCCCCTCCCTCCGTCCATGTTACAAATAAGTACTTTTTTTTATTCCCGAATTTTCCTTTCTTTTTCTTTGCTAAAGAGTCAGACGAGTTCATCTCACTCCTCGAGCTTGCCGTCGGTGACACAGCCAGAGCTGGCATCGCTGACGAGGCTAGCGTACTTCTTGAGAGTACCGCGGTTGTAACGCAGAGGGGGTTTAACCCAGGCGGCCCTGCGCCTGGCCATCTCCTCCTCGGGCACCTCGAGATCGACGACACGCTTCTCGGCGTCAATGACGATGCGGTCGCCATCCTCGACGAGACCGATGGGACCACCCTCGATGGCCTCGGGGACGACGTGGCCGATGATGAAGCCGTGGGAACCGCCGGAGAAGCGACCATCGGTGATGAGGGCGACGTCCTTGCCCAGACCGGCACCCATGATGGCGGACGAGGGCTTGAGCATCTCGGGCATGCCGGGACCACCCTTGGGGCCGTCGTAGCGGATAATGACGACGGTGTTCTCGCCCTTCTTGATCTCGCCGTTCTCGAGGCTGGTGATGAAGTCGGGTTCCGAGTTGTAGACGCGGGCCTTGCCCTCGAAGCGCGTGCCCTCCTTGCCGGTGATCTTGCCGACGCAGCCACCGGGGGCGAGCGAGCCGCGCATGATGGCCAGGTGGCCCGTCTTCTTGATGGGGTTGTTCAGGGGACGCAGGATGTCCTGGTCCTTGGGCATGTCGGGGGCAGACTCGACGTTCTCCTTCATGGTCTTACCGGTGACGGTGATGCCGTCGCCCTTGATCAGGCCCTCCTTCAACAGGTACTTGAGCAGGCCGGGCGTGCCGCCGATGCGGTGCATGTCGGCCATGACGTACTTGCCCGAAGGCTTGAGGTCGGCGAGGAAGGGGGTGCGGTCGGTGACGGCCTGGAAGTCATCAATAGTGAGCTTGATGCCGACGGAGTGGGCGATGGCGATGAGGTGCAGGACGGCGTTGGTGCTGCCGCCCAGGATGGTGACGACCACCATGGCGTTCTCAAAGGCCTGGCGGGTCATGATGTCTGAGGGGCGGATGTCCTCCTTGAGGATGTTGCGCATGGCGGGACCGACGAGGGCACACTCGGCCTTCTTGGACGGGTGCTCGGCAGGGTTGCTGCTGCTGCCGGGGAGGGTGAGACCGAGGGTCTCGATGGCCGTGGCCATGGTGTTGGCCGTGTACATGCCTCCGCAGGCGCCGCCGCCGGGGCAGGCGTTGCGGATGATGTCGAAACGCTCCTCCTCGGTGATCTGTCCGGTGATGTACTGTCCGTACGACTGGAAAGCAGAGACGATGTCGATGGTCTCGCCCTTCTTGCTGCATCCAGGAGCGATGGTACCACCGTACACCATGATGCTGGGACGGTTGACACGGCCCATGGCGATGGCCACGCCGGGCATGTTCTTGTCACAGCCAGGCAAGCTGACGTTTCCGTCGTACCACTGACCCTGCATGACAGTCTCGATGCTGTCGGCAATGATCTCGCGGCTCTGCAGGGAATAGCGCATACCCGTCGTGCCCATGGAGATACCGTCGCTGACACCGATGGTGTTGAAGCGGTAGCTGATGAGACCGGCGTCGCGCACGGACTTGGCCACCAGCCCAGACAGATCCATCAGGTGCATGTTGCACGGGTTACCCTCGTACCACACCGACGAGATACCCACCTGGGCCTTGTTCATGTCCTCCTCGCTCAGGCCAGTGGCGTACAGCATGGCTTGCGAAGCTCCCTGTGACTTGGGTTGGGTGATGTTGGATGAGATCTTGTTAAGGCCCGACGCCTTGTCTTTGTCATCGGAGCTGCAGCGGGAGGGCGTTATCGAGAAGAGGCGGCTGAGGGAGGAGCATAGGGGTTAGCGTCATGGTCGAGATTTTGCGTAGATATACCCATGGCACAAGAATAGAGAGAGGGGGGAGGAGAGAGAGAGAGAGACAAACCTAGGGGTCCTCATGGACAAGCTGGATTTTTTCGACCAAATCCCCCGGGCAGCAGCGCCCAGGCGGACAGACCGGGACAGCATGACGGCTAGAGGCAGCGGCGGTGACTTTGTGATGATGGAAAAGAGTGGTATGAAGGTTCAGTCTTGAGAGTGGGACAGACAAAAAAGAAACAGAAAAAGTCAATGGGTCCCGATCGCAACTGCACTCGTCGTCTATGGAGAAATTGACGAATTACAATGGGATGGCGGGATGTGGGCTCGAGGAGTGGTGGGTAGTGGTAAATTGTTGTAGGGTGGTGTATGGTGTGTGACAGGATCAGCAGTTCTCAGGATAATAATTTCTGACCCGAGATCGGGGGTTTTCCTTACAAATTCCCAAATTCTTTACCAGGTTCAATCCTTACCGTATTCGGCTTAATCAATTGGTGGCCATGACAATGGCCCTAGCGTTATTGGCTGCAGAGTTGCGACTTCGGGAAACGGCTGAGTCGAAACGTATGATGCCAAGGGTCCGGATTTTACGGACGTCACGGGTATTATGACTGGCTCGATTATCATGTCGGTCCAGTTACATTGGTAACTTCAGTCTCTCAGTCTCGAAGGCATCGAGTTCTGACATGAACTGTTGATGAATCCAAGAATACACGCAAGACGAGACGCTGGAACCTGTCCACCACCACTCTCAAGTTTGCCAGCATACCCTGTACACATTACGATGAATTGAGACAAGTTATTTTTCTCGAATGCAATGACAGAAGAATGTCGAGCAGGACTTTTGGAATAAATGAAAGATGCACACGGATGCATACGGTTGTCCATGATTTTCGTCCACAGCAGTTCTTGAGCACTGGTTCTCCTGCCTTATTGCTGTCACTCTCATCGCTGTTGTCGTCATTGTCTGGGAGGATATGGACTGGTAGAAAACGGGCCGACAGACATACAGCAGCACCCCGATGTTGATCACGGTTAATAGTCGATCATGTCCCCAGTGCCCTTTGCCGTATCAGCTTCCAAGGTCAGTCTCTCCCGTGCTCGCTCCGCATCAGTGGCGTTTGTTATGTGCAACCGGCTAATCAATTGGGGTTTTCTTAACGGCTCTGAACACGAGGGGCATCTCTCGTCCCGCATTGTATTACTCCAAGATTCCTCGCCATATTTACTCCTTTCTTGACGGAGCCTCATCCGGCTTGCCGTCGGCTGACTTTCCCTCGCTCTCCTTGGGGTCCTTCTCACTCCTCTTTCTGAAAACCTCATCAATGACACCCAGTTCTAACGCCTCCTCGGCGCTGAGGTACTTGTCCCTCTCCATCATGTCGTTGACCTCCTCGAGCGAATACCTGTCGTGGCCTTTTGCCGTGTTCAGGTGGTGCTGCATGATACGGTTCGACTGATCGCGTATGCGCTGGATCTGGTTGGCGTAGATGAGAATGTCGGAAGCCTGACCGCGCGTGCCTCCAAGGGGCTGATGGATCATGATGGAGCTGTGCGGGAGGGCGCAGCGCTTTCCTGGCTCGCCGCCCGCCAGGAGGATGGCGGCCATGGACGCGGCGCCGCCCACGCAGACGGTCGACACGGGGGACTTGATGTAGGTCATTGTGTCGTAGATGGCCATGCCTGTACGCCGCAGTCAGTATCGGCGATTGCCCGACTTGCAATTTTTTTCTGGGACTCTATCAAAGGCAGCGAGGTTCGTTCCTGGGCCATGCATGTCATACCAGATGTCACGGATCCGCCCGGAGAGTTTATGTACATGGTAATTGGCTTGTCGGGCGTGTCGGATTCGAGCCACAGTAGCTGGGCGACGATGGAGGCCGACATGTAGTCATTGATCTCGCCATTGAGGCAGATTATGCGCTCCTAGAAGGGTACCGGTTAATTGCTTTCATCGGTTCATTCGTGTCGAGTACGGTACGTACCTGTAGTAGCTTGGAAAAGATGTCCCCTGGTGTTTATCAGGTCAGTGCGTGCCCGGAAATCGACGATGGTCGGGCCGTATTACATGTCTTTCTGCCCTGTGACTGCGAGCCTGTTAGCTATATCGTCCATGGGATCACGTGTATTGGGAAGATCGACGTACTGATGTCTCCTCAATGTATGGCATGGGAATGTAGTCCATGGCAGGCGAGCTACTGCTGTCTCCAGACCTGCTAGAGTGGCCAAATGCACGAGCAGAGTGCGCACGGGCGGCGCAGCGCAGAGGTACTGCCCGTAAGGAGGATGTTAACCTGAACATCTCGGTGATCTATATCTGCGCGCAGAGCCCGTCAATCCGCTTGATTCCCTGATGACGCGAGGCTGCGATGATGGATGGTCGTGTGGTGTGTGGTGTGGTGTGGAGATGGCAATGGTGCCTGCGTTGCTTGGGGAGCTGTGGAGCGTGCGTCATTGGCGGTGCTATGGCCTCAGGCTTCCGTCTTACCCCCCCCCCCCCGGTTGAATCGTTGGTCCATTCTTTTCTGCGCTCCCAACCTCTCACTACATAATTGCTTAAGCAACACGACACACAACAGACAGTCTTGTCTAGATCGCCACACCCTTGATGAAGCGGTGCAGAACAGCCGCTTCGGTCCTGCGGCCGGGCGCGCAATTCAGACGATGGGCATCATACGATAAGGCTTCCCTGACAAGGGAAGAGCTCCTGCGACAAGTCCAAGCCGACCTGGACAAGTCTATCCGCGTCGACGCTGAGGCCAAGACAATATCGACTTCGGCGGGCGACCTGCCCATATCACCCGTTTTTGACCCGGCGTGGATTCAATCGCGACGGCGACAGCGCAAACCCGACGCTGGCAAGCCCACGGGCAGGTTCCGCCGGAAACTAAGGCTTAATCCATACGGTACAACTGCCCTAATCAAACCCCCTCCCCCAATCTCGCATGCATGTTCGCTGACAGGAATCACAGCTCGAGCATTAGCCACGCCGATACGAACATGTGCATTCACCGACACTGCTCTACCCCGCTACTTCCTCCAGGATATCGAGATTGTGAGCCACCCTACTACGGGGAAACCGTGGTACGCGCCCGGACCGCTGGCCTTTGACCGCGTACGACCGATACACTACCCCACCGAGGGCGGGGAACACACGGGCATGAGAAACGAGGGCGGGAAATCGACAGAGGGCTTGGAGGAGGGTGGCGACATGTCTAGCAGCACAGAAAGGGCCCGTCCTCACAGAGCCCCCCTAACGGCTTACACCCTCAACCGCAAAGACATGCTGGACCGGCTAGGTCCGGGAAGCAAATTGCTAGGCCAGCTATTCGGCCCACGCAACGGGACGGCCTGGTCACCCGAGCTGCGCAGGGCCGTCTGGCGCGCCGACATGGGCGACACGATCCTGGGTATGATGCGCCGCCTCGTCGTGGACGCGCTGGTCGACCGTGCTACCGGTGCCGATCTCACCAAGTTCGTCGAGCCGGTCGAGGGTGGGTGGGATGCCGTGGGGAAAGTGGATAGGCGACAGAGCGTTCTCTGGATTCCGTCGCAGCAGCAGGAAGGAGGCACGGGGGAGAAGGTTCTGAGATACCCTACAGTCGACGTGCCCGGGGCGAAATATAACGGCAAGATGGCGGTATATAACCTCAGCAGTCTACTAGGAGAGGAAGAGATTGTCAGGTTGAGAGCCAGTGCGCCAGAGGTGTTTTGCGAGGGGAAGGAGCTGTTTGTTCTCAAGTCTTGGGGTAGTCAGAGCATGGTGAATCTTCATCTGCTCCTCTGGCGGCTGGAGGGATATCTGGCACCGACTCCTCCACTGGGAAATGCCACCAAGAAGGATTCGGATAGAGAGAGGTGAGGGATGACCTGGGGTTCGTTCCCGTTCTTGTATGATAATGTACATTACCTCTTGGCATCTAGTACTATATAGAAAAGTCATGGATAGAAAACCCGGTTCTGCCGCGTATAACGCCAATGATACAAATTTACGCTCATGATACTAATAACCTATACATGCCACCGGTCCAACAACGCCAAAACGTCCATGACGGTAACCCGGCATCACAGCGACGGCGCAAAGTTGAAGCCAACAATCCCCTGAGCAACAGTGTTCTCCTCGGAGGCCACGGGTCCAGAGCAAAGGGACACGCGACGTCCGATGATGCCCTCGCCTCCAACCCCGACAGCCAGCGGGCTATCAAGCTCAAACTCGACGTGATCTTTGCTCATGGCAGCGGGGAAAGCGAATTGTCGAAAGAGGCCGCAGTCGCCCTGGTGGGCGCGCAGGTCTCCGGTGGAACTGGTTCGATCCAGAGTGTAAGCAACGAAGGAGAACACAACGAGGAATAAAAGAGAGAGAGAGAGAGAGAGAGAGAGAGAGGACATACTGTATCACTACATGCAGGCTAGATAACCTGGTCAGATCAGGGCAGTCTCCCGTGGGGGTAAGTCTGGCGTGTGTTGCGCCGACGCTGGTGGGGGATCCGGGTGTGTGGAAGGCGAGATCGGCATTGATGCGCGACGAGGTGATTGGGCTGAGGACGGCGAGGGCACCGCCACGGGGACGATTTGAGTTGTCAGGGCCGCACATCCTGTTCATGTATCGTATCGTTGATGGGCAAGAGAAGAGATGTAGACATGAGGTTTAGAGAAGGAATGGCTTTAGCCCTTTTTAAACATGACTTTTTTTTCAACGGTGAGCAGCAACAACAGCACCTTGCTGAAACGCGCTTGTCCGTGACTACGGAGTACGACTGCTGCCACCGCCACCCTCGACGACGATACCTTCTCAATTCTCCCTCATTCCCTCGCAAGTATCGTTCCTCAATACGAGGAGCTCGATCACTTCTCTGTTGATATCGATTGCGCAAGGAAGGCACAGCGGGACCTTGATGGTTCGGGATACCTTGAGGGACAGCGACGTAGTGAGGGGCAGCCAATGGCCGTGGACGGTTTACTAGCGCCCCTGCCACATACGGCAATCAGGGTGCTGAGCAAGTTTGAGAGAAAATGATCGGATATTTGGCTTCTTTTGTTTCTCAATAATAAGAGCAGGGAACATCTTCCACACTCTACCTCCGCATTCCTTTTCCTATCCATGCTCTTCTTGTACGAGAAGAACGAGCGCATTGTTTGAGAATTGAAGCAGATTTGAGCGTATGAATGAAGGAATGGATGAATGTCGTTTGTCTCCGTGTTTTGACCTTGATTTCGTCAGTATAAGAATGTCCGTCCATCACGTATGTTAGGCTTTACATATGCAGAGACACATGTGCTTTATAATACAGATCACGACTTTCTACCTTGACAATGAATGAGGGGTTGATTACCTTCCCTTTATATAAGCAACACAGGATGGGGAATAGCAATACGTCAGAGCGCAAGCCCTTCGACTGCGAGGAGGCAGTGAGCAGCAGCAACAGCAGCAGCAGCAGTAGCGAGACAGACCAACCCCTCGTTTCTCCTGCCCTGCTACCCCTACCTCTACCCCTCCCCCTCCCCCTCCTCCTCTTCCTCTTCTTTCTATTTCTCTGCTATTCCTCCTGTCATTTATACCTCTTTCTTGAATCTTGTAATCCTTCCTTTCTCAACACATCTCCTTCTTCTCTTGCCCCATAACAGAGCAAAGCCAGGCCCAAGAGCACTCGCCATCATGTCCGTCACAACCTATACTCTCCCTCCTCTCCCCTACGCCTACAATGTACGTCAGAAACCTCATCTCACCGGTGACCGCCATGCCCTGACAGCCTGACTGACCTGAACTCAAAGGCCCTGGAACCCAGCATCTCGGCTCAGATCATGGAGCTCCACCACTCCAAGCACCACAACACGTACGTGACGAACCTCAACAACGCCCTGAAGTCCTACTCAAGCGCCATCGCTTCGTCCGACATCCCGGCCCAGATCGCTCTCCAGTCGGCCATCAAGTTCAACGGCGGAGGACACATCAACCACTCCCTATTCTGGGAGAACTTGTCCCCCGCCTCATCCTCGGACGCCGACCCCGACACCTCAGCCCCAACTCTCAAGGCCGAGATCACGAAGGTTTGGGGTGGACTCGACCAGTTCCAGGCCTCCTTCAACAAGGCCCTCCTAGGTATCCAGGGGAGCGGATGGGGCTGGCTCGTCAAGGACGCCCAGGGCCTGCGTATCGTCACGACAAAGGACCAGGACCCCGTCGTTGGCGGCGAGGTCCCCATCTTTGGTGTTGACATGTGGGAGCATGCTTACTACCTTCAGGTACAGAAACCCCTTTTTCAATCTTCTATCGAAGAACCACCCCCCCCCCCCCCCCCCCCCCCCGAGACATGTGGCTAACACTCGGACAGTACCTAAACGGCAAGGCTGCCTACATCGATAACATCTGGAAGGTCATCAACTGGAAGACGGCCGAGGCACGTTTCAAGGGATCCGCAGACGATGCCTTTAAGATTCTCAAGGCTGCTCTGTAATTGCGTTGACGGGGTTTGTCTTCTGCTAGTCCCCAGAAGCTAGGCGGTTAGTCAGAGAAAACAATGATGGCCGTAATACAATTGAAAACAGAGTTCAGTTTCCATTCACTCCGTTCCATCACTCCGTACTCCTCCGTTCCGTTCCGTGCTACTTCAACTTCCTAGCGCGTGTCGTGTACGGCGAATGTCCAACAGCGGTTAGCGTTAGACGATTCATGTCCACGTCACTTTTCCTTTTTTTTTTTTTTCCGCTCTTCATTTTGTTGCCACTGCTAGTCATTGAACACTCTGGTTACTCGCCATTTTTGGGATTGATTTAGAGCCAAAGAATGTTGATTGAAAAAAAAAAGGTGGAAAAAAAAAGAGTCATAAAGAAGTCTCAATGACAATTTAGTCATCCTTTGTCATTTCACTGATGGAGAAAGAATGAGGAAGAGTTTCTGTAATCATGAAATCTATGTCATTTTGCTCATTTGTGGCAATCTCTAGCCATCAATCCATCAATCCTGATTCCTAAACATAGGAGATAAAAAAAAAGGTATAAACAAAAAAAGGAGAAAAAAAGAAGAAGAGAGCAAGATATAGAAAAAGAGAACAAAAGAAAAAAAAAACATCTATGCTTCTCTATATGTCAAATCATGATATGGGGAAGCTTTCCGTTCCCAACTTTGTTGTTGTGTGTATGTCTCCACGGCCTGATCAGCGGTCTAAAACCAAGACGCGCGCGTGTAGTAATTCAAAGTGCGGTGTGCTTTTGTCTTTCTGTGAGCAATCTTCTTACTCCTGCTTCTTGCCCTCGGAAAGGGCAATGACAGCCCACTTTCCGTGCCAGGCCCACTTCCTGGCGCCGGTCTCGATATCACCAGCAATCTTCTTGAGCTCCTCGTCCTGACCGGGCTTGAGGCCAGTGACGACGTCAGCCTTGCAGGTGCGCAGGGACATGACATTGATGCCGGAGTTGCGGCCCATGGGACCGATGGCGTCGGGGTAGGGGGTGGTGGGGTCCCAGAGAGCGTCACCGGTCAGCTTGCGGTAGTTGAGGTCACCCTTGAAGATGACGAGCTCAGCATCCTTGAGGTCCTCGTACAGGTCGGGGGCCTGGTGGGGCAGACGCCAGAAACTGCCGCCGGTGGTCCAGTAGCGGTGGGGGCGGAGGACAAATTCGCCTTCGACATGGTGCTGGGTCCAGTTCTTGAAGACGAACTCCATGTTCGCAGCCTCTTCGGCGGAGAGAGGGGCAGGGGTCTTGCCCTGAAGCTTATCGTCGTCGCTGGGGGTCTCGAAGAAGGTCTTGGCGTTCGAGATGACGTCGAGGGTATCCTTAAAGTCCCGGGGGGTCACGTCGGAGACGAACCACGGCATGGACTTGGGGCGGAAGACAATGTGGGTGGCCAGGCCGGTGGAGAGGAGGAAGCCGGCGAGGACAAGGTCGACGTAGAGCTCAAAGCCGGCGTTGTCAAGGACGAAGTCGACGCGGCGCTCGGCCTTACCCTCGGCGCGGGCCTTGGCAAGCAGGTCATAGACGCGGGGGAGGTCGTTGAGGACAATGTTCTTCTCAGCCCTCTTGCGGGCCTCAGAGCCCTGCATGTTCTTGATCTCCTCGTACGACATGTTGGCCAGGAGGGTCAGGTCAGTAGCATTTCCCCACAGGCAGACCTCGAACATCTCGTTGAAGAGAATCTTCTCGGCCTCGGGGTCGTGGGTGGCATCCTTGTTGGCCTTGATCTCCTCAACCAGCTCGCGGTAGCGGGCGGCGAGCTCCAGAACGGCCACGCGGGAAGTGCGGAAGGTGTCTATCTTCTGGACGGCGAAGACATCGTACTCCTGCCAGAACTTGCTGGGGCTGTTGTGGAAGAAGGTGACGACGCGGCGGTACAGGTAGCACTCAGAGAACAGCCAGTAGACATCCAGCCAGTGGGGGTTCCCACGCTGCTCAAGCTCCTTGTTGAAGACCTCAGCCTCCTGGGGGTAGAGCTTGTCGGTGATGGGACTGTCGACAGGAGTGTTAGCTACGATGTAATAGATCGGAGGGGGGTTTGGGGTGTTCGTACGTGAGTGTGCGGTCGTGCTGAACCTCGTACTTGAACTTGACGAGCTCCTCGAGAATCTTCTTGCCCTCGGCCTTCTCAGTCTCATCGGTGATCTTGGAGATGGCCTTGTGGATATCGTCGATGCAGCCAGTCTATGTGGACATATAGGTTAGCATCTCGGGTTGGACGGTCGGCAGTGTAGTAGTCAGGGAGCAGATGGAACTCACCAGGATGTGAGGGAAACGAATCAGGACAGTCTCGTGAGCGAACGATGTCTTGTCGCTGGTCATGGACTTGGCTAGCAGAAGGGAAGATATGTCAGTAAGATGAGCAACACTCTGTGCCTCTGAGGCACACAAGTCATGGAAACTTACGAATCTTGTTGTCGTACTCCATCGTGACGGTTGTTGGCGAGTGCGTGATGGGAGGGGGGTATCAAAGAAGGAGAGGACTGTGTGTGGAAAGGAGAGGTATAGAGAATGAAAGATGGAAAGACAATCGGAAACAGAATGGAGGGATGGTTTTATCTTTCCTATATACTCGCTCGACAGCCCCATGTACGGAGTTACAACTTGTTGGTAGTCCGTTACCTGTTACAAGTACGAGTATTCCTGGAGTGACTCCCATACTTTTTTTTTGGAGGGGCAACGAGGGGCTCAACGGGAGGCAGAGCCGCGATATGGCGCTAGTCATGGATAGATGCAAGAGCATGTGCACGTAAGCGGAGTTGGCTCTGGTGTGAGTTGTGGGATACATGAATTAAAAAAGGGGTTTAGTCAGAAAATGGTTAAATGAATACTAGTAAGGGAAAGAGCGACGGCTGGGTCCCCTAGACCCACATTACGTCATTACACTGAAGGTCTGAGTGGGGCGGTGTGACGGAAAGCCGCGACTGGCGACAGGCAAAAAGGGCTGAGCCTCATAATTTTTTTTTTCTCTCTCTATCTCTCGCTCCTGCAAAGCCTTGAGCCTTGGGACTTGGGGTTTCAATGTTTTCGACGGTTTCATGGCGCTTCTATGCCTTCCCCATAATAAATATCTTTTTTTTTTCCCCCATCCTCTTTCTGCTCTCGATACGCTTCCCCTGACGTCGCTATGCGCACTACTACAGGCAATATTACCTGTACACATGTACATGCGACGGCGCACACTTCTTCTTACGTCGTACGAGGATACCTTCTCCGTAACACGTCCCATCCATCCCTTGGGGCCGCAAGTCCCCTGTCCCGACTCGTTATCGCCATTTGAGGTAAACCGAAGCATGGTCTCGGTATTCGGGCTACGACGCAACGCGCATACAGTGCATTCTAACGCGGTATGCTATGTCATGCTACATGCTGCACCCCTCCCCTCGTGTCTCCCATTAAAGTAAGCCGTCGTAGACATCTTTTTTTTTTTTTTTTTTAGGGAAGCAAGGTGAGAAAAAAAGGAAGAAGAAAGAGCCAGGTAATCGTACCGCTAAGAAAACGTGCATGTCTACCTTCCAGAGCCAAGAAGATACCTGTATACATGATACCACCACCAACAATCACACCACCCAATAGTCTTTATTCCTCCCCTTTCACGCCTCAGCCGCATTATTATCTTCCTTGTCCTTCCCGTGTGTGATGTGAAGTGGTGTGAGTGTGGCTACTTCTTCCTGCTGCCATCATCTCGCTGCGGCTGCTGCGCGATTAAGTCCCGGGCCGTGAAACGAGACGAGGGAAGAAGAAGAGCCGCCCGTCGAATCATGAATCCTCAAGACATGGCGTGGCTGACTAGTAGTGGATGGTGATGGGGTGAACGAGGTACGGGTATACATGCTTGGTGTTTGGCTTCTACAGGTTACGAGCAGTACATGCCTCGTGCTAATACTGCATACATGTACGTACTCTCCTCTCAACAGTTCCTCTACTAGGAGTGTTAAATTTTCCTCACATACATTACCATACTGCCCGAGGTATGAGAGATAATAAGTTACTAGGCTGTACGGAGTAGTGGGAAGTAACAATACCCCATAAGAGTACATATGACGGGGACCCCTATGACGGCTAGTCTGGTACGGAGCGGCTACGGAGCCGGTACTCGTACTGCTGCGAGCAGCAACTGCAGAGTTACGAGTAACAGGTAGTTCCATTATAAAACATAAGACGTACTATTACGCACTACGCGCGACGTACGACGTAGTGCTACGTAGTTATGGGGGCTTTGGGTGTCAAGATGTGTGTATCCTTCGAGCGTCATTCGTCTGATAGAATGGGCCGTATGGAGACTGGTATCCATCACGGAACCAGGTTGTGCGACTTCTGTCACGAACCCTTGTGGGGGACAGAGAAGGGAGTCGAAGACGAAGATGAGGGAGGGAAGGGAAACAAGACGGGCACGGAAATCCTTGCTCCAGCCGTTGTAGGTTGAACTCGCGAGATATTCTCCCTTTTTTCTTTCTTTTTTTTCTTCAATTTCTCGCGTGATGGAGCTCACAATTTACGGAGCATTGATAATAGTACCAACGGAGTAATACCACGAGTATTACGGAGTATTGATACAGCGTACAGCGTAGTATTATTAGTGCGGGTACATCCTTACATTCATGGTACAAACCATCCTACCCATCTGCTACCCGCTTGCTGATCTAGAAATAAATGCGACAGCGGCGGCTGTCCCGGCTCCGAGAACAAAGATGCCGGCAGCAAAATTGACGACATTGACAGATGCGTCGAGTACCACGGCACGCTTCGGTCTTGTACACCTCCCCAGTGCCTGCAGATGGTCCGCGCGGAACATTCGTAGCCAGGCCAGGCACCAGAGTACGTAGAATAGATATGATCCCGGTATCGACGCCACCAAGGCGAGTACTTGAGTCAACAAGGTCAGCCACGGATCCTCCGATCTGAATGTCAGAGTTTTTTTGTCTTGTTTTTCTTCTTTCTTTGTTTTTAATTTTGTTTTTTTCTAACTTCTTGTTCCCCCCTCTTTTCATTCCTCTTGATTCTTCTTTGTGCCTGGAAAAGTTGAGGGGCGAAGACTTACAACTGTCAAATTGGGGAACGACTTTGATAATACTCCCAGAAAGTGTCCACATAAAGGCTAGATGACGAGCGTGTGCGTAAGCAAAGAAATCTGGTTGGACCGTCGAGCCGTACATCAGATGGCAATACTCTCTCAGAGGTACTCGATTGACGATAAGGACCGTAACACGACATACCTTGCATAGCCGCCCATGAACCCTGACGCTTCCACCATCTAGAGCCGGGGGGGGCCCAATCTTCCAGACGAGATGTGTGCCAGAGAAACCTGGCGAGAAGAGATCCGAACAATGCAGCCTGCCCAACCGTAGCCGGCATCATGAATATCACGACGGTGAGGCCCGTTGCCTTTCCAGGGAGCGCCTTGAAAACCGGCGACGTCATGGCTGCGGACCCCACGGCCCAGTAGCACACGGTACCGTAGCTCGCAAAGGACGCCAGCTGCACCGACAGCGAACCGGCCAGCGCCTTTGGGAAATCCCGGGGCTCCGCCATGTCGGCTATAAAGGTCGGGCAGCTGGGCTGACCGAGAAAGGCAAACGTCATGTGCAGGATTGCGAGCATCTTGGCCACGCTGTCCGAGCTACCGTTCCACCACCAATGCATCGTCGACGACGTCGCCGTTGCGGTGGCCGATGCCAACGCTGCCTCTGCACCGCCGAGGTTGGCGTGCTCCTTGGTCCCGTATCTGAGGAAGAAGGCCGTGCATAGGGGTGCGGTCAGGAGGGTGCACATCGATGCCAGGCCGATGAATCTCGACAGGAAGAGGGGCTTGCGAGGTAATGCGCAGGCGAAGCACAGTATGCCGCAGACCAGGTAGCCGATGAAGGCGCCGCCCTGGGGCAAGATGCGCAGGGCATGCTGGGCATTCGGGGAGCCTTCAATGATGACGTCGAAAATCTCGCCGCCGGCTCTGATGTGGACAGCCTATTTTCCACAAAAAATAATAATAAGAAAGTCAGCATTTCTTCTTCCTCTGATAAGAGGTCGTCATGGTTGGATACTCATCGTAGGCGGGTGCGGTCATACCAGAATAATCTGTCATCAGTCAGCAAAAGATACACAACGTCAAGATGGGGGAGGGGCATGGCAATGAAGGAAGGAGCGGAGACCTCACAAGAACGCCCAAAGCCCAAACACTAGCGGTAAACCACTGACCAAATCTCGGGCACAGCTTTCCAAACACTATCCTCCCGACGTCGGAGACGCTCCTCGCCTCAGGATGCCTCAGACACAGCTTCCAGCAGACCATAGACGTATACCAGTACATGGCGGCGATGGTGAACAGGGTCGCCATGCCCGTAGCCACGCCCAGCACCTCGAAGACTTGTGGGAAGCTATGCAGTGCCAGGCCGATGAGCTCTCCTGACATGAGAAACGTCATGTTCTTCAAGGAGAGACTAGGCCTATGGAGCTCCTCATTCTGCACTTGGGTTCTGCCGCTATCGCTGCTGTTGATGTTGCTTTTGGTGTCGCTGTTGCGATGTCGGCTCCTCTTCCGCCACGGAATGAGGAGGCTCAGCGTTCTGCCGAGGCGGAAGTTGTCTGTTGACGGGGCACGAGAGGGCGATGTCGTCTCGAACGTCGTCCAAGTCGTCAGGCTCAATCTGTCTCCGTATATGTCATCGGCCATCGTGGGGTTCCGCTCCTTCGGCCGCAGTGCAGTCAGCGCCGGTGACAGCACAGTCAGTGTCTCGATGTCGGGAACGGGACCTATGCTGCTGCTGCTGCTGCTGCTGCTGCTGCCACTGGAACCAGAGTTGGATATGTGGCAATCTTCGCTTCCCGGGTAGTGGCATCTCGCACCGATTTCAGAGTATGGACCGCCGAAGACGCCGGGGTAGCGATCGCAACGGGCTCTAACCTTGGCCCTGAGCTGTTGTAGAACAGCCATTCTGACGGAAAGAAGAGAGGCAGCTGCAATGGGACGGTCAGGTTTGGCGCCCTCATACGGCCGTATGATGGGTCCCATCACCAACACTTACTCATATGCCTTCGTGTAAGCCATTAATGGTAGTTTGGAAATGGTTGATAATGTTGTTTGATGATGCAAGTCGATGAGGACAGGTTAAGGTGTTGCTGACCAGGAGAGTCGGAAGAGAAGAAGAGGTAGCGACTTTCTGGCTGGAATATAAATACGAGTAGATATATAAGGCCACCGAGGTGGAAAGCATGTACGCAACATTTACGGCATCTGTTTGGGTTCATCTTGTTGGAAGTATGATTACTCGATCTGACTTCTGGGTCGTCGGGGGTTATGTACATGGTTTGGGAATTGTAGTCAGCCACCTGCGAATTCTTCTATTGCCGCAGTAATTTTTTTTTTTTGCGAGTACCTGTCACTTCTCGGTCTCGTCAAAGGAAAATGAGAATATTGGGATTCGACGAACAGTGAGTGGTATCGGTAGAGTACGACGGCTTTCATGATGCACCACGAGATGCTGAGACGGTGATATCGCCGGAACCTGCAAGCTACCCGAGACAGCACAGCGACAAAGAATGTGGACCTTAGTCATCATCCTTCGTCGACGGACAGGACAATATATCACAGGGCAGCGAAGTCCTACGGACTCAAGCATCATGTTTTAGTCAAAAGGTTCAATGACTACAGGGTTGAGCCTCTCGCCCGCCTTTCGGGAGAGGTTAAGCTAATACTATGGCTCTGCGTAGTCAGCAATCATTCTCACAAGACGGAATATCCTAAAAGGCTAATCCCAGTCGAGCGGGTAGGGTTGAATTGTTTTCTGACGATGCGAGACGTGGTCAATAGTCAATCACATGATCAATGCGCATCACAAAATCGTGGCCCAGTGATTTTGGAGTCGCTGGGGCGCGGGACGGACGTAGCAGCGGCGGTAAGGCAGAATTGTGGTCGTGGTATTACTCCATAGGACCCACGTATGTAGTCGGGCAAAGCTAGAATGGTGGTAATGTTTCACTGACGATATTTCTTATTGCCAGTCCAGTCTTGAGGTAACAATGGAGACAGGGCACCGGTACGGCAGCGTCGGTTTAACCGCCGTTGAGGTGCAGTGAGAATGAAGTATACAGCCGTGTAGATGGTCGAAGTCGAAGTGTATAATTGAGTGTGCATGACGAGTGCAATACTCGTAGATGATGGTTGGAGGCGGGGGGGGTGGTGTAAGGGAAGGAGCGAGGGACCAGCTCGGGGCCGACGAAGAAAACGGAACTTGCAAATGCTGATGTCACCAGTTTTCTACTCCTTGACGATGCAGGGACACTCACTACTACGGAGTACAGGTTAAAATACCTTTTGAGAAAAGGAGCATATAATAAGTCGTTTCGCTGTGCCATCTGGCCATCTGCCCGGTGCCTGATTAAGATGCAGCTGTCGTGGCTCAGCCCCGCCAAGGCATGCAGCCCGTTCCAACACAGCCAGCGTGAAACTCGACTGTCTCTGCAGTATAATACGGGCCTCGTATGCCATCGTTTTCTTCCTCTTTCTCGTTTCCATTTTGTCCCTTCTTTCTCATACATCTCTTTTGTTGGGTGACTTGTGAAGAGAAGAAAAAAAATGCCCTATATACAAAACACCCCCGAATCGCTCATCCAGCGCGCCGATTCTAAGAACCCCAGCTCAACATGTCGCGGCATCACCACGTCCGGCCGACCATGTCGCCGCCCACGGATCAAGGACAACGCTTCATCCAGTCTCGAAGGCCTATACTGCTGGCAGCACCAGGACCAGGCATCCGCCAGCCTTGCGTCGTCAACGCAGTCCAGTCCCAATGGGAAAGCGTCGTATAAGCTGCAACATCGATCCAGCCTCGAGACGCTGGCAGAACGACTGGGACTCGTCGACCTGGATGACCAGGCCACCGGCAGGCCTGACAGGCACGGGAAGAAGAAGTGCTCGGCATTCACGAAACATGAGAAGGATTCCTCTTCCAAGAGCAACAGCTTCTCATTCTGCCTGTGCGCTCCCATCGTCGAAGTAGAAGAGCCGCCGCACCCTGTCCGTCCCAGACCACATCCCATCCAACGACCGGCCAAGGACCACGACCACCACTTGCCATCTACACCGCAATCATCGCCGCCGAAAACCCCTTCCTCTGAACTGTCCATGTCGCGCATGAAACACCTCATCCCCAACGACCTAGATGCAGCTGCCGCCTCGGCACTCCTCGCCGAACTCGCAAAGCCCTACGACAAGTCCGAGCAGCCGGGGTACATATACATGTACTGGCTCACGGCCACGGGTCCGCAGTCCCCGGACGCCGCGAGGGCCATGCTCTCTCCACCCGACGTGCCCAGCAAGACTTCTTCTTCCGGCGTCAGCGGTACAATGACACTCAAGATTGGCCGGTCAGACAATGTTCAGCGTCGTATGAATGAGTGGAGGCGCCAGTGCGGTCGGGACGTCACCCTCCTGAGATTCTATCCCTATTCTCCCTCTTCCTCTTCCCCTCCTCCATCACACCCTCACTCTCACTCTCCGCCTCCGTCTTCGCCTTCGCCTTCGCCTTCGACGGTCCGCATGACTCCTCACGCCCACCGCGTCGAACAGCTCATCCAGCTGGAACTCAAGGGTAGAGGAATGAAGGCCGATATGGGGAAATGCAGTGCCTGTGGTAAGGAGCACAAGGAGTGGTTCAATGTTCCTGCGTCGAGGAGTGCAGTTGGGCTGGTTGACGGTATCATACGACGGTGGATAAAGTGGGATGAGGGTCAACTGAAAGCTTGAAGCGTCGGTCTGTGATTGTGGTCATTTTTCTCTTCTTGCTTCATCTTATTTCTTGTTCTTTCTTGCATTGTTACTATACATCATGACTGCATAGCGTTTAGACATTTACACCAATACACTGCTACCCGAATGCATTACAAGCATCAGCACTCTACTTCTGTTACAACCATGGATTTATATGCGAAAGATGAGTGATGACCCCTGTCCTCCCCATCCCATTGATACCCTGAATTGGAAGAGAAGGCAGAAGACGAGAGAGAGGAAAACAAAAAGTGAGGGAACAGAAACGCCCATCTATAACCTCTCATCAATAAATTCATGGACGAACCGCGAATCCTTAGATAGCGCACCCATGGAGCTGACGGTGACAACCGCCTCGCGGGGTGTGACGTCTGGCAGGAACCATCCATCCCTGGTGGTCGGAGGTCGTCTGGCGTCTGGCGGCGGCGACCTCGTCGCCTCCCCAGAGCCTGGCGCCGAGGCCGAGGGTGGGGTCCGACCTGAACTGAACCTGGTGTAGAAGGAGTGGCGCATGCTGACGACGGTGTCGGGGGCCGTCGTCGTCATCGCCGAGGGTGGCTGCGGCGAGACCAGAACTCCAGCGTGAGAAGCTTGCAGGCCGTCTGCTCGGCCTCATCCATCTGCGCGGGGGAGCCGTCGCGCCGCCACGAACTCCACGCGTCATCGTACCTGTCGGGCACGGCCTCGAGGATGACGCCGAGCAGGTCGGCGGCCGGCGGAGGGGACGTTGTGGTTCTGGCCGGCAGCGGAGACGGATCGAATCCCCGTCGAACGACGAGGCCTCACTGCTACCACCGCCGCCCACTATGTTTCACTCGTCGTTTTCCATGTTTGACAGGATGTGTGTGTTCCACCAGGCAGTGCTCCCCGTCTTCCTCTTCTCCTTCTTTCTTCTCCTCCTCTCTAAGAGTCATGTGAATGATCTAGAGATGGAACGGAAAAGCAAGCTCGTTGAAAAAGTAACCAGGTGGCGGCAGAGACCTTGTTTCTCTTCAGTGCTTCCAGGGTGTTTCCTTGTTTTCAAATGGCTTCTACATGAATAGGCATCTGATCACGTCACTTGTGGAAGGACAGATAACCGTGAGAGAGAGTGTGTTGTTCCTTCTCTGCCAGTGACGGTCGACACGCTCATCACTCATACGACAACTCCCCCCCCCCCCCCCCCCCCCCCCCCCCCCCCCCCCCCCCCCCCCCCCCCCCCCCCCCCCTCCTCCTCCTCTTCCTCCACGTTCCATCCTCTTGTCAATCTTCCTTCCCAGCCTTCTCTTGATCACGAGGAGGAAATACGGACGGACTTGTATACGTACACAAACATATGAATACCTGGAGTGACGCAGAGCACGACATCATTCAGAGGAGCAAGAAAAGGAGAAGAGCAATTTCCAATGCAGTGAAGGGGGAAAACGAAAACTTGCCATAGTAAAATTCATCACCACCAGCTCCTGACCTAACATCTCTCTCTCCACTCTCCCCTCCCCCCCTTTAAATGATCAGAATTTCATGCACCCGTTTTCCTTTCCTGGCCCTTATAAATACTCGATCCTTATCCTGCACCCCTTGACCTCCTGTTTCGTCCGCCCAGGCGACCCAAGATCCAGCCGTGGGTCAACACACAAAAAGGAATCCGGAAAATCAAAACTCCAAGTTTGGTTTCTCGTCTCTTCTTCTCTTCCTGTTTCTTTTTTTTCTCTGTGCAAAAAAAAAAAAAAAAAGGAAAAAAGGAGGCAACCCAAGAAAGACAAGAGAGAAAAAGACGTTGATAAAAAAGGCACAAAAATCTACATATATCCACAATGAATTCCTCCGTTGTATACCTTTCCCCAGAGGAAGATAACAGACAGGAAGGAAGAGTGTGTAAGCTGCAAAGGATCTGTGTTACCCGGACCATCACCTCGAGTTGTTGCCGAAATCCACCTCTCGTTCCGGTAGACGCTTCTTGTCTTTCCTCCCCTTGATGACAAACTCGGACATGATCTGGATATGATCAGCGGGGAAGTGCCAATACGGGAAGGCAGGTATTCTCGACAGATATTCCGGATCCGGTGAGCCCAGCACGCTGACCACCTCGAGTGAGTTCGTCGTGTACCAGATGTAGTCGATGACGTCGGTGAAGCCGGGTGTGTAGTTTGTGAAGCGCAGCTCGTCAGCCGTCCTCTTGATGTGGGCGTACGAGTCGCGGATGCTGAACGGATGCTCAATGCCGTCGCGCGTGAAATTTCCGTATTGATAGCTGGACAGCTCCAGGTGATCCGGCGGCACCCGACCCTTAGCCATGAGGTCGTACACGGACGAGTCCTCGGTCGAGTTGAAGTCGCCGCACACGAATAGCGGAATGTCCGTGCCCGCCTTGTATTCTTGGCTCGGGCCCGGTTCGGCTTGGGGTGGGGGCGTCTCTGCACCGTCCGACCGCGGGATCGTAATCATCTTCTTGTCCTTGACGGCCGGCCACTGCGCATATTTATCCGCCATCTTGGCGACGTGCTCCATCAGGATGCCCGTCTGGATCACCTTGACGTCGGCCAGAGCTATGTCCCAGGTAAGGTGCACGTTGACCAGGATGATGCGCGCGCCCGTCAGCCTCGACTCGAAGAAGCAGATGACGGCAATGTTGTCCTTGGGCATCACCCGGTTGAAGACGTCGTGCTGGTTCTTCATGTCGGGCCGGTTGATGGCGATGCTGGCAAACTCCACCACCTGCTTGTCTAGGAGAATAAACTTGGTGTTCTTGTAGAAGACGGCGCATCCGTCCACCGACTGCGCGTCCCGCTCTGACATGGTCTTGGCCCTCGACTTGGGCCAGTGCACGCCCTTGTAGTCCATGCGTGCCAGCGGTGGGCTCAGGTCCTCCTTGAAAGCGTCCGTCGACACCTCCTGCAGCGCGAGGAAGTCGGCATCCTTGTCCCGCAGCTCCTCCAGGATGCACGCGCGTCGGTAATCCCAGTTGAGCGCGTCCGATGGCGTGTATCCGTATGTCTGCGGCGTCGCGTACTTGTCGCAGAGAATGTTCCACGAGAACACCTTGATCCTCTCCAGGCTTGGCGACACATCCTCCTGGATGATGATTTCTGGTCTAGGCGCGGGTACAGGGGGGGCTGGCAAGAGGTCAGTAACTACGCCGCGAGGGCAAGGACGAGCGTAGGATGCTTACCGGGAGCACTCTCCTTCAGGGTGTTTATGATGCTCTTTGTCCCCTTCTCCACAATCTCGTGCTTGTAATTGCCCTCAAGGGGATTCCCCTCTATGCCTAGCATCTCCAGCATGTGCAGAGATCCTAGCTCGAAGGGGAGCTCGGTGATGTTGTTGTTGAAGAGCAGTAGCTGCTTGAGGTAGGTACACATGCCCAGCTCGGCGGGCAGTTCGTGGATCTGGTTGTAGGAGGCGTCGAGGTGGCGGAGCTGGCGGAGCTCGCCAATCTGTTTCGGGAGGCGGGTCAGCTTGTTGGACGCAATGTACAGCTCGTTGAGGAACTGGTAGCGGAACAGCTCGGGAGCGAGGTTTCGCAGGCCCTGGCCCGACATGTCCATATTGTGCCAGTCCTGTCGCCTCGTCTCGGCCGAGTCGTATGGCCGCCGCCTGTCAACGAGGTCGTTCTCGTTGTCTGCCTGCATGCGGGAGGATGATGGCGGGGGGCCACCGATGCCCTTATTTTCCGAAGCCTTGAGCCGGGCGTAGTAGTGCGGCTGCTGCTGATCCGTCATGGCCGAATGGGCCCTCTCGGCCTCCTTGTGCAGCCGCATCTGCTCCGACCACATCTCGTTGGGAGGATTCTGGGCCACTCTGGATGCCGCGCCATGGCCATTCGTCAGGCCGGCAACAAAGGGAGAGGAGCTAGTCATGGCAAAGGCACCGTGGTGCCCGCCGAGGCCGTTAGCGCCCGAGAGGCCATGGTCAGTCTGTGCGAGGCCCTGGTGGTGCTGGGCCTGGGAGGGGTGTTGATGTTGCTGATAGTTGTACATCATGTTTGGGATGCCGCGTCCGGCACCGTTCAGCCGGGCGCCATGGCCCTGCTGGTGAGTTTGAGAGTACATTCCAGCAAAGGGTGGGCAGTTGTATTGATTTCCGATGGGCGCGCCGAGTAGCGGGTTGGGTTATTATGAGTCAAGCAGAGTGGCAATGCACCAGAAGGCGGCACCGCTCGGCGTAGGTAGAAGACGCTATTTTCGGACCACGAGGAGCGGCGTCGGGCATCTGTCACTGTAGGCGCTTCGTGGGTGGTGGGGAGAGGACGAGGTCGCGGCGGCTGACAATCGGGTCGCGACACGCGCCTTCTCTCACGACTGGGTGAACGAGGTCAAGGGCAGCAGTAAAGGTTCGTCCTGGCACATGGGCACGAGAGGATGGATGACCCTGCATGTGCGAGTGCTTTCGAGTAGGGCGGGGGGTTCGGTTGTGTACTCGAGCTGCCGAGGGTTCTCGAAGGCTCAAGAAGATATTGTTGGTTACAGGCGTTGTATGTGGGTGTCGGAGTTCTGATGGTCTGGTGAATAGAATAAATCGGAAATAATACGAGCTCGACCGTCGTTGACTCAGTGATATTGTGGTGTAACGGTTCTGTCTACGAAGGAAGATAGATGTTAGCTTGAATTTTGGCGTTGGTCTCGTGCCGCAACAAGCTTTGCGAATCCTGTCGAGATTTGGTGAACCAAGGGAGAGACGATGCAGTGAGAGGGCGGGGGCAGCAAAGACACCAAGAGGGAGGGGCCAAGAAGGGCAAACACGAGACGCGGAAGAGAGTAAACGTACTCGAGAGCGGATGACGATGCGCACAAGGCGTGGATAAGCGCTGAAGCTAATAAAGGGAAAACTTGATACTGAATTTTTTTTTGTGTTTGTGTGTGTGTGTGTGTGTGTGTGTGTGAGTATGCGAGGACAGGTGCCGATATCGTGGTGAATCAATCATCAGAGGTTGGCTAAATGAAGACGAATTCGGAACGCCACCAAAGCAGCAAACTCCGGGACATCTGATACTCCGCATATCGGATCACGTGAATGGCTACTGGCAAGCCGCACATTAGCTACTTGGCCATTCCTAAGCCACAGGGCATCAAGCCACGAATGACTTTAAGCTTGCCCCTCTTGTCATCGAGTGGCTGCCTGGCATCATCACCGTTGACATCACCAGCAGCTTCGTTCATTCACCAGGACAATGGCGAGGAAGAGTAGACGACATCCATCCTTCTATCTGCGTGCCTCGAGCTCAGAGTTTATGGGAATTCATCACATACGCCATGGCTCAGAGCCTGTCAGTTTCTCCTCAAAGAAGACCAACCTGCTTGGCAATGCTTGACCTAGCATGAATCCGACCTTCCACACTCGGGACTTCGACGGGAATCGCCCTTACCTCGTATCGGTTGGGTAAGTATCTGTGAAAGTCATACCATACGGATATCGCCAGCCGGCTACGTGATCTATTCGGTGACTCGCGTCCGTCGCAATCATCATGCTCGAACATTGTACAACCCTCTCGGCCCAGGAAACAACAGCACATCGTATGGGCTCCTTCAGCCTTCATCTACATGTGCCGTACCGGGTTTTCTGGACGCAACTGAGGAGCATGCAGGGTCAATCACCTGGTCCAGGCGTAACGTGCTTGACCCTCGGTGGCAGGACCTCTTCACGAGCAGTGTCCTGCGCAGTGCCCTGTGCAGTGTATTACGTGTGGGCGTTGGCCCCGAGCATGGTCTGGGCACCATCGGCATCACATCATCAAAGACCACGATGTGGCGTGTGCTCCCACAGCAATACCGGGGTCTGTATCGAGGTGTAACGTATGGTCCATCACAATCCACCACAGGTCGATTCGCGCGGTATTACCAGTATGCGATATTATATCCCTCCCCGCAACGGGAACGATTCGGCGACCATGATTCATGGCTAAAGCGCAGCATTGACGTATTGTACATCCACTCATCGCATGCACCCCATCCGAATGCCATGACGCATCAGGCGTCGAGAGCAGAGAAAAGTCAACAGATCCCCGGTAATCGAATCCTTCATCATGCCACTCAGCACCGGTATGTTCGCATTGGCCGGGGCGGACTTGGGGTACAGATGAACTCCACGGCACACGCATCACGCCCCCCTTGGTCTGGCCGGGCTCTGCTATGTTGCTATACGGAGTATTGTACTCTTCATACGGAGCCTCTCAGATTCAGGGCCTGATCACGGATGTTCGCCAACCTTGCAGGGCAGCTGTGCATTGCTGCTGAGACTCTTTGGGGAGCGGCTGTATTCATCCCACGCTCTTGCACGTATCGTACCTGTTGTACCTGTGTAGCCCACCATGCCGGTCGGCGTCACACCAACTAGTCTTTCGCAGCTGTGGCCGCCATCGAATACGGCGTTGGCCGGCGGCCATGAGGCGGCGAGTCGCGCTGCATAGTCAGATCGGTAGCGATGAGGAGCATTGTCAACTGATGAAGAAGCAGGCAATAACCCTTCACAGTGACCGACGAGAGCACAGCAGTTCAATATTCCGTAATGGATGCGGCAAGCATATGTGCGTACATGCGTATGCGCCACGTACGATATGAAAGGATTCATCATGCATTCGTCTCAGACACATGCAACTCCGGAGGGCTTCCTCCTCGTGTTACGTAGTGATACCGATGACGATACCGTATTACCCAGGAAAGGCCGAAGCAATGCAACCCACCAAGACCACGCAACGGGCTGTCCCTCCACCGTGATATCCCCCATCCGAGGCAGACACGCGCGCCAACGAGGCCCGCGGACGACCAATCAAGCAACCCGGCCATGGCCGGTGAGCATGAAGAAGCCTTCCTGTCACCCGCCACCACCAAGTCGGAAGCCGCCGGTTCTGGGAGCGATGCGGTAGCGCCTGTTCTTGTCAAGCCGTAACAGATAATAACAGTTTCGCGATGATGGTCAGAGAGGCTATGCGCACGAGTAACGCAAGCATGACGGTGACGGTGCAGAAGAACCCGGTACCGGATAATCTGTGGTTACTTCGCTATAATCTGTAGCTAGATCTCTCTCTCACGACACCTCGTCGACCGGCCGTGCTATACGCGTGTTTATCACCATTCAGGTATCTCGACGAATATGTCATACCAAGCCCAGAAGTGGCACTTGTTATTATGCATACATGTGCAGCCAATCCTTCATCTGCCAAGGTATACCTGATTCCCGAGGATGATCCTACCATCTACGGCTGACGGAACGGCACATGGCCGTACGTAGATGGATGCTGACAGAGTCAATAGACGGAGGGCGATGCCGCTCGGGGTAGTCTGTGATCTGTAATCTGTACCCAAGCGACAGCTGTTCCGGAGCTTGAACGGTAGTCCCTCCTCCCCTCCCCGTCTCCGTCTCTCCAGCGTCCCGGGTCCCAGAATGCTCCCATGTGATGCTGACCATGTCCTCCCGGTGGAGCAATATATGAAGAGCCGCTGCTGTTGCGCCGTCAGTCTACCCGCCGCAGCGGAGCGAGGCAATCTCGAAGTATCATTAGCGTGCGACCGAGAAGAGAGCTCTGTTATCTCACTTCCCGACAGGGCAGCGGTGTGTCACGGGCCCATCGAGGCGAGCTTGGATCACGACGGGTTGGGGAGTTGCGGAGCTCCGATATACGTCGTAGGCAGTTCCTGCTCGTACGATTACTGGTCCGAGTCGTACTGGCCCGAGCCGTGCTCGTTCGAGTATTACGAGGGAGATGGCGGCTTACGATAATCTGTGCAAGCACCGTCGAAACGTCCGCGGACTGGTAGACAAGTCAGGGCAACAAAGGAGGAGCGACTAAGTACGAGCAGCAACGATATCATCTTCTCTCTATCCCTTCTTCTCTCAGTCTCTCCCTCTCTCTCCTCCTACCATTCCTTCCTCCTTTGCCTCGAACGCTCCAGAGGTGAGGATTTTTGGTCCTGGGACCCCTGCATTTTATTTTCTCGTGCGGTTCCCCGACTGGTGGTCAGCCCCCCCCCCCCCCCTTCCTCTCTTCTCCCGACAACACACGACCCCTGAAAGTACATGGAATAATAGTCGTAGCGACAAGAACAGGAGAGGCTTGCTTGGAAGCGGNTCCTCCTTTGCCTCGAACGCTCCAGAGGTGAGGATTTTTGGTCCTGGGACCCCTGCATTTTATTTTCTCGTGCGGTTCCCCGACTGGTGGTCAGCTCCCCTCTAACCCCTTCCTCTCTTCTCCCGACAACACACGACCCCTGAAAGTACATGGAATAATAGTCGTAGCGACAAGAACAGGAGAGGCTTGCTTGGAAGCGGGGACCGGGTAGCTTTCCGCGGCACCAAGTTGAGGGTTCTAGAAGGCGCGAACGAAACGGACGAAATTGGCAAGGTAAATGAATTACGACGGTACTTCAGGTATTTCATTACCACACGCACACACACACACCCGCGGAAGGGGTCGTGAGTTGACCCGTCATAATACCACTATGAGCAAGGAAGACGAAGTGAAAGAAAAAGAAAGAAAGAAAAAGAAAGGGCCAAAAACGATCCGATCAGAGAGACGGCACTGCCGACCGACATTTGTATCTGTTTCTGTGCTGCATATATGTGCATGCGAAGCCAAAGGAAGCTTGGGGAGCTTGTTCTCGACACATTTCGACAACCAACTTGGGTCTCGGGGAAACACGAGGCAAGATGAATCCCTGACGGAGGAAGGGGGGGGGGGGGAGGGGAGAAGGACGAGAAGAAGAAGAAGAAAGGAAGATGAGTAAGAAAGAAGACAGGAAAGAAGGCCACCACCATCTGAAACAACTGCCCCGTCACAGTGGTTCTATAACAAGGAACTTACTTGTCAACTGTCAGTTGTGGAAGACCCTCTTCTCTTCCTCTCTCTCCCTCCCTCTCTCTCCCTCCCGCTCTTCCCTCTGACTTATATGACACTACTAATCTGTAGTATTGATACTGTCAATACGGAGTACTGTGTAGTCTACTACCGAGTAATACTACGACGAGTAAACTCGACGACCCTCCCGGATCCCTGCTCTGCACCCGAGCGGGACATGGAGGAGACCACAGGCTTGTGCCCTACTTACTAAACCTGCCTGCCAGGTATTCTCACCACCCCGTACGAGAACCTGTGCGGGTAAATAATAATACGACGTAATACCAAGAGTACGAGTAATCTGTACGGATTACGGAGTACCGAAGCTGCTCAAACGTACGGTACGGGTGCTACTGAAGACGGACGAGGACAGCGCACGCCCCTCCCCCCCTTCCTCTCCCTCCCTCCCACTCCTTGATTGGTCAGCTCGATTCTCTCTCGTCTCTCTTCTCCCCCCTCTCTCTCGAGTCGTCGCTCGGTCCCACACCCAGAAGTGGACGGAGTACCTGTGTGTTTCTCGTGCTCTTCTCAGTTAGGGTTGAGACCAAACCCGCTCGGCGAAACCTAACTGCCTATCCTGTGACGTCCGTCCGCCTGTCTAGGAAGGGCAGGGGAAGGGGTGTGTACGAGAAGCCGCGAGATGCAAGGCGACCAGAGGGGATTAAGTCACCGCCGTCCGCCCCGGGTATCCACAGCACCTGGGCTTGGTATTACTTTTTCCCTTGGGACTGATTTCCTCCCGGAGGAAGAAGGGGAGAGAGAGAGAGAAGGCACACACCCACACACGAACGGGGAAGAGAAGGCAAAACGGATGGGGTCCAACGACGCAAGGGCCACATCCTTCTCCGAACGCCCCCCCC